GCGCGCGCGCGCCAACATAATATGACGACGTATGTGCGTCGAGGCGGCGCCCGCGCCATTAGCCAATGTATTGGCTTGATTCTATATGGCAGGGATGGGCAACTTCAGTCCTGGAGGGCCACTGTCCTACAGAGTTTAGCTCCAACCCTGAAAAAAATCACCTGCCTGTAACTTTCTTGTAATCCTGAAGACCTTGATTAGCTTGTTCAGGTGTGTTTGATTAGGGGTGAAGCTAAACTCTGTAGGACAGTGGCCCTCTAGGACCGAAGTTGCCCATCCCTGCTATATGGGATTCAGACTATCGGCACACCCAGAGGGCGTTCTGACTCGTAATTTTACACGTGAAATGCAGCCAAACCTTGCGAGCAAGAGCGCGCATGCGAGACAGAAGAGACTGTGCGTGTGTGTGCCTAATTAAGTCAGGCACCGAAATCAGGCACCGAAATTGTCGTTCTTATTCGGTCTGGTTACTACCATTTACGTCGGAACCGGTTCCCTATTGGCACCGAGTTTCGGTACCCAACCCTAGCGACACAACACATTTGCTAGATTCTTTAGCCTCCGTGTAGAGCCGGAATCTTCTAGGGGTGTCAAAATTAATCATTTCTAAAATGCATCGCGATGCAGACGAGGACTATTCGGTGTCGGTTCAGTAATAGACCATAAACGATTATAATGTACTGACGGTTTTCTGACATCATTTGTCGCATACGTGCTTTGGTAGCATATAAATGGCAGAGGGAGGCGAGATGCTAGTGCGAGTAATTAAAAATGCTCCAACTAGAGACCTGCGTGGGACCTCCCGCAGGATTCTGTCCCGCTCCCGCCAAAAATATGTTACCTTCTCCTGCTCCCGCCCGCTACATTCATGTTTTGTCCCGCTCCCGCCCGCAAAAAAAGTATAAATAGATGATTTTTCTGTAGCCTACCTCCATGAAATACTTTCAAGTTTGCCTACGTGTCGCCACCACCTACACATCAGCATAAATGCTCCAGATAAATTATTTGTTATTAAAGCGTTAACATTCACAAACGTTAATTTAACATAAAAGCAAGCAGGCTACTGCGTGCATGGTTTGGCATGACTGAATGCGCGCAAAGTGCGCTCCCTTAATTCCTAAAAAGCTGACATCTCAGTTCATCGTGATCTCACAAATCTGTTATTATCAATGAAGCTGACTGCTCAATGAATCTTTCATAATATCTTCACTTTGTTTATTATAATCAGAGGATTTGCCAGAATTCAGCACTGAACAAAAAGTCCGTTTTGAGCGGTGAGGGGATTCTATCTTAAATGCATCTGATTGGCCATTGCGTTCAAGAAATCAACACATATATCTGTGATTGGCTGCATTGTTTAACGCTGCAAACATGTTATAAATAGAAACTCTGAATTGTTTTTATTTTGTTTTAGTTGTTCTTGTTGCTTTCGTGCAACAGATGAATAACAATTTATTAGTTTTTAGATGTTTTATTCATAGATATTTCTATTTTGCGGGAGTCCCGCGGATTGTTTTATTCTCCCGCAACCCGCACACACACAAGTGCAGTGATGTAGTGGTGCCCGGAGAAGTGGGTATACTCCTTATGCCCCCAATATTTTTTTAAGCATCTCAGACGTGTAAGACTAGTCTTGCATTAGTATTGATGCAAGACTATAGTGAATGCAATATAACACAGAATACAAGTATTCTTGCATATCAGGGCCGTACGCATGGTGTTTTAAATACCCAGGTCCCCTAAACAATATTTGGGGTTCGGGGGAACCCCAACCCCATGCCCCCCCGAGAAAATTTTGATTTTCTTGATCTCGACATGGGCATTTTAAGGTGTTTTGATGGCCAAAAAAATGGACAACAGTAGCTTTAAAAGCATGAAGTATTTGATCAGATTCTTAAACATGAGAATCCAGTTTCAGCTACTTTTTCTTTCCTAAATTAATCAATGTTTTTGGACTAATCTGTTCATTTAATTAATGGTTCAATTGCTCACTCATAAAGACAGTCACTTGTCGCCGCCTTCTGGCTTAATGATGCAAGTTGCGCAAACAAAGACAAGCGGAGTGATACAAACAGTGAAAAGTTGAACACATTCTAGGTAACATTATACAAATATATATAGAATAATAATGGCAATATATTTAATATGGTGCTTGTGTTGTTAAATTGAGCTTATAATTTCCACTGTCTTTGATCAAACAGATTATTTCTGTCGGTCATTTAAAACTTCTATCGAAAAAAACAGCCGTATATTTTAGCTACTTGCATCAGCTCGCACTGTATGATCGTTAACTGAAGTGAAGCGTCGCGCCTGGATTCGCGCTCGGATCGCGCTTCTGTGAACAAAAGTCCTGCTTGCTTTGGTCTCAAACATTTTGACATTGACGAGCGGGTGTTTGAGTGTTGAAGCAGCTCAGATGAGAAGGTCAGTTATTGTCGCGATGGGCGAATCATTGCAGCACCAAATTAGAGTTAGGCCTAATATTAGGGAATTATTTCACAACTTTCATTATTTAGGCTACACTCAAAAAAACGACTGAGGTCAGGACCTCGGGGACCTCAATGATGGGTATGACCCTGACTGGGTGTTTTTTTATTCACGAGATTGGATTAGCAACTAAATGATGCTCATCAGAGGGGATTTAGAAGTGGGTATACGCAATGCCGACGGAAAAAGAAGTGGGTATACGCCGTATACCTGCGTATACCCTGCACTACACCACTGCACAAGTGCATTACCGTCCGCGCCCGCACTCGGCCATCAAAACTAGTCCTGCGCCGCACTCTGTTGCGCTGGGTCCCGTGGGTGCAGGCAGGTCTCTAGCTCCAACTACTTTAAAAACCGACATCTGGGCACATTTCGGCTTTTATGAACAACCTGGTAAGCATGACCTGGAGAAGACACACTCTGTGTGTAAATCATGTCTCGCACAAATAAAATATGCAGGGGGTAAAGTAAAATTGAAAATTGAGGATGCAGTGCATCGTCAGTGCATCGTCAATGCATCGTGATATCGAATTGAACTGAATTGATGACATGATAATCATAATCGAACCAAACCGTGAAACCAGTGTAGGTTCACACCCTAGTATCTTCCCACATACTCGCCCCCAGTGGCCAGTAGCGCGAAGGACCCGTTCTTAGTGTCGGCTTGCAATGCCACTCCCGCCCCGCTGGGCTGGATACGTGCGTCTATTTGCTTCAGTACTGTTCCCTAGAAATGGCTAACCCTGTTGAGTTCCTCACCCCTGCGACAGTCAGACGTTGCGGAGCATCTGACGCCAGGCCTACACTCGTATGCATTGTGGAACCTGTGCTAGGTTGGGTGTCCATATGTAGCGGTCCTTGCGGCGACCCCATATGTGTATTCCTCCACGATCAGCTCCTCTGCCGACGAGCCTGTGTCTTTCCCTCAACAGAGCCCGCTCTGTCGTCTCTGCTGGTGTTCTTTTCCCCCTATAACTAGGCTGGAATCACCCCAGAGACTACCATATGTTGTACTACCCTGCTTGGCTAGTCCATATGTGTAACCGTCACAGTACCTCCCTCCGGGGTAGGATGTAACTTCCGCAGCATTCCCTTCCCCAAGGGTACGCTTTCCCAGCGTTATCGAATAAGTCTCACTGAGTGGGTCTTGTGGAACAGCAGTGACTGACCTTCTCTGCTTAGAGCTCCTACTTTCTGCTCAACACTATGGTCAGGCCAGGAGGCTCAAATGGAGCGCTGGAAGGGCCAGCAGCAGTGGCGTTTTGGTAGTTATCCCCATTCGTCTGAATCACTTCTTACGTACGTCATAGTTTGCTGACGAAGGGGAACGTCTCGGTTACGTATGGTAACCCTCGTTCCCTGAGGAGGGAACAGAGACGTACGTCCCCTCGCCACAGTTGCTGAGCTTCCGCTGTACGGCCGAGTCACAAGTCCGGCTCCTCAGCGGAAAAACAAGGATGCACAGCAGCTGGTGCAATTATCGCATGCCAATGTGCATTGGCTCATTAAGTTACACTCAAAGTAGATAGGCTCTCGAGCGAGTTCCCCATTCGTCAGAATCACTTCTGACATACGTCTCCGTTCCCTCCTCGGGGAACGAGGGTTACCATACGTAACCGAGACGTTTTCTCTTTTGTTATTATTAAATAATAGAGTAAATGCTTATATTATGAGATGGATTCTTAATAAACACCTAATTGGAAACTGAAAAATGCTCCCTTTTGAATGAAGAGGTTGTGTTTTACCTCTTTTATTCACTGCATTTGTTAATTCAAAGCAAAGCCTAGTGCGGCAATTGAAAATAATGAGTGGCAGATGAGAATGCAGCAAGCTTTTATTGTCACAGCATTCCTGCTAGCTTTGCATAACCTTGTTCACACCAACTGTGCTTGCCCACATCATTGAGGTCCTGTTACTCAAGTGCACCAGATTCTCTTTCATTTCCTCTAATATTGTGCCATAATTTTTCATATATATATATATATATATACATGGACACACACATGACCAAAAGACTTTCAGGATCATATTTATTCTGTGAATACCTGCACAAAAAATGTCAAGGGTTGTTTTACATAAATACACCACTAGGGGTCATTGATGTCTTGGTTGTAGCCTTAGTTCATGAAATTTGGCCTTGTATTGCACAAGTACCTTTTTACATTTGCTTACTAGATGTGACTAGTATATTGACAGCAGTTTCCTTCAGTGACCTTTCTGAAGATCCTGTTACAATAAAACAGAATAAAATTTGGTGTAAAATATATTTATTTTGAATACTGTGTGACCTTTCTGAAGATATTGTCCAAATTTTTCATTCAGTCACTCATGGGTTTGCAACTTTAGCTTTAATAAAGGATGGAACCTGTTACAATAAAACAGAACAAAATTTGGTACCATGACGAAAGCAGATACCATGAGTGAATGATATAAAGTACACTGCTTTTTGTATTTCAATGATCCAGTGTAGTTTTTTCTTTTTACTGCTGAGACTGTGTTGTTTCTGTCTATAGTCATGGCAGAGGCTCACCAAGCAGTAGCGTTTCAGTTCACCATCTCTCCTGAGGGGATCAACTTGCATCTGTCCTACCAAGCCCTCAATCAAATCTACCTCGCCGGACTGCGGTCCTGGAAGAAACGCATCAGCAGGATTAATGTCAGTGACTCGAATGAGCGTGAAAACAAATTCATACATTTTGAACTCTTTTATTTTTATTTTTATATATAAATAGGTAAAAATCTCATAGGAATGTTAGGAGTGTGTATGAAAACACTATATGAAAATTAATTACAGGACATTTGTTCTGCCAAGAAATTAAACTCATTGAAGTCACCATGAAATCAAAATAGACGATTCTTGTTTTTTTTATGAATTATTGCAGTATTTATCATAAATTATCATTTATAATAAATACTCCTATATTTCATTTAAAAAAACAGAATTGTCAATTTTAATTTCATGATGACTTCACTAACTGCAGGGTTGGCTTTATGTTTCAGTGTTAAAATCCAAAAAATTGGCAATGTATGTGTTTATACACAGGGGGTATTAATACTTATGAACTTTTACTTTTTCATGGACAGAACAGAATCATTAAAGGCGTGTACCCAGCGAGCCCCTCCTCTTGGCTTTTTGTTGCCGTAGCAATCTTGGCCTCTATGTACATGCAGTCTGATCCATCTATGGGCCTCATTGCTAAGATTCGGGAGCACCTGCCCCTCAGGTAACAGTTCCTTTTACCCTTCAGTGTGCATTATCTTCTAAATGGTAAACAGTTGAATGATAAAATTATTTAACACTATTTTCTTATTTAAGTACTAATTTTATATTTAAGTACTGGTATGTTAGCTCAGGCTTTTTTTATCCTCTCAAAACAGTTATGTAAACAGTGATTACTATTCTTAATTAAACATTCAAATGTCCAATTTTCTCACAGAATTTTTTTATTGGTATTGATTCCTAATTATGGGAGTTCTTTTTTCAGTAATTATGAACTGTTTCAGATGTGTCTCCTATTAATTTTTTTTATTTTTAAAGTACACAAATAAGAGAGCTGTTTACACACAGCAAGAGTATAGAGCTGTGAAATTTAAATTTAATTTTGGGAAATTTGGTTGCTAGATAATTTTTTTATAATTTTTTCAATGAGTTAATATTGAAATCTCTTATTTGTTATGATAGTTTGGCATCTTGGCAAATATGTGCACAGTTTGACACTTTTGTTATCTTTTCTGAAACTCCAGAAGATGCAAAAGTCTTCAAGAGTCTTTTGTTGTTCTAGTCAATGTTTCATATATCCATCAACAATTGACATGATGCAATCTTGTATTATCTTTGAAGCCTATGTGAAATGACAACATTTGAGCACATTTTTAATATACATTAGCATATATCTGGGGCGGCAGTGGCTCAGTGGTTCATGTAGGTTGTCTACAAACCGGAAGGTTAGTGGTTCAGTCCCCGGTTCCACCTGACCAAGTGTCGAGGTGTCCATGAGCAAGACACCTAACCCCAGCTGCTCCCGACGAGCTGGATGGCGCCTTGTATGGCTGACACCGCCCTCGGTGTATGAATGAGTGAGTGAATGGGTGAATGTGAGGCAAATTGTAAAGCGCTTTGGTGGTCATTGGGTCTGTGAAAGCGCTATATAAATGCAGTCCATTTACCATTTACCATATCTAATATTAACCTGGAAGAGAGAATGCTGATTTGCTCCACTGTGTTTTTCTCTGTCAGTCTACCATTGAGCGCTCAAGGTCAGACGATGCTGTCGGCGCTGCTGTTTAGTACTCTTTTGTGGTTGTCTCTCATTCTGGCTCTGAGGTTCTGCCTGAAGTTTCTCCTGTCGTACCACCGATGGATGTTCGAGCAACATGGATGCATTTCTACCAAGACCAAAGTCTGGGCGGTTAGTGTTTCATTACATTTAGCCTAGCATTGAAAAAAAAATGCCCGTATCTTTTTAAGATAATTTCTGCAAAAATATGCTTTTAAAACAATAACAATGAAGATTTGTCTTCTGGTCAGTTGTTTTACTTTCCCCGACAACTTTTTCACTTGTCTTGCCACAAGCTATAAAATAGTTATTTCAGTTACATGTTAGTATATTTGGGGTCAGCAAGTTTAATTTAATTTTTTTTACTTTTTTATTCTCTTTATTGAGGTTTTTTGCATATCAAATACAGAAAGACAAAAACACAGTAACAAACAACAGACATCAGAGGACATCATTGCCATGCTAAACCAATCAATTACACATTCTCACCAAAGTAATCTATGAAAGTTTGCCACATTGAATAAATATTTCAGACTTCCCCCTCAACAAATATTTAATTTTCTCCAATTTCAAATGAACCATTATGTCTTTCATTAAGGCTGAGGTCATTTTCTGTTTCCAACACAAGAGAATCAATCTCCGCGCTAACAAGGTCACAAAACAAACCGTGCTTTTTTGGGTGTCCGAAAGTTGTACATTGATGGCTTCACACCAAAAAGAGCCCAGATTGGTTCTTTAATTTAAAAAAAAATTTAATACAGGATGTATTAAATTGATTAAAAATTACAGTAAAGAGGTAGTTACAAAATATTTCGATTTCAAATAAATACTGTTTTTTTTTAACTTTCTATTCATCAAAGAATCCTGAAATCCAGCATATTTAAATGGTTTCTTAAGGATCATGTGACACTGAAAACAAATCAGAAAATTCAGATGTACCATCACAGGAATACATTACATTTTAAAATACATTTCAAATAAACAACAGTCATTTTAAATTGTAGTAATATTTCACAATATTACTGTTTTTACTCTTTTTTTTCACATATATGCAGCTTTGGCAATCATAAGAGGATTCTGTATATAATTAAATGGCAAAAATGCAACTTGACGACAGCTGTAAGTTCATAAACACTTTTACTGGGAAATTATGGCACTTGGTGTTAAACATTTGTTATTCAGATTTTTTTTCTCTTTATAACCTATTCAAACTAATGCTCTAAAGACTATCACAAATCATACATGCAATTTCAACTAACGCTCATTTGTATTGGCCTGCTAGATAATAAAACCTGGGTGAAATTTAAATAAAATACATTTCCTACAGCACTGTTCAGTACATCATAGAAGTCTAAATGTTCAAGGCATAAAAACACGTACATGATCACTGGATGTGGAATGTGTTGAAAACACGGCACTGGCCCAATGTGGAATTGACTTTACAGTCAACTGGCCCAAAACTCTCCCCCTGGACCGAATCAGGTCATTCTTATTGTTGAAACCATTATATTTTTGTTCTTGACTGTTTCTTTCTCTTGTCCTCCCTGTCAGACCCTAGTTAGGTTGCTGTCCGGAAGCAAGCCATTACTGTACAGTTATCAGACGTCTTTACCGCACTTGCCTGTACCTCCCATTAAAGACACTTTGTAAAAAGTGAGTCGATATCTTATGTATTATTATGTATTAAATTGTTTGCGTGTAATGTGCCATAAGTGCTGGTTTGCTGGGAAGTCTCCTCTAGAAATTGTCAGGGGTCATGGAGTTATAGGCTTTAAAAGATACCACTGAATGCTATCTCAACCATTTTCTCTGTTTTAGTATCTTGAGTCAGTGAAGCCACTGCACGATGCGGCTGGTTTTCAGCGAATGAAGAGACTGGCTGCTGAATTCGAGAAAAGTCTGGGTAACCGCCTACAAAGATATCTCAAACTCAAAGCGCTGTGGGCCACAAACTATGTACGTGCTGAAATCTGTACAGTTATTTTCTGGTCAATGTCACAACTATCATTAGTCTTATCATGAGCATGCAGTTGCATTACTATAGTTATACAGTACTACAGCTGTTCAAAATCGTTAATCATTAATAAAAATGTATTGGTATTGAATGTTAGATGCATAACAACTTTATTAGAGTGATAATGACTCAAAAATATCTCAAATAGCTCTTCAGATAATATTAAAGTGGTTGCCAATGGGTATTCCAGCTTTCTGTTAAATAACAACCCTTTAATAACAGTTTGAAGCCTGAAAATTGTAAGCATTTTTTTTAAAGCAACATTCTAAAACTCTCATATGACCATGTAACTGGTGTATGTGTGTGTCAGATCAACACAGCAATATCATAATGTATTTAGAGCCTTTGGAGAACTATAATTAATAATTGATATAGTTATTTATAGACATTTGATTGGGATCATTTAGTATGTCATATTTAGAGTTTCTTTGTTTCTTCTAGGTTAGTGACTGGTGGGAAGAGTATGTTTACCTCCGGAGCCGGAGTCCTATCATGGTCAACAGTAACTATTATGGCATGGTAAATGAGCCTACAGCATTACTCATTGTCACTTATCACCCCTATTTTCATTAAACATTTAAGCTTATTAAGACATTTACTGAATACCATTGCTGTTTAGGACAACTTGTCCACCTCTGTTTTAACGTTTATGGTGTTGAATGAAAAGTGAACCTAAGAATATAGAAACGTAGTCTCACATATGTTTGTGCATGCTGATGTTTATTAGAAAGTATTTGGACACTAAAAAAGCACACTTAATGAAAATGTAAATGTCATATATATATATATATATATATATATATATATATATATATATATATATATATATATATATATATATATATATATATATATATATATATATATATATATATATACACTGAACAAAATTATAAACGCAACACTTTTGTTTTTGCCTGCACGATTGCACGATTTTCTAAATAATCGGGTCACTGTTGTTTTCACACTGCATGACTATCTGGGGTAACATTCAGTTGCTGCTGTGTTCACACTGCACGATGGATCGGCGACAGGAGGTTTCACACTGCATGACTTTACAAAAGAAAGAATCGCCCGACAACTTCTGCCTGGTCCGCAAACTACATTTCACAACCAAACAAACGCGAGAAGTGATAGGAAATAACGGAAGATCACGCGTGCGTGAGACCGGAGTTCTCGCGCGACACTGAATTTGTTATTAAAAATGATAGCCTACAAATTGTCTGTGCACTGATTTGTAGCGAAAATGAAAAAAAATAATAAACAGTTTATGCAGGAAATGGTTGGGAAGACGAGGGGAGCAAGGACTGTGTTTTGCAAAGAGAGTTGGGGGTAAATAAATAATTTTGCAAATGTCCTGCTGTTGCTGCTGGTCATGAAAATGTTTGTGCTTTGTTTCTGTTTGATATAATTGTAAATATAGGCCTATTGAAATACTGATATTCTGGTCTATAACTCCTCCTCCTCCTCCCTGTATCTTGCTCTCTCATTGGCTGTCGGTCATCGCCGATGTAGTTTTCAGTCAGAACACATTCACACAGCAGGATTGTGAATCGCCGACAGGTCCAGATATTTAGCATGCCACATATCTCACGGGCGTCGGCGACTCGTCGGCGATTTTCTCAGATCGCGTCTTTGCTCATTCACACTGCGTGATTGACACTCGCGTGAACGAGCACCGATTTGCCTGTGATTTCGGGCATTTGTCGGCGATTTCTCAAAACCTGTCGGCGAGCCAAAATCGGGGCTAAAATCGTGCAGTCTGAACTCGGCATTAGGCTGGCCACAATAAAAGGCCACTACGTTTTGCTTAACAATTTGGTATCTCTTGTGCTTAAAATGTGTCATATCTCTTATACTTTATCTAATGCAATGACATTCAGGCATTCATGTTTGCAAAGGAAAAAAATCTATTGTCTATAATTAATCATTGTAACAATAGATGCCTTGACACAAGATGTTTTCTTGGATTTCAGCAGTGTTTCAGTAATATAATCCTATAAAAAAAAGGAAAGGAAAACTTCAGATTTTGGATGGATGCTTCTCTTTTCTAACTGCCTGTATAATTCATGCACAGGATTTCCTGTTCGTGACTCCAACTGCCAGTCAGGCAGCTCGAGCTGGGAATACTATCACTGCACTGTTCCTTTATCGCCGCAAGGTCAATCGAGAGGAGCTCAATCCCGTATGTTACACACCTCAGTGTTCTCAGCAGAATTTGAACCAGACCCCACCCAACACCACTCTGAGAAACTGTTTTAGTAATCATGTCTCTACCTGTTATTTCCCTGGATTTCCTTGATTCCTTTTGATTCGTCACTGGCCAGGCATACAAGAATAATGAAGACTAGAGTTTGCTTTAAATATGCATATGTTGGTAAATTATTTTTCAAGGTGATGTGCTAAACTTAAAAACATTTTAAACATAATTTCTCAATAAAAAAACAAAAAATATTATAATACATACTGGTTTTGTAACCTAGTATTAATTGATAGACTACCCTGAATTTCTGCATTGCTTGCACAAATAAAAAATTATTTGTCACCAGACCATTTGAAACCAACAAGTCACAATTAGTAACAATAAGTTGATTAAAAGTGATGAAAAAAGAATACACTTTGTACATTGAGTGGAGTTGATATACATTTTAATATAAAATATTTTTTTAATTGCCTTGTTTGTCAAGATTTTATTGAAAATTGTTCTTGTTTGTGACACCTATAACTAATCAGACATTTACGTTATGCATCAACGACCCATATGTATATAAAATAGGAATTATAAATTAGTTAAATTAAAACACAGCAACACTGTCATACTCCTGTATTGTTCAATTCAGAATATAGAGAAATTTTGGACCGTTTTGCAGTAAGTCATTGAGATCATTTGTTCTGGTTTATCTAGAGTCGTATTCCTGGTACGGTCATACCACTGTGTGCAGCTCAGTGTGAACGTATGTTCAACACCACACGCACACCTGGAGAGGAGACAGGTACACACACACACACACACACACACACACACACACACACACACACACACACACACACACACACACACACACACACATACACATGAAGAAAGTGATCTTGTGTCCTTGACAGTTTCTTGATCTCTCAGATGTGCTGCAGCACTGGCAGGACAGCGAGTTTGTCGCCGTGTACCACAGGGGCCGCTTCTTCAGGTTATGGGTCTACCGAGCAGGACGCCTGCTGTCACCCAGAGAGATCCAGTATCAGATTCAAAGGATCTTGGATGACCCTTCACCTCCTTCTCCAGGAGAGGAAAAACTAGGAGCACTGACTGCAGGAAACAGGTCAGATATTAAGACAGTCAGTGTCTGTGTTTGCTGTTCAGCAGGGTGCGTTATAGGGTTTTATGTCAAGCACAGCTTCCTACAGAATTTATTTACCATATCACATCCATTTATTCCATATTGTCTTCTAGACATTCAAACTGAGAGAGTTTTTAGGCCTCTGTGAATCTTTAACACATTGTTTATATGATGTAACTTGATGCTATATTTACATATTTTCATGCTGGTATCAACTGTAACTTCCTAAGACACAGAACGTGCATACTGTTTTCAAATTTTTTTGCTTGGATTGTTTAATATTTAACAGAGTAATAATAGCAGGGTAAAATGAGTCATTCTAAGGATGTCTGGGCAGCTATGTTTGAATTTTTTTTGAGCTGAAGACTCCCTAAAGGACAATAAATGAGGAATGCTACAAACAAAAGTGATGGATCCCCTGGAGACAGTAACATTAGAAGAGTATTTGCTTAGGGATGTCCCGATACCACTTTTTCACTTCCGATACCGATACCGATGCCGCAGCTTTGGCTTTTGCCGATACCGATATTAATCCGATATTTTTATTTTATTCTTAAACTAATAAAAAATATAGCAATTTTCTCAATTAGCCACCTAAAATATACCTCCTATATAGTCCACAACAACAGTTGATTATGAAAGATTGCCACCCTTTATTCAAACACTACAAAAAAATAAAGAAATATATAAATGAAAGAAAATACAGGTACTTCAGTACTTAAAGCTAGCTAGCTACCAACAGGTTTAAAGTTAAAAGAATTTAAACAGCAGCATTCTACATTGTAAATACCAGTACAGTTTTTGTTTTTTAAATCAATTAGAATTTCTATAACTGTGTGTTAAACTGATTATCACTCTTGTGTGTGTTAAACACAATCTACTTAATACAGACAGCTTCATTATAAAGATAAACAACAAATCCCCAAAATATATGATCATAATCTATGACAAAAATGCTATTATAAACTAGATTAGTGGATAATACACATTGCTCTTTTTATTGTTGTAAAATACATTCATGAAAAACAAGATAACAAAAATGAAAAAGATAATTATTTTAGATATAGCTAAATCTGCTATAAAATTGAGACATGTTTTAAGTGTATTGCACAGCTATTTAATGAGGCAGCAACATTAATAATTATTAATGTTAATAAGCTTTAATTGCGTCAATGCATTATGATATGAAAGGCTCCAATACAGTGCGGCACAAAGCGCTTATGCGCATCCCGAGCGGAGAATGATGCGCTTGAAGCCACGTGGAGTTCCAGCACGCAGCGCGTCGAGTCCGCTTTGAAAAGTTCAAAGCACAACGGAGATACATATTGATCGACAGTGTATTATACAGTATCTATCTATGCAATCGTTTATTGAGCCTTTTCTTTTAACAGTTTTAAATTTCAGTTACTGTGCGCGTGAAGAACAATAGTGCTCTGACTCTAGTGTTGTGATCAAACTGACAGCGTCCGACACCCGGTAGAGAGTAACACGATTGAGTTACAGCAATAAAGTCCAGCAAGATAAAGTTGTTTTATGCGAAAACATAGACCTTTATCTTACAGATCAAGTATAATAGTATTAACATTGAATCATCTTGAAGATAGTTTCATCATTGACTGCAACCGAACGCGACGCGCTGTTTGAATGCTGAATGGAGAATGACTGACAGCCGCGAGAGGGAAAAATTTACGTGATCTTGAATTTAATTACTTAAATATTAATTTATATCTCACATAATAGCTTCAGAACACTTATAATAGAGTGCACGAAAACGTTATGGTACTTTAGAATGTTTTTGTGCATTTTGTGGGGCTTAACAATAACACATAATAGTATACCCACAATATCGGATTTGGATCGGCCTCGTCTGATCGATGTCAGATCGATACCCGATCCCGCAAAAATGGCAGTATCGGAGCGATACCGATCCTGAGTATCGGATCGGGACATCCCTAGTAATGATTAAAGCGCAATATAAAGGTTTTTATATAATATACTATAAATGTGTTTTATTATTTATTTGTTTATTTAGGGGTTGCTAATGAAATTAAACATCCAGGCAAGGAACCCGTACAGACTCTTAACGACACTGCATAATTAGTCTGTGCAAGCTGAACAAATATAAATTGTGACTATATATATTAGGGGTGTAACGGTTCACAAAATTCACGGTTCGGTTCGGTACGATACACTTGTGTCACGGTTCGGTTCGGTACGTTTCCGATACAGCAAAAAGAAAGAAATGCCAGAGAAATTTCCTTGATTTATTTATTTTTATTATATTTTTATTAAAACTAACATCATAAAGTATGATATTTTTTAACTTTGAGCAATGATGGAGCTATACTTGACTTTTATTAGGAGCTTATAAAACAAAACAGCTCCTGGACAAAATGAAATGTAATATTGTATTAGTTAAACAAAGGTTTATTTTAGTTCAGATTAACATTTGAAGGCAGCAATTGTATTCATAATGTCAAAATAAAACTGACGTGATGTTACTTGAAAGCATTATAGCCTGCTATTCCTGCCAAACTCCCATGGTTACAGTTAGTAGTGTTACTACAGTAAACCCATGGTGAATGCTGCTGATCTGTGGACACTGGATAGTTCATTCATGGCACAATGTTTCTCCTGGTTTCCATGTCAGCGCTGTTTGATCCGTTAATAACGGAGAAATGCGCATGTTTCTCAGTAGATCTCGCAGCGATGTTATTACTTCAGTGGCGAATTCAAATGGTTTCTTTACTGGACTTCGCTGTGTAGTAACAGTGGTGATGATTAAGATCGGCTCGCGCTGCATTGGTCCAGACTGATAAACTGTCCGTCAAACACACAATAAAGCCCCGTTCACACTACACGCGACGCGATACCATTCATTTCAATGGGGAGCTGGCGATTTCCGGCGACACGCGCGACAGCCATAGACAGTAGGCGACAGCGACCGTTGGCGACCGGATGGGGTGTGTCTGGCGACGCGACAAAGTTGAGATCTGTTTAACTTCATGCAAATGAGGAGCGAATTTCGGGAGCGACAACCAATAGGAGCGGAGCGCTTATGATCCTTCTCCACATCATTGGATGTCATTCATAAAGGCAACCAGTAGTGGGAACTCCCACTAGCGACCTCATCGCCAGCCACTGGCGACATGCAGCGACAAAGTCGCTTGTAGTGTGAACGGGGCTTAACGAGTGGTTTCGTTCCGCTTACATTACATTTGCCATTTGATGTTGGGCAATGTTGTGGTCACTCACGCCAGCGTCTCTTACATTATGAGCGCGCGCGCTCGCCACGCGTGACGCGCCTACATTTGAAATAACGAAATTTTGGTCAGCAGGAAAAATGGTCCAACGAACCGTTCGGTTCAAAAATGCGCACCGAAAACCGAACCGAAAGCCTCGTACCGAACGGTTCAATACGAATACGTGTATCGTTACACCACTAATATATATATATACAGTGAGGAAAATAAGTAACACCCTGCTATTTTGCAAGTTCTCCCACTTGGAAATCATGGAGGGGTCTGAAATTGTCATCGTAGGTGCATGTCCACTGTGAGAGACATGATCTAAAAAAAAAAAAATCCAGAAATCACAATATATGATTTGTTAACTATTTATTTGTATGATACAGCTGCAAATAAGTATTTGAACACCTGAGAAAATCAATGTTAATATTTGGTACAGTAGCCTTTGTTTGCAATTACAGAGGTCAAACGTTTCCTGTAGTTTTTTACCAGGTTTGCACACACTGCAGGAGGGATTTTGGCCCACTCCTCCACACAGATCTTCTCTAGATCAGTCAGGTTTCCGGGCTGTCGCTGAGAAACACGGAGTTTGAGCTCACTCCAAAGATTCTCTTTTGGGTTTAGGTCTGGAGACTGGCTAGGCCACGCCAGAACCTTGATATGCTTCTTACAGAGCCACTCCTTGGTTATCCTGGCTGTGTGCTTCGGGTCATTGTCATGTTGGAAGACCCAGCCTCGACCCATCTTCAATGCTCTAACTGAGGGAAGGAGGTTGTTCCCCAAAACCTCGCAATACATGGCCCCGGTCATCTTCTCCTTAATACAGTGCAGTCGCCCTGTCCCATGTGTGACTTTCTCCCATGACTCCTCTGGATCATCCAAATGGTCATTGGCAAACTTAAGACAGGACTTGACATGTGCTGGTTTAAGCAGGGGAATCTTCCGTGCCATGCATGATTTCAAACCACGACGTCTTAGTGTATTACCAACAGTAACCTTGGAAACGGTGGTCCCAGCTCTTTTCAGGTCATTGACCAGCTCCTCCCGTGTAGTTCTGGGCTGATCCCTCACCTTTCTTAGGATCATTGAGACCCCACGAGGTGAGATCTTGCATGGAGCCCCAGTCCGAGGGAGATTGACAGTCATGTTTAGCTTCTTCCATTTTCTAATGATTGCTCCAACAGTGGACCTTTTTTCACCAAGCTGCTTGGCAATTTTCCCGTAGCCCTTTCCAGCCTTGTGGAGGTGTACAATTTTGTCTCTAGTGTCTTTGGACAGCTCTTTGGTCTTGGCCATGTTAGTAGTTGGATTCTTACTGATTGTATGGGGTGGACAGGTGTCTTTATGTGGTTAACGACCTCAAACAGGTGCATCTAATTTAGGATAATAAATGGAGTGGAGGTAGTGATGTTACGTCTGACACCGACGCTCCGAAGCTTGCTTCAAACTCGAACGGTCCTTGCAATGAACCACTGCTTCGGAGCTTGTATCATTACGTCATTAGTCACGTGAAAATGACGTCTGAAGCAAACACACTGCTTCACTCCTGTAGTGAACCACCTGACTGCTTTGACAGCCCAATCCAGTGTTGACAGGTTTGAAACCTGGCGGCTGTATTTCTTATAAAAGTGAAGCCAAACCATGGCAACACCGTGGGTTGTAGTAGTCGGTGTTTGGATTGGTGTTATTGTTGAGGAGAGTGGATTGAGTTTATTGTTGAGGAGAGTTTATTGTTGAGGAGAGTGGATTGAGTTTATTGTTGAGGAGAGTGGCAAAGAAATAATTACACACACACACACATCATGCTTAATGTTTTATTATCAAGGTGAACACATGAAATTCATCAGTGTCTGTAAACTTCACCTACATAAATGAGTTTCACAGCACTACACTGTTTCAGCTTTGATCGCCTCGGTAAACACGTCATAAACGGGGCGTTAACATAAGCCTACTGGCATTTTATGGTTGTCAGCTTTGTTGCATTACATTTACTTCACCAGGAGATGGTGCTGCAATTTCTATCTGAATGAAGCTTCGAGTAATGAACCATTTTCGACACAATTGTATCGGAAAGCAATAATGCTTCGAAACGCTTCATTTGGCCATCACTAAGTGGAGGTGGACATTTTAAAGGCAGACTATCAGGTCTTTGAGGGTCAGAATTCTAGCTGATAGACAGGTGTTCAAATACTTATTTGCAGCTGTATCATACAAATAAATAGTTAAAAAAATCATATATTGTGATTTCTGGATTTTTTTTTTTTGATTATGTCTCTCACAGTGGACATGCACCTACGATGACAATTTCAGACCCCTCCATGATTTCCAAGTGGGAGAACTTGCAAAATAGCAGGGTGTTCAAATACTTATTTTCCTCACTGTATATAATTTTTTTTTAACAAAACACAAATGATTATTTTATAGGGCAAACAGTGAAGGAAAAGCATAATCAAGCATGTAATATACATACTCCATCATAAAAAACCTGATCTAAAAAAGCTCTAATATAAGAGAGTTTTGATATGTTTGTGGAGTGCAATAAGGAGTAGACAAGAGACAGAGATGCGTCGAGTCAGCTTTACTCTCCACTTCAATAAATCAGAACTGTGTACAGCAGTGAGATCGACACAATAACGTTAAACCGGAAACTCTAACCTACTTCCCCTTCCCTTAAAGGTATATTCCCTTGGTGAATGTCTCTCAGTGTTATTTGTGGGTCACCACATGTTTAACATTTTTGGCCATTGCATAATTACAATACTTCAGTTTGTTTTTTCTTTTTTCACACAATGTTGAGTGTGCGGGCAGTATTGCGGGACTGGTAACCTGTGCGAAGAGTATAAATGCATTTTGAGAGAATGTCTAGAGTTATGGGTTGTCTGGTGTCGAGGCGGGTGGGCTGGGATCGTTGAATCCCTTTTGATCAGACGGGAGGTTTGTGAATTATTTATCTCTGGGGAGGGAGCCCCATAATCAAATCCTCATAAATTAAATAACCACACAACCCTGGAATTTGTCAATAAACAGTAGATAATTCCAGGGTGAATGTTTTCCTACCTAGAGAAACACCGTAATTGTTTGGATGCCATAATTCATCAAATGCTGCAATTACATAATGTATCCCTGAGACATAATTGCCATCCCTTTAGGGACTTTGTAGTCTTAAAAATGCAATAACTTCCACTTCTGAAAGTATTTTTTCTTTTCCGCTGACACCACAGATACCGCATAGGCTTCTGCTTAATCGAACCAACAGCTAAATAGGCATTACAAAGCAAACTTGTACTTGGGTCTGTCTCCATTCTCATATGGCAGATCCACTTTTGATCATCCAATTAATTCCTGATGGATAAAATGGATAAAAAGTCCTGTCCTTTTTTTTCTTTTTATCGTTGAATATTATTGGAAGTAAAGTGGGTTGCAAGTGCCATTTCATTTTGACTATAAAGGTTGGGGATCAAGTGCTTGCAGAAGAATTGTATGGAATTCATCTGGCCCAGATCAGTTCATCATCAAGGGAAAGTGATTTTAAATTGGCTTACCTCATTGTGATGGCGAGACAAAGCACTGCCTGACAGACCCCTGAGGTTTGCCATACAGATATGCATCAAAGAAAGAGTATATGTAGGAATACCAAGCCATTTGGAACATCAATGCCTCGAATCTGATGAGGGTTAAAGCTACATTGGCAGTGTGACAAAAATCATATGATAAGCAGCACCCACTTATGTCCATTTGATGCCACTACTTTTTATGTAATATTTAAAGGACTGTGCATGTTGGAATTTTTTTAGATGATAAAAGCCTGAGCATGAATGGTGTGCATTATCCTCAGACAGGAAATGAGAGGATGTTGTGCACTAGATTATAAATGACCTAAAATGACCTTTAGTAGAATGCAAAAATCAATGCAATAAAAGCAATTTTATACTATTACCCCTCATGCTCTGATGCTGAGTCAGTCTGCTATACTTAACATACTGGGAGGGTTTAATAGACAGCATATCACATCTACAGACTGAATGTCAGCCTAGATAAATAAAGCCGTGTTTTAACTGTTAGTATCTATCCCTTACATATCTTTGGCTATTTATTTGAAAAGACACAATATCTGTTGTTCAGGAGCAAGATGGGAACTGTACTGCTTGTAATGATTCATTTAATACATTACTAATTCCTTGTTGAATTCTGACCTAGATAAAACACGAGTCATTCTACAACTGTGGTGGCATTCATGTTGCCCTAAAAATACAGATAAAATATCTATTTTAAAATTGCTATTTTAAAAATAACAATCACCAAATATTGAATTAACAGACAGACAAACAAATAATAATTTGTGCAATATTTAGGTCAAGAATTCTTTTTTGTCATTTTATTTATTTATTTATTTTTGTTCCTGGACCTCAACTGGTAGAACAGTGTGCTAGCTTAAAAAAAATTGTACTATAGTCCTTTTTTTGAGGAGTGACATACATATTTTCTGCTCTAAAATATTAATTAACAAAAATATTGAATCAAAATGTTGATAATATGATGGTATATTCAAAGTTTACTTAAGAACAATATACAGCAGATGTTTTCCAAATGATCAGAGTCAGCAAAAAGGCTATTTTTCAAAAAGGTTTTTTTTCTTCATTTATATGTTGGGACCTTTACTCTATATAAAATAGAAGACAAGAATGAGAAAATGAATGTTCTTCCTGATTCAAAGCCAGATATGAGCTAACTTACATTCTTAAGATTTGTCCTCTTATTATGATCTCTGGTGGCGACAAGGAAGTTTGTGCCTTATCAGTTGTCAGAAGTGACTATTTTATCCCAGATGACTCAATAATAATGCTTTAATGAGACCAGGAAGTTGTTTTGTGTCTTGAACTATCTGTTCTGTCAGAACGCCATGGGCTCAGGTGAGGAAGCAGTTCTTCAGCTCTGGAGTTAACAAGCGATCATTGGACTGCATTGAGAAAGCAGCATTCTTTGTCACACTAGATGATCAGGAAGAAGGCATGATGGGGGAAGACCCCTCTGTGAACTTGGACCGCTATGCCAAATCCCTCCTTCACGGAAAATGCTACGACAGGTGGGAGAGCAACATAACTTGTTTTTATTGAGAAACTTTGCATGTCAAGGACATTGTTTCATCTGTTCATTATGTCCTTTTTCTTTCAGGTGGTTTGACAAGTCATTTTCTGTTGTGGTGTATAAGAATGGAAAGAATGGGCTGAACGCAGAACATTCATGGGCAGATGCTCCTATAGTGTCCCACCTGTGGGAGGTGAGTGTGGGAGTCTCACATGCAGCAGTAAAAAACTTGGCGGTCATCATAGATAAAATGTCATGGTTCAAGTTTCTGTATTAGTCACCAACCCACTGCCATGTCCTTTAAAACATTTGAATACGCTATAAAAGTGTCTGTGGGTGTTTTGTATGGACAAAGACCGCTTTTTACCTCCCCCACAGCAGCTTTTGGCAGAAGACGTGTCTTCCATGCACGCCTCCACACATGCTAAACATTTACATCAAACATTTTGTGTTCGATAATGAACGTTTTGTTACTTAAAAGTGTAAGCATCATTGTTTGGGAGAATTTTTTTTCAGATCTTTCACTCTTTCACTCTCGTAGTTCACGCTGGCCACAGACGCATTTCATTTGGGTTACACACCAGATGGGAATTGCAAGGGAGAGATTGAGCGCTCCTTACTGCCTCCTCAACGCTTGAGCTGGGACATACCATTGGAGGCAAGATAAAAAGTTTCTCTTTTCTCCAGTTATACTTTCCGTGTTCCTATCGTATCTAGGTATGCCATTGATGTCACACAGCAGGTTCTTCATAGAATCTGCAAAACATCTGAGGATGCTCACAAGACACAAGAAACACACACATGTACAGACAAACACACACACACACACAAACAAATAATGACTTTTTCCTTCTTCCTCCTTCATGATGTTTTGAAGAGAGATTCATTAACAGATTCTGTTTATCCACTCTAACATACAGTAGTGGCCAAAAGTGAGGAGGGGATATTTGTTTTTATTAACCTTACAAATTTAATTAAACCATCAAAACATGAGAAAAATATTATAGTTTTCAAATATTTTAATGATTTTTATGAAGGAAGAAAAAATCACCAAACTTGGTTAAGGTATTTATCTGACAATATTTTGGGCAAAAAACAAACAGGAAACCTATAGCTACAGGTTATATTTTATATGCGGAAAAAAAGCTCACAGGAAAAAGCATACATTGACTACAACACAATCAGTTATAAATATTTTGTTGGTTCTCTCGTTTTTGCATGTGCTCATAATTTCTTTGTATGTCATCCTGGTCCAAAATTATGAAGTGCATATGCTGAAATTAGGAAGGTTGTGCGAGCTGAAATAGTAAAGGCTAAACTTCAGTATAAAAGGGAAAATTGAGTCCAAATTCAGTGAGTCTGATCTCAGATCTGTGTGGAATGGCATGAAACTAATGACAGGTCTACACAAAGGCACTAGCACTGTGTCCTTAAATGGTTTTGATTCTGATGAGCAGCTAGCAAATGAATTAAATAGTTTTTATATGAGATTTCCCAACAGTGATTTTAGTGCAAAAATCAGTCACATGAGTGAGAATTTGGTCAGTGATTGTTCTGTTCTTGATTTTGATATTGATGTATCTAAGGTCAAATCATTATTTAAACAAACTAAGGTTAGGAAAAGTCCTGGCCCTGACAACACCAGTGGCCGAGTCCTTAAGTCTTGTGCTGGTCAGTTAAGTGAGATCTTTAAAGTGATTTTCACTCAATCACTTCAGACGCAAACAGTGCCAAAGATTTGGAAACATTCTACAATCATTCCTGTGGCTATGTGTAAGAACCCCAAGGTCTTAAATGACGTTCGACCTGTAGCTCTCACCTCATTGCCGATGAAGACTTTTGAGAAGTTGGTTAAACAGGAGTTACTGAAGCAGGTGGAGGAACAGTTAGACCCTCTCCAGTTTGCTTACAGGGCTAGCAGAGGTGTTGAGGATGCAATACGTATATTGTTAAATTCCATTTATCAACATCTGGAATCCTCAAAAACTCATGCGAGGCTCCTTTTTATCGACTTCTCTTCAGCATTCAATACCATTCAGCCCTACTTGTTGGGTGAGAAACTTCAGTCTCTTTTTAACTTGAACCCTAACTTAATTGGCTGGATACTGGATTTTCTGTCGAACAGGTCACAGTGTGTTAGGGTTAATGGTGTCTTATCCTCAAAAGCCCTTACCTCCTCAGGCTCTCCTCAGGGCTGTGTTCTTTCACCATTGCCTTTTATTTTATACACAAATGACTGTAGGAGTAAGAATGAGAATAGGCACTGTGTGAAATTTGCAGATGACACCGTTATAGTGAGCCTATTGAACAATGATGAGGATGGGCATGGCCCTGTAGTTGATGATTTCATTGCGTGGTGTGAAAATTTCTCTCTGTCTATCAACGTTTCCAAGACAAAGGATATGATTATTGATTTCCGTAGATTACAGCACAATGTTTCACAAACTGTTATTCAGAACATGAATGTTGAGACAGTAGATGAATATAAATATTTAGGAACTATCATTGACAGCAAATTATCTTTTGAGAGCAACACAGATGCTGCCTGTAAAAAGGCCCAACAGAGACTTTTCTTCTTGAGGAAGATGAAATCATTCAGCGTGTGCAGGACTCTGATGACTTTGTTTTGCAAGTGTTTTATTGAATCAATCTTGACATTTTGTATTGTGGTGTGGTACAGTGGCCTTTCAATGATCAACAGCTGCGTAAGCTAACAAAGCTGGTAAACGTAGCATCTAAGGTGGTTGGGGTACAGCTACCACAGCTGCAACATATAAGATAAACGGGTCCGGGGTAAGGCTAACCAAATTTTAAATTGCCCTGATCACCCACTCTTTGGGGAGTGTAATCTGCTCTCCTCAGGTCGCCGTTTTAGATTACCTATGTTAAGAACTAGACTTGCCAGTGATTCTTTTATTCCTGTGGCTATTAGGAACCTGAATTCACTTGAGTGACATCTTATGAAATTTTTATATAGTATATGCTTATTTATTAATTTATTTCCATCATTGTTCATTATGACATACTGACCTGTGCACTGTCCAATTGGAATCTGTCATTGGTTTTGGGGGAAGGAGTGTCTCTGTTGATGTGTGTCCTGTGTTGTTTACAATGTTGTTGGCATCTGGTGGTGCTTTTTTCTGTGTATGTTTTTTAGATATCCTGCTGCACACTAAATTTCCTTTTCTAAGGAGAAATAAAGTGGAACTTTGAAAGAAACAGTGGTTACACTACCTGGACGGGGCAGATAAAGTAAGCTATCAACGGCAGATTTCTGAGAGGGCAGGTTCAGAAAAACCCTTGAGTGACTGCAAAAGACCTGCAGCAAGACTTGGTGGCAACAGGCACCGAGGTTTCTGCTTGCACAGTAGGGTGCGTACTAAACCCATGCAGTTTTTCTATGCTAGAACTCCAAGACGTATACCACTACTGACCCAAAAGCACAACAAAAGTCAGCTCCAATTTGCTCAAAATCATATAAATAAGCCACAGAGGTTTGGGGATTCTGTTCTGTGGAGCGATGAAACAAAACTGGATCTTTTCGGCTCTATGGATCAGTGGTATGTCTGGGGGAAGTATCTGCTGAAAATAACACTCTGTCTACAGTTAAGCATGGTGGTGATTCAGTGATGCTCTGCAGCTGCGTTGCATCCTCTGGCACTGGAAACCTGTTGCATGTGGAAGGCAAGATGGATTTATTGAAGTATCAGGAAATCCTAGGAGAAAACATCATGCCATCAGTGGGGAAGCTGAAGCTCGGGCGTCATTGGACTGGAACAGGATAAAGATCCCAGGCATACCTCAAATTCCACCAAGGCTTGGTTGCAGAAGAAGTCCTGGAAGATTCTACAGTGGCCATCATCACAGTCACCTGACTTGAACCCCATAGAAAATCTCTGGTGAGATTTGAAGGCGGTTGCAGCACGCAAACCCAAGAATATTACTGAACTGGAGGCCATTGCTCATGAGGAATGGACTAAGATTCCTCAGAAATGCTGCCAGAAGCTGGTGTCTGGTTGTACATCTCGTTTGCAGCAGGTCATAACAGCAAAAGGGTGTACTCCTAAGAACTAAAGATGCTTGCCATGAAGTGGTTAAATAATTTTGAGACTGCAGAAGTCCCTAACAGTTGCATTTTGTGTTGGATTTGGGGAAACCACTTGATACATTTGTTGTATTGAGATGTTTCAATTACTTTTGTTTGATTTGTTAATTGCAAACAGCTAAAAGTTAGTACATTTTGTGAATAAACCTGATTTGCAATGGGGGGTTGAATAATTTCGATTACATCTGTAAATTGTAAATAAATTGACAAACAAATAGACATATTTAAAAAATATTTATTCATGCTTAAATGTTAGGTAAAACCAACAATAACATTACATTAACTGTGTTAAATGACACATTTAAATAGGTTTTTAATATATATATATTTTTTTTTGCTTTTTGTTTTCTATTTGCTGTTTTGAAAAGTCATTGTATTTGTCTATTTATTTAATGTTAGGGATTTGTTGTAAACATTTTTATTTTTGACTTCATACGTTCAATTGATTTCTTCATTTTATTTTAAATGGTTCTCCTAATGTTCTAGTTCTATAGAGTGATAAAGCCTTTTTAAAATAGTAGTTTAATGAAAGTTAGCAGCCAAGAGTGTTACACAACCTTTTTTTGCACAGTCAGTTTACAGCCAGACAAACATATCAAAGTGTAATCTGAGAATCCCGTATTTTGATGGGAAACCTTTATTCATGTTTCATATCTCTAAGGTTCACTGATGTTGTACTGGCTCATACTAATATTTGTATGCAGGCCATTTGCCTTATTTTAAGGAATTTAAATCTGTTATATTTATACAGTAATTATAATTACTATAATCTTTAGTCATTATATAATCAATACTATACTATAATCATAATTATGATTGCTGTAGCACTGTTCAGCCAAACTCTGCACATGACTTTCTGTATACTGTCTGTGGCACTGGGCAACTCTGAAAATGTGTGTTGTTTGATCGGGGATTTCCCCTCAGCTTCTTCTCAGTGTCAGTAGTTCACTTTCAAATTAACAGTGGGGATTTTTTTGAGAACTATTGTGTACATGTGCGACAGTGGTAGGAATAATTGTATATTATGTGATAATGGCCAGCACTCTTCTGCTACACATGGAGAAATATCATTAACAATTAGCTTGAAGTCTGTATGTGTAACACATTATAAAAGTATTCTTAAAGCGATACTCCACCCAAAAATGAAAAACTGTCATCATTTACTCGTCGTTCCAAATCTCTATATATTTCTTTCTTCTGCGAAAACAAGAAAATGAGTAATTCTGAAGAATGTGGGGAACAAAATAACTTGGCAAAATAACTAATATACAATATTATTACCTGTAATAAAATCTGCAAAATAAAGTCATCTGCAGTCATACAAGTGCTGAGATTCCAAGCTGGCCTTACAAAATTATGTTGCTGAATTGCTTGCATCCACTGCAATCTTCTTATAGCTTCTTTAACTCAATTGACTTTTAGGAATATTTTTCTTTTCCAAATATGAAATGTATTTCTCTTCATTTCCCCATAGAACTGAATAAGAAAATGGTTATAGAAACTAGAAGTTCTATTTTCCTTCATGCTAAACCATGACCCCAGTACATGATACATTGGCAACTTAATTTATTTTGAGTGTTATCATCAGTAATACAACATTCAGCAGTGTTCTTCGAGGACCAAAATAAATGAAAACCATCACAGGCATACTGATGTCTCCTCTCCTCTGTCTTTCTCTAGGTTCAGACACAAGTTTCTGAGTCCCTTGCTGTTGCGCAAGCACTGGCTGATGATGTGGACTGTCATGTGTTTCCCTTCAGAGAATTTGGGAAAGGCCGCATTAAGAAAATGAAAATAAGCCCAGATTCATTTGTGCAGCTGGCACTGCAGCTGGCTTACTACAGGGTACTTATACATGCTACACATTTTGACACAAAGGCGAAAGCATTGATTTATGATAAAGATTTATGATGTCTCAACATAATTGTTTCACATATTGTTAAACATTGATAAACATAAGTTCAACATTCCTAAGAGGTTGTTTTTGAGGATGGAACTTCCTCTTATTTGTCCCATGAAATGTGTCCGTACTCTAATTGAATAATGAATGCTCGGGTGAATACAATGTTTTACACATGAAGTTGTCTTCCAGGATAAAGGGACTTTCTGTCTGACATATGAAGCCTCAATGACCCGTCTGTTTCGTGAGGGTCGCACTGAGACTGTACGCTCCTGCTCCAATGAAAGCTGTGCCTTTGTCCTTGCGCTGGAAGCAGGAGAGGTGATGGCAATGCTTTGATTTTTTTTTAAATACTTCCTTCTACCGTTTTTTTTGCAGAAGGAACTGTTGAAAACCCTATCAGCAGTTCATAATGCACTTTTCACTTTATCAGTATGCCTTAGCTGACTTAAAAAGCTAGTTGGAATTTCTTACAGTTCTTACAGTTTCCGTCTTGGTTATTGACAGCACTGCACCAATTAGCTGAATGCCAGTTAAAAATAACATGAAGGAATCAATTATCAATTTGTCAGTTCAAAAATAAAACATAATATAACAATATTAAATATAACAGTAAAATACATTAATAAATCACTTTTCAAATGGTCAAATAAAAAGACATTGAAAACTGTTTATTTAATTCAGGTTTAAAACGTTAGAGGAAAGTCCATTGACTGTGCCCATATTCAAACTGCCCAATACTTGATTTTTATTAATGTATAAAGAAAATAATTAGGCAAAATAATAAAGAAAAGCAATTTGTATTTTCTTTATACAATTTATAATTTAATTCATTGATAGTTCATTTCTTCATTTTATTTTTTAAGTGCCACTGTCCTCGATAATTGGCATCCTCCTTTTCTGAGAGACTGTGATTTGTGCTGTCATGTAACATCTCGCATGCCAATTATTTCGTTTTGCCTGCTTTTATTCATAGGACAGAGAACATTGCCAGAAGCAGTTCCAAAAGGCTTCCGAGAAGCATCAGAATCTCTACCGCTTGGCCATGACTGGATCTGGCATTGATAGGCATCTCTTCTGCCTATATGTGGTCTCAAAATACCTGGGAGTAGAGTCTCCTTTCCTCAAAGAGGTCAGTGTTTGTAATGGCGAGATTTTGCAGAGTTAAGGATAAGATAATCTTAATAAGCCACCCAAAATGGTTTCCTGAGGTTATATATTATGCTTTTTCCTTAGAGATCTACTCAAAATCCCAACCCGGTCACACTAAATGCGTCTCTGTAGCACTCATTGTGTTTATCGTGCAATTTATATGCGAAAATTAGTTTTTACGTGCATATGATACGCATGGGTAGGTTTAGTAGTGGTGTGGGGGGGTACATATTATACGTTTGGGTATGATTAGTGTTGCGGGAGGCGTGTGTATTACACGCAATAAAGTGCGTATCATATGCATGTCAAAACTCATTTTCGCGTATAAATTGCGCGATAAACACAATACATGCTATAGAGATGCATTTGCATGAGATCAGGCTGCAAAAGCCTAAGAAATAAAAAGTGAATAACTCTTCAACTAAGCTAGTGCATAAACATGCAAAACCCCATTAATTGGCAGCTGATTGTTTGTTAAAAATGTTCATGTGTGATACAAAGGGGATTCATGGGGGAGAAAAGAGTTGCAAGCGATGCATGTTTGTTTGTGCATGATGTTGTTTGTTTATTTTGTTCATGTGGCTGTACGTGACATTCAGGTTTTGTCAGAGCCTTGGCGCCTCTCCACTTCTCAGACTCCTGTGCAACAGATGGAGCTGTTTGATCTGGTCAACCATCCTGAGTTCATCTCGCTAGGAGGAGGCTTTGGTCCGGTGAGCAACTGATCAGCACATACATACACATAAACGGGTAGAAGCACTCCTTTGTTCACTGTGTTGTTCGTGTTTTCGTTCTTTGCAAGGTGGCTGATGATGGCTACGGTGTCTCTTATATCATCATGGGAGAGGAAATGATCAACTTCCATGTGTCCTGCAAGCACTCCTGTACAGAGACTGTAAGTGTGAAGCATAACTTCAGAACAATGAATTGCTTGTCTTTTTACAAAGATATTTTTAATGTCCAAATCATGGCATTATTTTGACTTCTTGTTCTGCACTGCAAATTGGCTTAATAACAGTATCCAGTTCAACTTATAGGCTACATAATAAATAATTATTTTTTTTACCAAATTCTCAATATAATTAATATAAAGCAGTTAAACGAGTAGAGTACAAACACCAGGTTGCCAGGTCTTTGTAACAAAACCTGCCCAAAGGCCAATCCAAACTAGCCAAAAAAAACTAGCCCAATGACCCTATCCAAATATCAATACTCAACACATGCCATTCCCATACCTAAAATACATATTGTTATGCTTTCTCGTGTTTGGGTTATCAGTGTCCGTGGAGGCGTGAAGAGAAGCACACAACAAAGACTCCATTTCAGGAACTTGACTTTATTTATTAAGACACACTTGTACAACACCGGGGGTTTTATACTCTTGTCCAGCGCCTATGAGCTCCATCACCAGAGCCTGCTGCGAGCATCTGCCGTTGAACGTAACAAGCAATGACCCCACGTAATGACGTAACCACATCTGACTGGCTAAAACAGAACTCATTATGCATACATGTAAAATAATGGTAACAATTTATTTACTTAACACTATAACAATATTTTACAGTCACTGTTTTGTGTTATACACTATTTCAACTTGAACAGTTGACAGTTTTCATAAAGGCTCTTCCCTCACAAAACTTTTCATCTAGCACAATTTTCATGGGTAGAATGCAAAATATTCCAATTCAAGCTTTTCAGTCAAATACTATTTATGCAACATGTCAAACCTTTAAACCGCGAGACAAAATTGACCTGCGGCAACAGTTTAAAAGTAGATCAATTCCGCTGGAAAACCACAAACTTGGCAACCCTGAGTACAACGTACAAAAAGCAAGTTATTAAAGGAAAAAAGAGTAATACATCTGATATAGTCTGATATAGAATATACTGTAGTTCAGGTTTCAAATTTAAAATATATATTTTTTATTGTATAAATAATCTATAATCATTTATTATTTAGAATATTAAAAGAACAAATAATCTTATTTTGGAAAATCATGCTGCACTTGAGTTTAGTGAGGATTAGTGTCCGTATTTTTGATTTATGCATCTTGTATATATTTTCTGTGCATTTTGTGTTTCGGATCCTCCAGTATGGTTTTTTTATAATAGACCCAGATTTTGTTGATTCAGATCTGCATGACAACATAATATAACATATAATTGAACTTTACCAGCTAGCAGTTGGACAGTTTTTCTCTTCATTGTTGTTTTGAATTCAAATTGAGACTATACAACAAAAACAAAAAATCTACCATGTAAGTACAGTTAGACTTTAAAGAATTTAGTATTCTCAGATATAATGGGCACTTGATGTCCTGCTCTGCAAGATAAGTGATTTTATTTCATAATGCGATGAATGGTGTTTTTTGTGTTCCCTAAAAATGACAAGTGGTGCTCACTGCAAAACAAAATGATGTCCAGCTCCCCCTCTGTGGACCTTATGGGTGGAGTTGTGTTTAGCGATAGGGTTATGGATAGGGTTGGGTGTGGTTGCACTGAGCAAATTATGTCTTTCTAAAATGATGCTATTTTACACATAATCCAGAGTCTCTTGTACTCCTGTATAGAAACTAAAATGCAGTGTTCTATTTTTTCTTATTCATAGGATTCTCATAAATTTGGCTCTCAAATCAGTCAAGCCATGATGGATCTTATGTCTCTGCTGAACCCAGACTTCAAGGAAGCAACAAAAGCCAACCCTGCCAAACAGTCATAAAATTCTTACAGGAAGACTGGATGCACATTTGTTTGAAGACTTCTATTTATGTAATTTGTGGATTTTATATTTGATTCTTTGATGTTTGTAGGTTTGAGGCTGCTATATATTGGAGCTATCTTAGTGTCAATACTGAAAATAACTAGTAGAGTTTCTGGTTTTGCTAATTGTTGCTAATTTGCTATGGCGGTATTCTGTATACAATATATCACTAAAATAGGTGTCCTGAGGAATTATGTTTGTCTGTCTGATTGCCGGCTCTTTTTGTGTGGGTTCAAGTTTGACGACATATTTGTCTTTCCAGGGTGTGGTTATGAAGATAGGCTATGTGGTTTCAGCTACAGCTTTAAATCTCTCACAACAGCGTCTATACTAATGTGTTCTGTTATTTGTATTCACTGTGAGAAAAAAAATATGCGCAAAGATTTTACCTTTTGGTACCTTAAAGGGACAATTTTTGTATCTTATATTCCCACAAAAGGTGCAAATTCATACCGTAGAGTAGTTATATGTACCCAAAAGGTGGTACTACCAACCTTTTAGGGGTAAATAAGATACAAAGTGTTTCTTGTAGTATAGTGTAGCTTTTAATGTGTGTGTTGAATTTCATTGTTTTGTAAATTAATTTGAAGAGAAGATTATTTTGCTGGCAAGGAAGATTCCCCCTCCATTTAAGAAATGCTGCTGTGAAATGCTGTGTTTTTTATATATATCAGACATAAAATGTCTATAGCACCTGTCAGATAACACTGAATTGATCATTTGAGGAAATTACATCAGTACCCGAAAATAAACCTATCAATTATAGCATTCTCGTGTTGATGTCCGGTGCTCTGGTGAAATTATATGGTGCCTTGCTAACCAGACAAACCTTGAAGAAAAAAAAAAGTCTGTGTAGTAATTGTGGTGGCAAACAAAATTCTATCACTGAAAAAGAGACAAACATTTCCAATTGTCTTTGACGAGGTTTATTTTCTTGCAAGAAAAGCCAGCAGTCATACAGTCACAGAGTGGCTGCAGAGTGTGACAGTGAGGGGAGGGCATCCTTCCTCTTTTATAGTTTTGACTCCCAGAATGTTATCTTTCTAGGCCAATGATGGTATTTTCTAGCCTAGATGCCAGCCCGAACCCCGCCCACAACATTTTTTTTGGTCGGGAAGTTCGGTCTGGACTCGATCCATTGAGGAGTAATTATAGCCTGGTTAAAACCAGACCATTCTCAGTTGTAACTGAGTTATATAAATAGTAGTGCTGGGCAAGTTAACGCGTTATTATCGCGTTAACGCATTTATTAATTAATGGCGACAATTTTTTTATCGCGCGTTACGCAGTTTTTTTAATTATTATTTTGAAAGTCCGTTGCTCACTGGCTCTGAATACACATAGGCCTACAGTCAAACCATGATCACAGGAGGGGTGGGGTGTTGGTCAGCCAGCAAATAACCCACCCAAACAAGCAGTGGAGAGGCTTTGGCAGGTTCTCTCAGGTGAACAGAAAGGGAGACAGCGCTCCGCGAGTGAATGACAGGCGCTCTATGGATAGTAACCATGGCAACGGCTTCTGTGCGCTACGCAGCTGTAGCCTTCTTAACTTAAATAAAAATTATACATAACTTTACCTGATAGGCCTGCGTTTAGTTTAGCGGGGATGCTCTGCCATGTGAATTCCCTCCTGTTGATGTCCTGATAACTATTTAGATTCTGGAAACTCACAAACAGCGAGCCGAGGATCAGTCTCTCTTCCAATGATTTGTGCTGCGCGTCGTGTACAAAAAGTTAGACAATTCCACTTCGGCAACGCGCGGGCGCGTGCGTGAGGCGTATGGCGTTCCGATAGGCTCAAATATGTAACTTTGTAGCACGCACTCGTCTCAATGAACGTGACGTCTGCGTCTGCCGAACGTGACGTCTGCGTCTGCAGAACGTCTCGTCTGCGTCTGCCACATCACTCGTTCGTGTGCCGAACGTGACGTCTGCGTCTGCAGAACGTCACGTCTGCGTCAAGGGGGTTTCCATGGCTGCGTTTCCCAAAAGCATTGTAAGCCTAAGTTGATCGTAAAAACGATCGTACGACTGATCTTAATATTATGGTCTGTTTCCCAAAAGCATCGTAACTTAAGTAGCACTTGAAAATCTTCGTAGAACTGCGAGTGCTCTGCTAATTGTAAATCCCCAAGTTCATCGAGACAGAGTTATGAGATCACCTGCAGGAGGACAACCGGCAGATTACACTTTTATCTAGATTTAACAGACTACACTACGTGAGTATAATATAAGGTTTTGATTGTACTTTATTGTACACTTTGTTGTACTCGTGTTTTGTTTAAATGAATAGGACATAATTAAAAAGAGAAGAAAAATAGAAATACACATCTAAATTAAACGAATGAACAAAAAAAATCATAAAATAAGAAATCTGGGAAATATGCTTTAAAGACTGGGCAAAATAGGGATGAATTCAAAAAATTCTGTCAACGACTTGCTGACGTGCACGAAAACCAGCCATGTATTGGGCATTTCTTGCGGACCTCCTTCCCTGATCTTTGAACACGGTTGCAGTTAGTTTGCAATGTCCTCCCAGATGTTTTGTTTTTCCTTATTTGTATGGTGTCCTTTAAATCTGTTAAAAATAAAATCTTTGTTTCCCTCTATATATCTTCTCTAAAAGGACATTAATTTTATCTTTTTGAAAGGTATCTTCTCTTGTTTTTTTGTTTTTGTTCAGCCATTTTGTCAGCCTGTAGGCCCTATAGGTGCTTTATATCTATATAGACTTGTCTTGATTTAATCCACAACAAATGACGATTATTAGGTTAAACGTTCAGAATACGATTCCATATAAGGTTATATTTCAGCACTTCGCGAATGGACAGCGACGCTTAAGTAGCACGTAGAACGCGTTCTCGCGCTTTCATGTTAAGTGCATTTTTGGGAAACGCGCGTGGAATTGCGGCGAGCGTTCGTAACCTTGCACGTAAAGAGCGCTCTTAAGAGGTAAGATCATACATCGTTATCGGGAAACCCGGCCCAGCACATTCCACACACTTATTCGTTCTTTATTATTTTCCCCCACTGATCTTCAATTCTATTTTATTAGCAATGAAGTGCACATTACCTTGCTTATACATAGCTTTTTATAATATACTTAGTAAATATTAATTTACACAAATTATCATGTTAAAATTTGTGTTTGCCATATTTTCTTGTCGACATGTCCACATATAGCCTACTTAATCATAAAAAGATTAACCATAAAAACTAAAAAGCATGTAGGCCTATATACTATTCACCACTAGGAGTCTCGTGACCAACACAAAATAACTTAGCCTAGTTGTAAACATTTGGGCTGATTTAACGAACAAAATAAAATGTGTTATTTGTAATGTTTAACTTTAAAGTTGTAATATTTGGTTTTTAGAGTTTCACCGAAGTTTGATTGACGCCTACTTTTGCCGTGCTTTGCAGCAAGATTTCTGCGTGCGCTTGACCATGGATGCACTTAATAAGAAAAATCTTTAGTCTATGGCTACTCTAATCAATACATTTATTTTACATTATTTACTTATTTATTGGATATTAGTAATTAGTGTCCAGTTATTTGCATTACATTAGTTGAGTTAACATACAGCTAATTAGTAAATGAACGAATAAAATAATAAAATAAAGATTACATTAAGATGCTATGCTAACCACATATTTCTAGCATTGCTTGTTCCTACACGAAAAGGATTGTATTGTATCTTCTGTTATAAAGATGATTGATATTTCGTTAATTAAAAATAATAAGCGAAAAATATATAGTAAAAATATTAAATGTAATGTTCTTTATGCGTTTTGACTAGGCTACTTTTTGTATTTTGTATAATTATATCTCTATGTAATGAAGATAGCCTATTAACAAAAAATATTATTAATATTATTATTATATATAGGCTAATATAAAACTTTTGTATTCAATTATAGGCTATAGAACATTTGGAATAAAAATACGCTGAAAACCCAAACAATAGCATGTGACAAACGAAACACGTCTTGTTTATTATGCTGCTGCTACAAAAACTGAATAGGCCAAATAAATAAATAAATAAACAAACAAACGACGTCCTATAGGACATAGCCTAAACTGTTTTGTGTTCATAGCCTTGAGTTTGCAGATTGTAGTAGCCTATTATTCAGGATATCCGACATTATGTTTTTGTAACCATTTTAGTAGCCTATAGCCTAATAGTTTTATATAGGCCTATTTATAAAAAATATTATTTTTTAATTCTATTCTTCTATTTAAAGGATCTACAGAAACAGTGGTTGTGCGATCGAGTTGTCTGTTTTCTAGTTTACCAAAGTGCTGGCTTTTTTAAATTATAAAAAAAAAAAAAAAAAATCCTATATATAAATCACAGACGCAGACGTGACGTTATAAGACAGACGCAAGTGTCACGTTCATTGAGACGAGTGCATGTTGCAAAGTCATATTAAAGAACCGATCGCAACCGCTGGCACACTGCACTGAGCATTGCTGAGTAGAGTGTTAAACCCGTGTTAGAGAAAAAAACAATTTATAACTTCACTGCTACACGTGAATGACACGTAAACGTCTGACAATACACTTCACTGCCACACGTGATTTACGTGACGTCTGCGTCACGTCTGCGTGACGTCTGCGTCACGTCTGCGTCTTAAATTGAATGGAATAAATAGCCGAATAAAAAAAAATTTAAGACGTTGAGTGAGACGTTCATTGTAACGAGTGCATGTTGCAAAGTTATATTAAAGAGCCGATCGGAACGCCATAGAGGCGAGCATGACCGCAACAGTTTCACAGGAACGCACCCGCTTGTCGCTGCACCTGTGCTCGACCACTTCACCTCACTCTAGGCTGATTTATACTTCTGCGTCGGACCTACGCCGGAGCCTCTACGCTATAGACTACGCGTTGGTTTTCATTTATATATCTGCGTCGTTGTCCGCGTTGACGCGCAATTACACATGCAGAGGGAGAGTGTGAAACCCGGGGAGCGGTTCTAGCAATCACAGCGCTTGCGGTACGCGTAGAATTGACGTTACATTTTTGGAGAGATGCACGTCAGGGTACGCGCGCTACACAGCTACGGCGTGAGTTCGACGCAAAAGTATAAATTGGCTTTACCTCTGTTTAATGTAATCTTACGTGGGAAACCATGGCATGCCATGACCAAACGTAAGCTGCTATCAGAGAAGTAACGTTGGTCGACTTATTTCTGTAGTAGTGATCATGACCCTTTGACTAGACTGTTTCTGCTGCTCCCTGATACAAGATACCTGTTCAGAAAAAACAACAACAAGAAAACTGGACTCTTTTAACAAGCTAGATAAAAGGTAATGCCCTGGCAGTGGCAAATAGCTTTGTTTAAATATTTGATTTGATTACATTAATGTTTAAGTTGAGATTTACAATAAATATTTTGTTGATACTGTGTAAAGGGAATACTGCTGGTATAAAAGCACCTTATTTGTTTAAAGTTTTTGCAAACCACATGTTATTGCACTTTTGTAGCAGTACATTTAAATCAAAAGTGCGCAATACACTACTTTAGAATTCATTATTCAATTTTGCGTGTAACAATGCGAAAATTGAAAAAGAAAATCATGCGATTAATCGCGATAAAAAATTTTAATCGTTGCCCAGCACTAATAAATAGTGTTGTGAACTTTTTCTTCTAAAGTGTAGGAAACTCAGAAGCGAAGACCAGGAGATTTGGAAGTATCTTTTTAAGCAGGGTTCTTTATTGCTGTTTGCATCGCTGTAGTCTGCTTCGTCCAAAAATCGTAGCCAAGTCTAACTAAGGGAACTTTACATTGCAGTTTTATATACATTTCAAGGGGGTGGGATTAATTACATAGAGGAGGGGACTCTTGAACAAAACAATGACAGTACATGATTCAGCCGGTTAACAGTGAAACTCAGAGCCTTGAGATGCTAATCCAATCAGCCTGATTAGATCAACAGAAGGCCCAGCTGACCTTTGAGATGTGACAAGAAGTTAGTGTCCGAAACCTTGATTGCCTCAAAATGGAAAACAGTGTGTGCACTTTCTCAGTTAAAAATACTGTTGTATTGGAACCTAAATTAAACATTTAAATAAATTTGTAATCCTACAATAGTCTCTGGTTATGGTCTGGCAAAGCTTCATAGACAAATCATTTCCAAAGGGGCGTCACCAACAGACGTAGCTCAAATGCCTCTGGGCGCAATTGGATAGACCTAAAACCAATCAGAGCAATGAAGAAGATGACGTATGCAGAGCGACGTTCGTCTGTTATAGAACAACTTGAATAAAGTAATAACGAGCAGACGCTGATTAGCTACTTGCTCTACGTTTATTTAAAATTAACAGCAAGACAACTAGAAGTGAATGTGCTTTCCATTAAACAAATCACACACAGTAAACAAAACCTTAACAAAAAAAACTTTGCAATGGACTTTGCAATTTAGACGCGTAAACTGGGTGCTGGTGCAGTGATGAGACGTACATGCTCGGGCAGATTCGGCTTGAAGTCGTTCATCCTCGGATGCGGCGTCGCGCACGCTATTGCAAAAAAAGCCGTGCACACAGCCAAGTGAAATGGGGTCTTGCGCACCGAACCGAACGCGCCATTTTTGCCGCGCGCACCTTCGCACTCGTGCGGACGCGTCAAGTATAAACAAGGCTTTACTCCGTGTCAGCGCGCGCTCTGATCGGTAAAGGGGCAGAGATTTCAGACCTCTGTTTAATTAAGGAGATTTCTCTTCTTGTGAGGGGATGCACAGACCTCTCCCGAATCATCTCCAGCTGTAGCAGCCTCCGAAGCACCACTAACTCCGCCTCCGTTTCCCTCGTAAGCTGATATTAGTATTTAAACATTCTCTATGATAAAACATTTTTGTGAAAAAAATATTTTTATAACATGGTTTTGGCGGTTATAGAGTTCTAATTACGGTGTTCAACTATAACCGTCACACCCCTAGTTCCACAGCGGCATCCATCTTTGTAAATGTACAAAATCTGCTTCACCGTCGCTGTGCTGTCGTCTTCGTGTAAAGCGCCCCGCCCCAACGTTTCTGATTGGGGCCGCGATTTCGATGGATTAGAAATGGGCTTGAATGAGCTCTTTGCCAGACTAACTTGCAGAGCAAATCTAAATTTGCCGGAAATTGTCTGGGTTTTCCCAGGCAGGCTAGAGTAATTATGATCGGTTCAGAAATCGTCGGGCCAATCAAATTGCCAGGGCGGGCTTTATACGATGATGGACAGATGATCTGCAGGGACGTAATCATCACGTTATCAAAGAGCGCTTGGGTTGAACTGGTTTCCCTCAAAGTTGACTGCAGCTGGAGAATTGAGATGTATAGATTCCGCTATCGCGTCTGTTGTAAAAGAAATCGACAGCGCATTAATTTTGAAAGACGAACAGAGAACTGCAATCAAGGAATTTGTCGATCGGAAAGATGTGTTTGCCGTCCTTCCTACGGGATTCTGCAAAAGTTTAATTTATCAGCTGGCTCCGATGGTCACTAAGAAGATGGGACGCAATAAACCCTGTGGTCGTTGTGGTTTCTCATTTGGTCGCAGTCGCACTCATAAAGGACCAAGTAAAAGAAGCAACACTCATTATTTTACTACTACTTCCATCGTGCGTGCAGTTGAGTTCTGTTGACAACTATGCGTGGCTCAACATACGTCACTTACTGCGTTGCTCTGATTGGTTGTAGGTCTATCCAACTGAGTGCAGAGTTTTTTTTTTTCTGGTTCGTTTAAAGGGATAGTTCGGCCAAAAATGATATTTAAACCATGCATTACTCACCCTCAAGCCGTTCGAGATGCATATGTCAATCTTGTTTCAGACGAACACATTTTCAGTTATTTTAGAAAATGATTACTTATTTATGATTACCCTCATAAGGCCTTCGTTTATCCCCCTGGAGCCGGATGGATTACTTTTGTGAAGGATGTATGCACATTTTGGGACTTGAAGGAGGTGGACCCCATTGCTTCACATTATATCCACTGAAGGGTCTAAGACATTTTCTAAAATAACTGAAAATGTGTTCGTCTGAAACAAGATTGACATATGCATCTCGAACGGCTTGAGGGTGAGTAATGCATGGTTTAAATATCATTTTTGGCCGAACTATCCCTTTAAGACACGCCTCATAATCAAAGCCCTATGGAGCAGTATCAGACTCACATTCTGACTAGAATATGAGTATGACGAAGTCAGGCTAGGTATTTTCAACCATATGTGGAACATTCTTAGACTTGTTCATCATATTGTATACTTGAGTGGAGGCCCTCCTGTCACGTGCAACACTCTTTACCATTCCAATACAATTCCATATTAGAATAAGGTTTGTGTGTGCTCTTTTACTGTCATATGATGCTCACACACATCTTAAAGATACAATTTCTTCCACATGACGTGACGTTATCTGGACAGGCTTGTTCAGAAATGACATGATGTCAGTCTCTTGCCAGATGTTTAATGGATCAACTTGCCAAAAGGATGATGTTAAAGCAGTATTAATAAATTAATATTAAATGGATCTGCTTGCTGACAGCTGATGCAGCTCAATTAAATGTAATGCATTAGAGAATTAGTGGGAACTGAATTGCAGCATACTATTTGTGATTACTAAGTGATATCCAGATGGCATATTTGTTTTTAATAACCCTACAAGTTTGATTCAACCATCAAAATTAGGAACTTTTATTATTTTCCAAATATTTTAAATATGAGTAATATTTATCTGACAAAATTTTTTAGCAAAAAAAGCAAACAATAACTTCAGGTTTTTATTTTACTATGAAAAAAAAAAAAATTGCATACGTTGACTTCAACACAATCAGTTATTAATATTTTGTTGGTTCTCTCATTTTTGCTTGTGTTCATAATTTTTATTGTACAGTCAGGCCAAAAAATATGTCAGCACAATTTACGTTTCATTGCGTTATCACAAATAAAACAATTGACTCCAAGCCCAACTACGCAATAGGCTGACAAAAGTTTTTAATAATATTTGAATAAAGGATTATTCGAATAAATGTTGATTTTCCTAGGCTGGACATAATTTTTGGCCACAACTTAAAATATAGCAAAGTATTACCGATTTGTTCGGATTTTTTTTTTTTTTATTAAAGGAGGAACAAAATTGAATTGTTCTTGTATAGTAATATTCAATTATACTGTAATTTGTAATTGTCATTTATATTTGCCTTTCAAATGGCTTCTTGTAGCCTATGATCATCTCAAACATGCGTAGTAGGCCTATATGTTCAAGCAGAGTTTGACTTTCTTTTACCTTTGTAGGTGACAAACTTCTGTTGGACAGACACTGTAGGTAAATAAGGTCAAATAAAATTATTTATATTGCTATGAAATTTTAGGTAGGCCTATTCCTGTGACATCTTTCCTACGTATTATTTTTATATTACACGTTGCTAAACAAAAAAGTTTGATTCACATTAGAAGTCGCAAACGGTGCCGCGAAAGGGGGTGGGGACTTTCTCCATTTGTCAATATGCAATTGCGCCTAAAGTTGCGGTTGGTTTTTTTAACAGCACTACTCTTAGCACAGTAAACCCACGCAACGTAAGAACATCGTTTACTCTAAATAAACTGTCATATTCCACTCCGTCACTTTCTCCCGTTTCCTGTCTGGTATCTTAGGGGGCTTTTAAACTCCCAGCAACACAAAAAGGGGCTCGTTGCTTGAGGCAGGAAAGCGAAAGTATGTTGCAGATCAAGACAAGGCGGCTGAAAGGTAAGGCGTATATTTGAGAGAGTGCTATTAGATGTATGATTTTCGAACTAAAATCTCCATTGGGGTTCTATTATTAGGCTATAACATGTATTTATTTACTTCTAAAATATTAATACAAATTATAAAGCTATTGTTTGGGTAGTCATATATTATGCTACCATCCGGATTTTTCTGTCCTGTTTTGGCGGCTGTTTGATAATGTAAAGCCGACAGTATCGGTATTAATTAATTAGTGGAATGGCATCTGACGTTTTCTTGCCACTGACACGCGCTGTTGACGGCTGCTGCACACCTGGTGACGGCATGTTCTGGGGAGCGTAGTTTTTGCGAAACGAAGTTTTCATCCTTTTGTTTGTCAGTAACTTAGTAGGCATTTCCCCAACGTATGATGACAGCATATTTGTAATCACACAGTACTGACGGTTCAGATACATTATTTAAAAAATGGTATGTCTGCTGATGTTGCATGCTACTATAATATTGCATATAGCCTACCTTCAGGACATGTAGCCTATCCATTGCAGTAGCCAGAGGTCATTCAGCGGTGTGCACGTATAATTCAGTTTTAACAGTTGTCTGTTCATTGTCCTTTGCTTTGTTTGAAAATCAATGAGATCGAATCGATTCGTCGCCGCCGGTTTGCTAACGGGTTTTGAGAGAGTTTTGAGTGAGGGCACGGGTGCTGCCATTCCTACCCAATATCTGTAGAACATGTTACAGTATAAAAAGTTCTACCACTGACCATAATGAAGGATAGGCTATTTGTGTTTGTGGTCCACAAACACAAATAGCCTATCCTTATGGTGACAACAAGCAGGGTATCGGGCCTTCTGCCGTCAGTCTTGAAGGTCTGGATACGCAAGACTGTCTGTCTCCGCACTGAGATGATCACATCGTCTGTTGTAGGCCTAAAAATAAAATTCAATAATAAAAATAATGACTAGACCTTGGCTTTATACAAATGCAATAATATTAGAAAAATACGAATATATGTACCTTGTCTGTAAACTGTCATATTAAACCACCATGAAATTGCAGTAGCCTATTTAGGCTATTAAAAATGATTTATCGGTGCACATCATTATTATTATTTTTTAATTCATGAGCATTCGTAACCTTTAATCAAAATAACTATACAAATACAAATATTTGTACCTTGTCTGTAAACTGTCATTATATGATCTTAAAGTCACCATGAAATTGCAGTATTTAGGCTATTAAAAATGATTTATCAGTGCACATCATTATTATTATTTTTTCATTTCATGAGAGCTTGTAACCTTTAATTTAAAATAACTTCCACTCCTTCTTGCAAAGACATCTCTTCTCATCTCTGATGACTTGCTGACTGGCGTGAAGGAGGGACAACCTGTTGCTCACATGACATCACAGCAATAGAAAACCACAAACATCCAATCAATTCCCCATGACAAAATTAAGTCTAAATTTTTTCTTGTGCAAGGAAGTGTTTCATTGAATATATATGTCACAATAGGGAAGAAGATACATTCGCAACTTCCGTTTCATGCTGACTTTAAAACAACTTTAGCAAACAGCTACAAGTGTCTATTTAAGTGTATATACATATACTATAGTTGCATAGGTGTGATTACTGTACAGTTCTTAATGTGTTTTTCCACACGTGACAACGTTTTTTCTGTGACAGCTCCAATTCTCTTGTTCATATTGTGCACTCAACTACCATGCATTATATAAGGCTTAGTGAATGAATAAACAAATGAGTAAGCAATTATGAAAACGGTTTTCTTTTCAGTATCAAACTTTTCATCCCTATTGCACCACAACATTAAGCGGTATGTGCCACTGGAAATGCTTCACAGACCAGCGGTAACTTCCCGTGGCACATGCCAATTGCAATATGTCATCGGATATGCCACAACTTCCAAGTTCAACAGCATGTGCCAGTGCCATAAAAATGTCAGTTTCACAGACAAGGTCATTGTTTTATCTCAAAATGCACAACACCAGTAATGTTTATTTTTCTTTTTCTAAGGCATGTTTATAAAAGCTACTTAAATTTCCTAATTGAACAAAGGCCTAATTCAATCTAATTAATCTGTGCAACCCGGCCTAAATGTTAAAACCCCTGTTATGGATCAATATGACACTAATCTGTGCTGTAGTGAAAGGGCCCAGTGCTTCATTGCACTTTCATTGATATTTTAGTCCATCTGGTTACTTTACGTCTATTAATGTGGCGTAATTCTGTGTTTCTCAAATCCAGTCCATGGCGACACACCTAACAGAATGTTTTAAATGTCTCACTAATTAAAACACCTAAATTAACTTATCGTGTGTTGAATAGGGAGACGTCTGAAACATTCTTGGAGGTGGGTCCCGAGGACTGGAGTTGAGGAACATCGATTTTGTGTAATTACATGCATGCATTTGTCCTTACTGATATTAATGCTTAAATTATGTATACTTGGTTGGCAACTTCAACCGGATTTATTACAACTTTGACAGGATTTATAACTGGTCATTGCTGCTGTTATACATGCTCTGTGTCCTTTAAGTGAAAATCCATTAAAGTTACTCTAGAGGCCACTAGATGTTTTGTTTTTCTCTGTGTGGAACCATTAGTCACAAAGATAAAAGAGACAGTGCATTTGTCTAGATGAATCAATAAACTGAGTCCATTATAGAATGAGCTAATCGTCAATTTTAAATTGATATCATCTCTTTTTTTGCCCCTCGTTGGTGTTGTAATTTCTTAAATACTTTCTCTCGCTCTGACTCTCTTCCATGTTCCCCATGTTATGCATCAGCAAGGCTAAGCATTGTGTTATATGGAGCTGAACTCTGATGGTTAACAAAGCACCGTAATGATTGGGAAAGTCTGGATATTCATCACTGTGAGTTATAATCTAAGTCTTCGCTAATAGTGGAGGTCCTTGGAATGAATTGTTTAAGCCTTTTAGTGAGATGTAGTGTTGTTTACATTTTTTGGACATTGTATTACAAGAAGCCTAGTCACAGTGTTTTACAGACTTATGAGACAAATTATTTCAAATTATACAGTAGCTGTCCAGAGAAGGAACTTGATTGCTTCTCTTTCCCTCACAGGCATTTTCATTCATCACGTATATTCATCATGCCCAATGTGAATGCATGCCTCAAGATTTGAAGACACATCTGGTGAGTCCTTCCTTCATCGGTTTTGATATTTTCTTCTCCACACAGTATTCAATTCAGTCTAAAAGTGGCCAGGTTAAAAAATATATTAGGCCACTGTAGGTTAAAAATGATTGAAACAGTGGTTCATACTAGTGAAATTAGTTCTTAGAAAGGCTCTAGCATCATTTGTTTGCAGATGCCACTTGGTTTGATATTTTGAGTTTAATGTAATGACATTTCTACTACAAGTGTTATCCAAATACTTGTTGAGGTCACTGTATATACTGTACAGAAATATCCTGCTGGATGACTAAATAAGCTTAGTGAATTCATACACGACGATAGAGTACATGGTCAAATATTGTTGTGTAATAACCACTAAAGTGTAAACTATTGTACCTGACAACCATGTGCTCGATTCATGTCTATTGTACTAGTGTGGTGTCTTTATTTTCACAAAATCTAGCCATGCAATAATCAGGATAATCTACAATCATTGTAAAAAAAAAAAAAACCACTTTAAGATACAAGATGATATCCTAATCACCCTTTCAGATGTTTATTTAATGATTTACTATATATACTGACTGTATGATTCCTTAAATATGTACATTATGTATACATGTACTGTATCTTCTTTGAATCCTCATAGTATGATGAGTTGTTGGAAGACCACATATTTGAGATTAAGATATTCCCATCTGAAACGAAGGTAAGAGGAAACAACATAAGATTACTTTTATTTACTTTTATTAGAAGTTGTGTATAATAAACAGCATTAGCCACTTGCGATGATGTTGTCCCACATGTATTTGTACAGAAAAAGACAGAACTATTATATAAAACAATTTATTAACTTCAGCCACAAAACTGCAATTATCAGTCAGTCTATACTGGTATGGATTTTAGTTTAAATAATTGAGTTTGGTAAATATTATGGTAAAAATGTTATGGTTATGATATTTTCCTGTTTAATCAGTGTGTCCTGTGTGACTGTTTTTTCAGGAGAATGAGCTTCTTTCAGTAATAAACACTCTATGTTCATCCTGGACTAAAAATAAGAATAAGGATAAACGTAAATTCAAGATACTAACAATTTTTGAAATAATGCTAGTGAGTATACTTCTTATTCTATCAAATTCTGTCATTCTGTTTTGAATATCAAATAGAATCATTTCTGATGGCATGATTTTCCTTTTCTAGAAATTTTTTCAAGAAAGCAATTTTGAAATGATTTGTGCGGATCTCAATTGCACAGATTCTTATACAGTAAGCTGGGTTAATGCAACCGTATTTGGTGATATGTATAGAAGATCTTGCGATGGATCAATATCAGGTATGGACATTTCACCTTTCATCATACCCTGTTTCTTTCCCTTTTTTCCCAACCTTTATTCATTCATAGTGTGATCAATGGCCACCATAAATCTCATTGGCAAGACTTCCATCTATTAGTAGCTGAAAACATTTAATAAGCCAGAATATTTAATATACAAACAAAAATGCATGGAGTGGTAAATATGTTGTTATGAATGAAAAATGCAGATTTTGCTCACATTCTTTCACTTTTCTACTTAGATCTGAAATGTCCATCAAAAAGTAAGTTATTTGACTTTGTCTCCCTTGTATCCACAATGTATCTTTTTTTTTTTACTCTTTCTAAAAAGGAGTTGTTGTTTTGGTCACCCTTTAGTTTAGGGTCCTATTCTCACTAATAACCAACTATTAACTACGACTTTTGCCACAATAAACTCCTAATTACTATGTATTAATAGTTAGTAAGGTAGTTGTTAAAGGGTTAGTTCACCCAAAAATGAAAATTATGTCATTAATTACTCACCCCCATGCTGTACCAACCCCGTAAGACCTTCGTTCATCTTCGGAACACAAATGAAGATATTTTTGATTAAATCTGAGAGCTGGATCACTGCTACATAGGCTGCCTAAGGGACTGACACTTGACGGCCCAGAAAGTCATTAAAGAAAATGTTTAAATGTTTCATGTGCCTACAGTGGCTCCACTATAAGTTTATCAAGCGACGAGAATACTTTTTGTGCGGAAAAAAACCTAAAATAACGACTTTATTCGACTATTCCATTGCTTCCTTGTGGGCCTGAGACGAGAGTTCAAGAGATTTCCAGGAGGCATGCGCGAGAAGTGACACTCTTCTTCTACTACACAGCGCGCGTCTTTCAAGCAGAGGAAGATGCGTGCTGTACATAGTAGTAGAAGAAGAAGGTCAGTTCTCGCGCATGCGTCCTGGAAATCTCTTGAACTCTCGTCTCAGGCCCACAAGGAAGCAATGGAATAGTCGAATAAAGTCGTTATTTTAGTTTTTTTTCCGCACAAAAAGTATTCTCGTCGCTTGATAAACTTATAGTGGAGCCACTGTAGGCACATGAAACATTTAAACATTTTCTTTAATGACTTTCTGGGCCGTCAAGTGTCAGTCCCTTAGGCAGCCTATGTAGCAGTGATCCAGCTCTCAGATTTAATCAAAAATATCTTCATTTGTGTTCCGAAGATGAACGAAGGTCTTACGGTGAAATAACCCTTTAAGTTTAGGTATTAGGAGGATTAAGGGATGTAGAATATGGTCATGCAGAATAAGGCATTAATATGTAATTTATAAGTATTAATAAATAGCCAATATCCTAGAAATTTGCTTGCTGATAAGCAACCATTTAATAGTGAGAATTGGACCCTAAACTTAATTGTTATCGTTCTTGCTGAACCAGATATGAAGCTGAAAACGGTGCTAAAAAAACTTTGTATTCAAACGATAACTGGTTGTTTTTCATACATATACACAAACTGTAACTTTGATGTTGGGTCATGAAATTTGGTCTGTATGTTTCTAGTAACTCTTACTGTTAAATTTGAATTATTTCCATGAAACTGATTTCTATAGCCCTCTGAGCACACAGTATTATCCATTCATCTCTGTGTGCTGTAGCACAGAAATCATTGCTATATGTTGAAACTGTGTAATATGCTACATTTTTAATCACATAGGCAAAACAACGATCAGCCCAAGCATCACTGCTGTTGAAAGTAAGCTTTTAGTTTATTTTCACATATGCAAACACAGATATTTTAACTCATTCACAAGTATTAAAATTTTAACAGATCATTCATGTACATGTATAATATGAATATTTATGGATATGAATATAAATATTTAAATCAAAGTTTTATTTTAGATTTAACTTTTTTAAACTACATGAACTAAACAACCACTACTAAACAAACACAATTATTCATATGGTGACAACTAGCCACAAAGTATCTCTTTTTCTGTCTGCTTTTTGATAAGCATCTCTGTTTTTTTTACTTGTTGAACCACATTTGAACCTGAAGATAATGCTTGGGTAAAACTTCATATTCAAAGGATAACTGTTTTTTGTTGTTGTTGCAATAACACAAACTGTTATAATTTACATGCTTTTGGCTCTTTTTTTAAAATACATACTGTATTTTGTAAAAAAAATGTTTGTACATATATCCACTTTCTGAGCACATGCCTGGTATTATATTGTTCTGTTGAATCTAACTGTAATATACTCTGCTTTCTACTAAATCACATAAGACACAACATTTTTTACAACGGTCGATTCAATCACCACAGCTCATAAAAGTAAGCAAAGCAGTATTGTATTCAAATACTCAAAACAGATTACAGCACAGATGCTTTGACTGTCATCTGAATTGACATCATACCACGTTTTCTAATACATAGGCTCACCATCTTTAACAACGGTCAGCCCAAACATCACTGCTCCTGAAAGTAAGCAAATTCAGTATTGAAGACATCAATGCCCGGTTTCACAGACATTTACACACTCTCTCATACATGCACAATATGACAGATAGCCTGCTCCAGACCGCATTGGATTACACTCCTGAAAGTATTATGTAATCATTTAAGACATTTCTTCTTATATAGAACCTTTTTTGCATTAAGGTTCTTTAACATTGAGTCAAGGATTAGGATTCTATATAGAACCCCATAAAACCTTTTTATAAGAGTGTAGAAGGAGTGTAATCCAGTGCGGTCTGGAGCAGGCTATCCGTCATATTGTGCATGTATGAGAGAGTGTGTAAATCATCGGGTTTCGAAACACTAGTACAATCTGTCATGCCATGGTCAAAGTCAACATTATGTATACAAACTCGTACTCATTGACTTGCTGATGACTGGCTGATAGATATAGCAGGTGCACTAATAACATTTCCACAATTTGTGCATTGTCACTTATTACTAATCTCACGAATATAGCCATTTACTAATCACTAATAATTTTGTACATTGCAATTATTTCTAAAATATTTGTTCAATAAAAACTAATATCGATTTTTTCCCCCTATTAACCATATTAGATAATCTCCAACAATTCCACACATTTTATAATTTATCATGAATTCTCATATCACTGTATCATCTTTTAAGTTGACGATGGCTTCTATATCTCATGCTTTTGTATGGTTTCCCCTTTTATTACAGATAAAGCATTAAAAGATGCTCAGAGTAAGTGTGAGAGCTGTGGGTTTTTCTGACCAATTATTTTTTGCTTGCCATTCTTCTCTCTCTCCCTGCAAATCTCTTTGTAAACCAAAATATTTCATTTTTTGCAAGGTACCATTAACACATGTTCTGGAGTCCTTGTTTTCTCTCTACTACTGAATATCGGTCTATTCCTGTTGGTGTTAAACCCTTTCCAGGTAAAATGGTCTAAGCATTAATGTGGCTTGTGGGTTTGTATAAAATGAAAGTAGGTCATTTTGGGTAAGCCTTTTTAACCTCAGATATGCTACTTTTGTCTAATATAAAAACCTTTTTTTTTATTTACAGAAAAAAAAGCCTACAGCTAAGCAGGTGAGGCTCTTACTTGCTCGGCATCTCTAAACCAAAATGCTGTAACCACCCAGGTTTAGGGGGGTTTAGCTGTTTATATATTAAACTTAATTAATTTAGCATAGCACACAGTACTCATTAACTTGAGTACTGTGTCATTTTCTTCTTCTTTTAAAGGGATAATCACTTTTAAATAAGATATTTTGAAGAATTTTGGTAACCAGACAGTTGATGGTAGCTTCCATTGTATTTTTTTTCCTACTGTATAAGTCAATGGGTGCCGTCAACTGTCTGGTTACCAACATTCTTCAAAACATCCTCTTTTGTGTTCAGCAGGACAAAGAAACTCATACAGATTCAGAACAACATGAGTCGCTCAGTGAGTATATCATGCTGTAAACATGCTGTATGTTAATATATCTGCGTGTTCTCCAACCGTAAGCGCGCGGTGAATGTGATTTCACCAAGTACCACATGTTACTGGATCAACATCTTTGTTGATCCTGGATCAACTTTCCAATCAACCAATCAGATTTGAGGGACACGTTTACAGTTTATGTCAAGTTTAGGCTTAGAACCAGAGTAAAGTACTTAAACATCAGTATTATTCACCTTTCATTACCCTCTGATTTTAGGGAAAAGTTATGGGTAGGGTTAGGTTTAGGGGTAGGGATTGGGTAAGAACTACATTTTGGGACAGGAATGTTGATCCATGTTTGCCAAGTAAGACAGGACCATGTCTTACTTGGCAAAATCACGGTGACCGTAAGCACGTGTGGGTAACACAAGCTTTTAGTTTTTTTTCATAAGTTTGCAGTTTAGCACTGCTGTAATATCTCACTCTCCGTAACACCTTGGTTAGATAACTGTTCAGATTACATTCTTAAAGGAACACTCCGACTTTTTGAAACTTTAGCCTATTCACCTTATCCCCCAGAGTTAGATAAGTCCATACATACCTTTTCCATCTCCGTGCGTGCTGTAACTCTACCTGACGCACCCACCGCTAGCCTAGCTTAGCACAAAGACTGGATGCAAATGGTTGCAGCTAGCATACTAATCCAAATAAGTGACAAAATAGCGCAAACATTTTCCTATTTACATGTTGTGATTTGTATAGTCACAGAGTGTACAAAAAACGAAGTCACATGAGACACAGACATATTTTAACCGTATAAATACTGGGAACTATATTCTCTGAAGGCGAAGCACTGCTACTTGGGCGGAGTGATAACCGCAGCACCTGAGACGCGCTCTCTGCTCCTCACCACGGCGCGTCTCAGGTGCTGCGGTTATCACTCCGCCCAAGTAGCAGTGCTTCGCCTTCAGAGAATATAGTCGCCTTCAGAGAATATAGTTCCCAGTATTTATACGGTTAAAATATGTCTGTGTCTCATGTGACTTTGTTTTTTGTACACTATGTGACTATACAAATCACAACATGTAAATAGAAAAATGTTTGCGTTATTTTGTCACTTATTTGGATTAGTATGCTAGCTGCAACCATTTACATCCAGTCTTTGTGCTAAGCTAGGCTAGCGGTGGGTGCGTCAAACAGACTTATAGCACGCACGGAGATGAAAAAGGTATGTATGGACTTTTCTAACTCTGGGGGATAAGGTGAATAGGCTAAAGTCCCAAAAAGTCGGAGTGTTCCTTTAAGGTTTATGGGGTTTAGCTGTTTATATCTTACCTCGCACTTTTTGACCATTAAAACAGAAGCGTTGTGCTGGAATTCATGCTTGGCTGTTGTGAAATGTAAAGCCTGCATTCTTTGATTTGTCTCAACCATTTTGACATTGACCACCCCCCAATTTTTTAAAAACTTTTTGTCATCTTAACAACAAACAAAATGATGTGTAATGAAGAACCCCAGAGCAGCATCAGGAATGTCAGATAATGGGGGGACAATTTGGCCATATCTGATTATTAAGAGGACTTATCCCTCTCAGTATCTATGGGGGTTACGGCCCTGCTACATACAAAAGGAGCCATAAATCATTTCAAATGAAGTACATACAAAGTATTTATACATTGCACACTGAGCATTTATTGCTACCTGTTCAGGCAAAAATAGGGTAAACATTTGATCAAATTTGAAAATTTAAATAAACTGGAAATCATTTATTTGCTTACATGGCAATCTTTTTTAGTATTATTTTAACTTTTAACTTTTTTTCCTTTAGAATGAATGTAATATTTTGTAGATTTGTCCACCACCTTACCAGGAACTTCCATTAATGAAGCCAGTAAATTTGTCTCTTATGAGAGCAGATTTTTCAGTGATGAGTAGCATAATGCCTTTAGTAGTGACCAATTCAATTTCTAAGGTAATAAAGCATTTTTTTCCTCTTTTTACAGACAGCAGGAGAGAATCTATCTGATTTAGGTACTGTAACACCAACTTTGTAGCTTTTAGAAAAGGGTTACAATGTGCAGGATACATATCAAGTTTTTACAACCTGGACATTGTTCAGCCATGTACACATCAAATTATAGAGAAGAATGTTTGATTAATCACATATTTCTTCTTTTGCTCTCTTCTACCCTCCAGTAAATGGACATTTTACCGCTTCAGTAAGATGGGCTTTTTTTAAGCTGCTCTCCTCTATTTTTTTTTAACAATAGAGGTTATGCATATATCTAATCTGTTTTTCTGTCAACAGTGTTTGAAAACAGTTAATCCATGCTATTCACCTGCCTTGTTCCAGTTGACTGTCTGGAACTGTTTTTTTCCAGCCAGTTTCTATAGTCATATGTTATTGCTACCACATTGGCATGGGCATGGCACAGTGCTGTCTTTGAATTTGTGACTGACATAATCATCCCAACAAGTACAGCTTTATATTCTCAAACATGTCCACACAACCTGTGTGTTTCCATTTCTAAATGTGATTGTCTTGAATTTACCCCCATAACTGTTATCCTTCATCTGTCAAGCACCTCTACTCATGGTTTTTGAAGTTGCCATTTGTAAGTCGCTTTGGAAATAACTGTGTCTGTTAAATGATTAAATGTAAATGACTCGGTGTGCACTGATGATCCTGTCAGTTATGATATGGATTTTTTTTTTTTTTTTAAATCTTTACCCTTCAGTGCTCGGGCCTTGAATGGTTGTGCCAGAGAGTTTCTTTAGGAAGGAACAAGGGCCAGGAAAAGTATTTACAGCTAAGATACTGCTACAATAAATCTAATATATCCTGTCTTTTTCAGCAGTTGTTTTTTTTATTGTTTATTTTATGCAATATATGTTTATATTTTGGTATATTTGTGTGTAAGAGGGTACATGCAGGCAGCATTTGTTCTGGGTATCTCAGAATGTTTAATTGTATTTTATTGATCTTTTACTGATGCTTCTGTGTATGTAAGTGTCTCTGGCAATTGTTTGCTGCAAAATGCACACAATAAAACAAGAAATATGATGTGTATCTTGAACCTCATTTAATTTCACTAAAAAGTTCTCATTAAAAATTTGAATGACGTTTTCATTTTCTTTGTCTTCATTACCAAGATGGAGTTATGTGTTTGTTTGCTACCATATTATAAATGTTTTAACTCAATATTCTCATGTAAAATCGCTAGTGGGTTCACAAAGAAAGAAAGAACTGACCATATTGAAATTATGCTTTGTCCATTAAAAAACAAAACAAAAAACAAATTTTTCAGTAAAAATAGTGTTCAACAGTTTTTGTTTGTTTTGTATTATTTGTTTTTATTTAATAAAATCATGCCTTAATTAATTAAACACAGCCTTATGCCATTTTCTTTCGCTTTTAAAGGGATAGTTAACTTTTAAATAAGATATTTTGTAGAATTTTGTAATCAGACAGTTGATGGTAGCCATTTACTTAATTACTTCCATATAATTTTTTCCCTACAATGGAAGTCATGGGTGCCGTCAACTGTCTGGTACTGGTTACCAACTTTCTTTTTAAAATATATGTGTTTTTTCCCCCAGATTTTGAACAACATGAGGGTGAGTAAATTATGACAGAATTTTCATTTTTTGGGGTGAACTATACCTTTAAGGAGTAAAGCCGTAGGTACTTTTATTTTGACACATCTTTTATCGTCATGCTGCATGCAGCTAACCCCTACGTTATGTGCTAAACTCACTGATATGAATATAACGTTCCTTCTTGGTGTATGTCTGAGTCGCTCAGTGAGTATCATGCTGTAAACATGCTTGCTGTATGTTTTTATATCTGCGTGTTCTCCAACCGTAAGCGCGCGTGGGTAATGCGAGCTTTTTAGTTTTTCTTCTTAAGTTAGCAGTTTAGCACTGCTGCAATAACTCACTCGCCGTTACACCTTGGTTTGATAACCGTTCCGATTACATTCTTAACATTTGTGTTTTATGTACTGCTGCTAATTTGTCCTTTACGTCCATGTGTGTAGTCATGGAAACGGACGCGTCTCTCCTGGGTGTTGAACTGGAGCAGGAACAGCAAGAAGAGCTGTATCAACAACTTTTGCTTCAGGTAAGTTAACCGCGTTGACACAACTAAGCTCAACAAAGTTACATAAGTACTCTGCGGTGTTTCGAAGCAGGTCCCAAATTATAAACATTATTTCACTTAGTGGAATATGGAAAGTCACAGTAAACGAGCACGATTACCAATGCGTTTCATTAGTAACGTTATACATAGTTCACTCGAAAATGACTAATGATGTAATCATTTACATGTATTACTGACTTTCTTCTGCAAAACACAACACAAAAGGAGATGTTATGACTGACAGAAGTCACAATTCTGTCTGACTGTGTTAGTCCCCAACTTTATGCCTAAAAGAAGCCTTTTCTCATTTCCTGGTTTCTCAGACGCAGAAGTCGTCATAGTTGATTAAACTTCTGTAGCGGTGAATGGGGGACAACAGCAAATATAACTTTTGTATTTCCATTTGCTCCAAAAGCAAAAGAAAAAAATCTGTGACTGAGTTTCCATGTCTTTCCAAAAGAGGGAAAAATATAGAGAAGAGAGATAGCTAGATGTCAGATAGATGTCACGATTTGCCATCAATCCATCTGCCATTGTATCAGTGTTACGTCTTCCCCTTCAGTCTAGGGATAAATAGGGAACGACGAACAATAAATGTGTGGAGAGACCTTAAGGATCTTCAACTCTCCAGCTCCAGAGTCACAAACAACCAAACATAGGGTTTAAAAAAAGAAAGAAGGAGGAGATAACTCTATTATCTTTATAGTTATTGTTCTTGGTGTGAATGGGCCTTTATGTTCCAAGATGGAAAATAAAAATGATGGCCCAACTCACAAATGAACTATGGTGCAAAAGATGGTGTTTTATTTATATACAGAGGAGTGACAGAGCGCTATAAATACCAACAATCACGTTTAATCTCTGTCTCCTCTGCATCTTAAATGTACAATATTTTGTTTGAGTAGGACCCAAACAAAAGACTAAAATACCTTTAACTAAAGGGGAAATTAACATGAACTTACCTATACATAAAATAAAGAAAACAAAACAACATACACCTTCCCTCACTCCCTAACTATCCATTAAACAGGAGAAAGGTTATAGGTATCCTCCACCCTATGTAACCCACAACTAACTTATCATTTATGTCATCAGCTCAACCGAACTTTTGACACGAGCAACGAGCGCCAACTCGTCTGGGGCTGGAGGACGGAATGACCTCAAACGGCGCATTTGTCTCTCTGCTTCCTCAGCGCTCTCTCTGCAGCTTTATATTGGAGTTCTCAGGACACGCACCAATCAGTGCAGGGACAGCGCTCAGATTGATGAATTTACACTGGTGGTAGCCATTAACCCAGTGGTCTCCAACATGGTGCCCGCGGGCACCTGGTAGCCCGCATGGAGTCTCTGAGTCGCCCGCCAAGCACGTTCTAAAAATAGCCTGAATTGTAATCTTTCATTTAGTTTTTTTTAGTTTTTATTTATGATGATGCCATAAAATGAGAAAATAACTAATGGTAATATTTCATATACCATTAAAACATAATAAAATATAAAATAATTTAAAATATTTAGAATCTGCACGTCGAGCACGTAAAAAAAAACCCGTAACGTAACTTCTGTGAGTTGAGGCGATCGCGGGAAGACGGTACATACACAGGAAAAGAGAAAGAGAGAGAAATACACACTTCAATAACACTCCTTATATAAATAACACAAACAAAATTGGAATACGTCCTTGGACGTAATAAGTAGAAACACCCTTGCAGCAGCATTGACGTGGTTTTTGTGATTTACTGAAAAGGTAATAAAACACAATATATAGCATTATAAAGTTCCAGATTGTAAAAAAGTCAATGTTTAATTTTTGGGTTAACTATCCCTTTAAGTCAAAAAGAAAGGTTGTACACTTTCATTTGTCTGATTAACCATTTTTATCAGAATCTATTTGAATATTTTACTTTCGCATTAGCATCCAGACAATATATGTGTGGAATTGTTGTTTGTACTATAGGCACACCTGCTTTTTTTTTATTTAAAGGAGTGGTTGATTATGATTTCAGTTTTCTAACTGTAGTTAGAGTGTAATGTTGCTGTTTGAGCATAAACAAGTTTCAAAGTTCAAAGCAAAGGAAAATATTTGCTTTTAAAGAAATCGTTTTTTAAGGACTACAACAAACGGCTGGTATGAACTGCACGACATTCATCCCGGGTTAGTGACATCAGGAACCCTATCATTTACATAAACCCCGCCCCCGGGTACATGATTTATAGATTATCATGACAGAATATGCTAATCAATGACTAGAAGATAACTACACATAAGCTACATAAACTCATCAACTAACCATTCAGAAATGTTGTCATTTCTTCTTGAGTCTCTCCATCTTTCTGACTCCGGTTTGAACATAAAAGGCTAAAAGTTTTTGAAATTTTCAGTGCATGTGTGAGGTAATAGGAGCTGATAACACACAAGCTCTTGAAGCCCCGCCCCCTCATTTGCATTTAAAGAGCCAGACACAAAAACGGTGGGTTTTTGCTCACCCTCAAAAAGTGACAACTTTAACATTCTATATAAAAAATATCTGTGGGGTATTTTGAGCTAAAACTTCACGTACACACTCTGGGGACATCAGAGATTTATTTTACATCTTGTGAAAAGGGCATTATACCACCCCTTTAAATCTATGTTTGTAAATTCCATTGCTTTACCTTCAGTTATTATTGAGTATTTGTTTTATTTTTATCATTACCCCCTTATAAATGCATCATAAAATAGAAAGGTTACTAACATATTGAGCTACAGCTCATGCACTGCTGCTAACAAAATCAGAGAATAGGTTTGGTTCCCAGGAATATACAGTAAATATATGATAAAATATACAGCTTGAATGCAATGTAAGTCCCTTTGGATAAAGGTAACTAAATTGGGGAACTAATCTAAGACAAAAATGTTATTTTCCAACATCACAGAGCATGGGGAAAATGCAAAACGACAGTCCCCCTTCCAAAGTCATCCGTCCACAGCCAGGTTAGTCTGATATTTCAAAACATCTTCTCAGGACTATTATATCATTAACCCATCCAAACTCATCAGAATTTTCTCTCTATGCCAGGCATCTGCGTGAAGACCTCCTCAGTGTCAGAAAAACAGAAGGTCTTTCTGAATATCTGTCAGACACAGGCGGTACCGCCCCCTCCTCCTCTGTCCCAGGAAGCACTCGTGAAACTACTGGAGTCAGAGGACCCGACGAGTTACAGAGTGCCCATGAGTCTCGGCGAGCCACACACGGAAGTGGACAACAGTAAGAGACACATTCACATTTTCAAATTTACCATTCTCCTTTAATTATTGTTTTCCCTGGTCATTTGTTGTCTCGTCTGATCTGATTGACATAAATCACCAAAAAGGAAGGAAATAAAGCATCATTAACTGTGAATGGCAAAACAACCACTCTTATTTGTGATAACCCTTCCCTTCCTTCCTTTTATGATAAAGCATTTGATTGGAATTCAGAATATTTTTATGTTTGCCAGGTTCACAAGGCTGTACTGTGTATGATGTCGTGATCAATGATGAGTTCTTCCAGAAATGTCAGGTATGTGTCTTGTATGTGAATGTACACATTGAAAGTACTTCAGGAATATGCAACTGCATTTATTGTGAAGGGAAGTGGGTTTTGCCAGCCCACTCACTGGACGTGCTAAGGCCCATTCACACCAAAGACGATAACTATAAATATAACGAGAAAGCTATAGTTCTAAAAATCATTCTCAATATTAAAGAATATCAGAGTTCACACCACAGCTACTGTATAACGATAACGGCACTGAGAAACAATATAATTGGAATCCCTTTCAGAACGATTTTATCCAGCTGATGAACGATAAAAACATAGACAGCCAATCAGAATCCATCCTGCTGTAATGAGCTCGAGCATTAAAGTGACAGACAAGCACTCGCTTAGAATAAACAGAATGATATTATCCGCTGGTGTGGACGCTAATTCGTTATAGTTATCTTTATAGTTATTGTTCTTGATGTGAATGGGCCTTTATGTTCCAAGATGGAAAATAAAAATGATGGCCTAACTCACAAATGAACTATGGTGCAAAAGATGGTGTTTTATTTATATACAGAGGAGTGACAGAGCGCTATAAATACCAACAATCACGTTTAATCTCTGTCTCCTCCGCATCTTAAATGTACAATATGCAGGATTTTTCGCCACCAGGGGTCGCTAACCTCTTACAAAGGCGTATATTAATGACGTATATTCCGCATTAAGCGGAATTATGGATCTTGTCGTCAAGCTGATGGATCTTTTTATGGATGAGTGAATTCATTGATGTTTTTAACATGACTGTGGTGTGAAGCAGGGTGCGATTGCTAGACGTATACCAGCGCCACACGCAACGCGAGTCCCGCGGATATAAAGGAATAAGGACATTTCATGCTACCGAACTACACGCAAGTGCTGAATTAATACTCACACAGGTCAGTTTATTAGAGGAATTAAACTTGAGGTAACGCAGCGCTGTTTCACTTGCTCTAACGTTACACTATCACACTAAACGGCATTTGTGGGTGGAATGTTGTTAGTTAGGTTGTTTGTTTGCTGTATGAGACTAAGCTAGATTAACATTGGAGAATAACATACGGATCATACTTTTCATCATGTTGAACTACAACGTTGATTAGTTTTATGTACATTTGCTCACCTGTGTAATAAAGTAACATGCAACACTCGCATCTCTGTCAAGTCAAAGTTAGTTGCGGAAGTGGAGCTCTCGGCATCTCAAAAGATGTTGATCTTCGTTTTAGTCCTCTTTTTGTCTCAAGGTCTGCTTGCCATGGTCCAAAATGTTTGAACAAAACAACAACAGCGTAAGCGTCCTTCTAGGCATAACCGGCATAACCCAGTTGTCAACGTCTGTTGCCATGGTTACTATTGCAGTACGAGGTCAAACCTGGCGGAAACCGGGGGTAATGCCAAGGGGGTAATCCATCAGCCGGAAGTTGAAGCTGCCTCCGGGGGCCGCCATTGTAGCTGGCTATCACCTGCTGTTAGCATCCCATTGAATCCCATTCATTTTGGCGTCACTTTGACAGCGAATAACTTTACATCTGAGGCGTCCAAAGACTCAATTTGTCCATTATTTATTTCTTAAGAAACGGGACAATGGATAAAAGGCTCCATTACTTTGTATCTTACGTTATGGTCCTGTAGAAGCCGTTTTTGAAAAAATAGGCTAACGATTGTGTCATAACCACGGGACGCTCTGTCGCACAGTAGAGAAATTACCGTATAGACAGAAGTAGAAGCTCGTAGGCAATCGTTTACTGTCTATGAGGCAATCGGGTGGACATGGAGGCATAAAGTCAAGGGAGAAGCCCATAGATAGAGAGTTCATAAAAGCAACGGGACAAAATATTTCAACAACAGATTTGTTTCAGATTTCAATTCAGATTTGTCTCGGCACAGCTACTAGAAGGTCAGAACCATTGCTCACGTGACCTCTACGTCGTCAAGCTCAGTTTGAGCCTGCGCAGTGCGCTTGGCTATCAGGAAGTGAGTGCTTTTATGGGCTTCAACTTTCTCTGTTGAAATCTATGGGGTCGTTGTGTCCATTTCTTTTACTGTCTATGGGTAACGCGGATATGGCGCCATTGACTGGCGACTCCTCTCCCCTGCTCACACGCCCCGTTTCCTTGGTTAAAATCGCAATTTTCTCACGATTTACAAATAGTTGGAAACATTTTGGATATTGTAAGTAATCAACTAAACAAAATATATAACATTGGCCTAGTGGCTTTTGGATATTTTACTGCAAAAATCTTACATATTGTACCTTTAAGTCACACAACATATATCAACCAACTGGTAACTATACTTGAATGTATACAGTTGTAATCGAAATTATTCAACCCCCATTGCAAATCAGGTTTATTGGCAATATTGAAAGACTTTCAGCTGTTTGCAATGAACAAATCAAACAAAAGTAATTGAAATAGCTCAATACAACAAATGTATCAAGTGGTTTCCCCAAATTCAACACAAAATGCAACTTTTAGTGACTTCTGCAGTCTCAAAATGATTTAACCCCTTAATGGCAAGCATCTTTAGTTCTTAGGAGAACACCCTTTTGCTGTTATGACCTGCTGCAAACCAGAGATGCTCACAAGTCTCTGAACTAGAGTCCAAGTCAAGTCTCAAGTCTCTGAACTAGAGTCCAAGTCAAGTCTCAAGTCTTTGAGCTAGAGTCGAAGTCAAGTCTCAAGTCTCTTGTGCTTATAATAAGTGTTGCATCACGTACAGCGACCCATCCAGGCTGCTTAGAACACTTCATAGCTATATATAAGGAATTCAAAGCATGTAATGTTAATGACTCCTTTATCTATTGGCATACAGTATCAGCTTTGATTTAGGTATATAATCAGTGTAAACAGGCTATTTCAACATGACAAAAACACCAAGAATGCTTTACTTTTAAGTTAATATCTGCATCTGTAAAAATTGAGGTTCTGAAGAAAAAGGACTCTCATGTCTGTTGCTGAATTGTAATGAAAGGCCTTGGCTCCTATTGTGCTGGCTCTGTGGAGCTGGAGCCATAAGACCAAATATAGAAAATGTTATAGCCTACCTCACAGCACTAAAATTGACATAGTGCAAAACATCACAGTGTAGCTAAATGCAAAACACTATTGGAACCAAATGATGTGAAATACATGGTTCCTCATACGTTCATATATTTGTGGCGGCCCGCCACAATATCAACACTGGCTGACCGCCACACATTGATTTTCGATTTTTTATTTTATTTTTACTAAGCCTATTTAAAATCGTATTTGATTGCAGAGCGCCGTAGCGCATTCGCGCCGCACTACCTCTCGCACGTTCCTCTCTCTCTCTCTCTCTCTCTCTCTCTCTCTCTCTCTCTCTCTCTCTCTCGTTCACCCATACCTCTCGCGCTCTCTCTCCCTCCATGAGGTGCACGCGCGCAGATACCGCATATTTTGCATTGAGCGCTTCTTTTATTTGGCCCGTCTTGTTTGAAGTTTTTAAACCCAAAGCTTACGATGAATGTCACAGCAGCGGCCGGTGCAGTCGACATGTTTGTTTGTTGTCCTCTCATGTGTGGCCACGCGCACGTAGTACGTGTTATGTAGGCAGGTTTTAGGTAATGGGTCAGAGGGAGGGGAATAACAGAGAGCTCATCAGACGTTTCCTAAAAATAAACATTGTTCACGAGTCCCGCAGCTCGAGTCTCAAGTCGAGTCTGAAGTCACTGTGTGTGCGACTTAAGTCGCACTCGAGTCCGAGTCTCAAACTCGAGTCCCCATCTCTGCTGCAAACGAGAAGTACAACCAGACACCAGCTTCTGGCAGCGTTTCTGAGGAATCTTGGTCTATTCCTCATGAGCAATGGCCTCCAGTTCAGTAATATTCTTGGGTTTGCGTGCTGCAACCACCGCCTTCAAATCTCACCAGAGATTTTCTATGGGGTTCAAGTCAGGTGACTGTGATGATGGCCACTGTAGAATCTTCCAGGACTTCTTCTGCAACCAAGCCTTGGTGGAATTTGAGGTATGCTTGGGATCATTGTCCTGCTGTAAGGTCGCTATATTTTTGTGTCCTGTTCCTTGTTTGTGAAGGGCGATGATATCTTTTTGGACCATTCTTTTGACTTCAAACAAGCAGTCAAATGTGACAAACCTAGCCAGTTCAGATATTACATGTGTTCTAGCTCAAGCACACCTGGTGCAACTTATGAAGCCCTTGATTAGTTGCGTCAGGTGTGCTTGAGACAACACCAGTTATGCAGATTTGTGCTGATTCTATTCAGGAGGTTGAATAATTTTGAGACTTAAAGTCTGTAGATTTTGCCAATAAACCTGATTTGCAATGGCGGTTGAATAATTTCAATTACAACTGTATGCATGTGTATGCGATGAAAGTTTTATTGTAGTGGGGCGATGAGTGCTTTGACATTGAATGAACAAGTGCTACGGGTCTCGTGCACATTGTCCTGGTAAACACTACATTTCACATATTGCCATCTTTGTGCCATCACTACATTATGGTAGTGTCCTGGTAAACACTACCATAATGTAGTGATGGCACAAAGATGGCAATATCTGAAATCCTTGTCAGAACATTTTTTGGTCACCATGATAAAAACAGTTTATAAATTATACTAAGTGATGTTTTTTGAAAATATAAAAATGCACAAAGTTTTCTGTGATGAGTAGGTGTGTGTGTGTGTGTCAGACTCAGAGCCAGCACTTTTGTCATCACTGTATGCTTGTACCCAACAGAAAGATACCCTATTCCAGCAGTTTCTTATTGCAGTTTCTTTGGAGGGACTGGAAAACAAATACAACCTTGAGTTAAGCAGAGGTCATCTTAAATAAAGAACATCTGATATTCTGTTCTCTGCATGTTTCTACTTCAGAACATGCCTTTTCCATGCCATGTCCACTGATCCTATCTTTGTTTTTGTTTTTTTAAGATATTAAGATTTTGAAGAACAGGAAGTTCATGGGCTCTGTAGCAGAACAAAGCATTCGTACCAAGAGCAAGCCAATTATTCAGGAAGTTACCTCAAAGTGAGTTCTTTATCTCTTTTGTGGATTGAGAGTGGTGCTGAATGAAGCAGGTTGTGAGAAGGACTGGGAGATCAACTCTAATAATACAATTAATATTCATTACTAGGCATACTCTTTAAATTCTTCAAAAAAATGTATTGGAATCTACTGAGCTCCGCACATGACGTGGGAAAAAAATATGTATATTGTGACCAAGAATTAACAATTCATTGCCAAAATGATGTTAGATCGGATGGATCTCCACGTCAGAAATATCAAATATATTAGATAAAAATCCCTGCCTGAAGATATGAGTCTTCTATCAGCCTAAGAGTTTGACTGAGAAAGCCTGGGAAGAGCAGAAGCAGGAGACAAAGTGATAATAATAAAAAGAAAAGAGTTTATTGAATAATCTTAGTTGCAAATGTTTCTCAATGCTCAGACTTTGTCTGGATGTTTCAGTGCTCAATGCTCAGACTTCATCTGACCAGTTGAAATCCATCAAGTGTCACAGCAAAAGCAATGGAAAATTACTGCTTCACAACATTGTCCTGTGATGTTAAAAACATTGAAATGGAGACATTCTCTTATCTCCTACTCATGAAAACAAACATCCCTTCAAACCACACAAGGTAACACTTTATAATAACTTTCATTAATAGGTAATTAACAAACATCACAAATTGCTCAACAGTTCTTGAGTTCCAAAAAGTTGTAATATAAACAGTTTGAACAGTGTTCCCTTATTGTAATCCAAATGATCTCTGTACACTGTTGACCCCTAAACCCACCCTTAAACCTCCAAACCTGTCCCTAACCTTACCCGTCTCACACCTCAATAGCAGCAAAAGTGTTTTGCAGTAGACGACAATAGACAATAAGTACATTGTACCTAACTATTATTATTTTTATTATTTCGATGTAAGTACATAGTTAAAGACACCTAATATAAACTACGAGCAGTCATTCTTATATTGTTCAATTGTTGAACACCAACAGATAAATACCATGATACTTATAATGCACCAATGTCATCTTATGAGAATGTTGCTGCTTAGTGTTGCCACATCACTTATACTGTAGATACCAAACTATAAGTACATTTTACATTACAAGTATTTGTACAATTTCTAAATGTAAAAAGGTGCATTAGATTATATATGACCTGAAGTTTAATGACATTTGTAGATTTTCAAGAAGTGTATGATCATATCAATTGAAAGTTTGACATTTGTGAGCATTTTACTTTACATTAAATAATATTTCTTAATCAGTATGGAGTGTTTAATAAGTTAATTACTAAAACATCAACAAACGCATTGTCATATTTCTAGCTATGTGAATATATATTAACTAATGATCTGTTAAGAATTAATGTTTGTTAAGGATTTAATAATGAAAGTTATTATTAAGTGTGTTACCAAATGGCATAAATTATTAATAATAATAATAATAATAAATATGAATCAATGATTAAATGGTAAATTATGTAAATCAATTTGCAACTACATAAATGACTAATGATAATAAAATTAAATCATAAAAAACAAGGAAAATAAAAACACAGACGTATGGTTGCTCTCTTAAAGTAACACACACACGTTACTTTTGAATACACAGGTTGCTATTGAGAATCCTTAGATCCTTCACCACGACTTACTAATATGTCAGCATATTTTACTAATTCGATTTCATTTATATGTAGTATCAATATGAAAAATCATTATTTTTGACAGCACTAAGCAGCAACATCTCATAAGGTGACATTGGTGCATTATAAGTATCATTGTATTTATCTGTTGGTAGCTGGTAAGATGTATCTTTGAACTGTATCTTGCTTTATAATTTGTGCATAAAAGTACTGACATATTGATAATAGCCAAAATTTGGCTATTTTGAATTCTAGTGACTCTGCTCACAGCTTTGTCAAAGGACAGTAAACAGTTCATGATTTCAGTTTCATAGTGCATTTATAGTACATGTTTTAAGTACAAATTGTACATGTAATTGTACATACAGAGGTGCATGTACAATTTGTGTACACTGTTTTGTAGATAATGTTATCAGCATCAGCCATTGAAAACATGTATGATGTTGGTTCACTGCAGCTGTGAAAGAAATATAAGAAATACAAAACCTCCATCACTTATCACAAATAACAGCAAATTAATATTTTTTTATTATTATTATTTACGTGGTTTAAAAAAACTCACCCAGAAAAAATCTGAAAAGTGTGCCATTTCTCATTTATTTATTTACGTGTATTCATTTATTAGATTCAAAAGCAAATTTATCTCAATGGATAGTTGCTCATACTTGACATCAACAAGGTGTGCCTGAAGAAGGGGAGGCAATCTGAAAAACAGTATGAATGCATATGTGATATATTTAGAATCTACCTTTTGGAAAAATATAATGATCTCAAAAACGTCTGCACATTGCCAGGGCCTTGTTTGTTTGTATGATAAATATTGGTTTTGCTTTCAGTTACCAATAAGAGTTTAATTCTCACTGTTTAACACATTTTACCATTATGAAATTGATTCCACAGAATACTGCCAATTTTGTTTCAAAATCAGTGCTAAATAAGTCTGCAGATTCTGTCTGTACCTGCCTGGTCCTAAGTTATCAGTGACACTTTGCCTGTCTGTCCCATCTGATCCCATCAGTTGTTGACAACTAGAACTAGCACTAGAATTGCTCTAATCACTTTGTTCTTTGTGGACAGGGAACCTCACTCCTTGCCTTCATCAACCAAACGGTAAGTATATTTGGAGTTGTTTGAATGCATTTATGCATCTTATCGATTTGTGAATAGTTTGGTTTGACCCTTTCAAATGTGTTTTGAAACCAGAGACCAGTGCATTTATTTTATGCCCCATTTGTTATGTTCCGTGTGATATATCTTTATTGTAAGGCAGAGCTTCACCTGAAACTAAATAATTTATGCCTTTATTGTGCTTCATGAATTCCAGTCCAGAATTCAGTTTATTAGTGGAGCCCTCAATTGGAAATGCGGAGTATCTGATCGCTGAGATCTTGCTTCCTGGAGTGGTGAGTAATGGTTGCCTGTTCTGGATTACATGCAATCATTGTTAACAAAAAGTAGGAGGCTTTACTGTGTCTTCATCGCTAGATATCTGCTCGCTCTCTTGTTTTGGATTTGGGAGAAGACAGACTAGTGCTGATTGCCCGACCTGCTCTTTTCCATTTGGATATTTTCTTTCCTCTGCTTATTGACCAAGAAAACAGTGTTGCCCAGTACAACACAAATACGCAGGTAAGTTCTGTCAGAATAGTGTGCTTTTTGCTACACAGTTATTTGTGCTGGTGCAGATATTCGGTATGTCTCTCACAGTCTTTTCCTGTCTTCCTTTCAGACGCTCACAGTGACCATGCCAGTAGTGTCTTCATAAAATCTGCAAGACTATTATTTCATAATAAACTGACGTTATTTTGTACACAGAGTGTTATGTGTGCTTCCAATTTACTCAAGATTTAATCGTTAACAAAGCTAGACCTTGCCCTAGACCTTCCACCAGTGATTTTTATAGAACTGTGTGCTTTAAACAGCAAAGAGAAACACTTTTGAGAAAGACCGAGAGTTAAAATCATATGGCAAAACCTGGAACCTATGAAAGAACAATCTGTGGTCTGATGAGTACAAAGGCTCTATGTTTGGTGCAAACCCACAGACCATCTCCGCCGTCAGTGGTGTTTCTCTTCATTTGTTGGAACAGACAGACAGAAAATGAGTTGGCCTGAAAAAAAAGACGGTAGGTATTCTGGATTTGCTCAAATTTGAAGTGGGCGAACGCAGCTGTGAGTGACCTAAAAGGCACTACAAAATGTTTGCTAAGGGATGAATACTTTAAAAAAAGAAGAAATGTCTCTTATGCTGAAGAAATGAATATTCTAAATATTACAAGACTGCAAGCTGTTCTAATTTGCAGGCAAAGATGCTTTGTTTTATCGTTAAAGTTTCAAAAACAATTGAACTGTAATCTATTGAAGTATGTTGTATTGTCAGCCTAGCAAATTTGCAAAAAACGACAACTGTGTGAGCTGAACATGTTGCCGCCTTATAACAGCAAATTTCCCCTCTACCCATCCTTTCACCTTAAAGGTGTCTTAGCTATTACCTTATTTTACTTTGTGTCAAATAGAAAATATGTCTTCTGGGAAGAATTGGGTCTAAATCCCCTGACAGTTGTCCCCAACTGTCCCTTTGTTTTTTCTATTTCTTTTTATATCCCCGTGTTTGTTGTGTGAGGTCATTCCCCCTGTTTCCCCTAATCCCTTGTGGTGGTCATCTTTCTGTCCCTGGGTTCATTTCTAATCCATCCATGGTCCTATGCTGTAGCTGCTAACACCCTCCATCTGTCCCTGTCCTCATATAAAAACAACCCATTGTCCTGCATTACAAAACTCTCATAATTCACGGGAACTCCCTTTCATCCTTTGTGAGCCTGTGTTTTATCCTTTTCCACTGTGAATCCATCCTACCATCACTAAAAGGTAAAAGTATTTTTGTTACTTCTTAAACAACTGCATTTTTTTCATTCTGTTCTTTCCATCTCGAGAAAAGTAACTGAAGTTATCAGTATAATTCAGACAGTAAATTAGCTACATTTTATGAAATCTGAAGGTCTGTTTGTTATTTTTAGTTCTTGTGTGCAGTTATAATAATGTTAGTTGTATCCGATAATGTGTTTTTATTTCCTGTACCAGACTATTGTGCTACTTTAGGAAAATGTAATTAAATAACTATGGGCAAAACAGTAGCTGGCCAACAATGGTCATAACCTGCATACTTATTCCTGGCACAAGTGCCTGTAGTAGTCTGTACTGATTTGTGTAGAGTTTAAGAGCATCCCGGACTAAATGCACTTATGGAACTATTAATAAAATTCACTCCAAGAACAATTAAGATTTGTCTTGACTCATGTAATCTCCCCCTGCATCCATGGCTAAAATGATCCTATCAGAATTTTGTGGTTAATGCTGCAATGACTCCCCGTAACCTTACATGTCCCCAAAACACCCTCTTTGTCTGCCACTTTCCCCATCCTGTTCTTAAAATGACTCTTGCTTCTATTCCTACTTGGGTCGATCCAGAAAAAGGGGCATCTTTCGTTTGTAATTTGATCGTTTCGTGCAGAATTTAGCCAGACTCGTGCCCTTTAGATGCTGAGAATCTCATTAACAAAGTAAGGGCGATCTGTGAAAGGCTGGTTTTAGATGGCCACTGCTTACAAGCCTTTGTCTGGAGACAGTAAAGTACAAGTTGAGTGGTGACAGCTACATGCCTCATAAATTCTCCCTGCCGATGACAATGCAGCTATAAAATTGTTTCAAATGGCAGATATGAAATGGCACTGATATGAAAGATGAGGCACAGGGAGAGAAATCTCTCAGTGGAAAGGTTAAAGACTGCAGTCAAACAGTGTGTGATAGACATTGACTGCATTTCCTGCAATCAAATCCTCAAGTTCCTATTAGGAAAAACAAGCAAAGGCTGGTACATATTGGGGATATTGTATGTCACCCTGTCTTTGTCTCCACATTCCCACCTGTTGTCACTCCATTGATCTTCATATGAAGCATTCAACGGGATGTCAGCACTTGGGAACAATGGAACAATTTAGATCCAGTGCTACTTTTGTTTTGTCACTCTCTCCTGCGCTCTCATCCTCTTTCTAAAATGATTGCGAAATGTTAAGTTATGTGGTTCTGCTTATACTTTCAGACATTCCTTCCTGTCTCACTCTCACTTTCTCTTTCTCCTTCTGTCATCCAGTTTCATCATGTCTGATGTAGAGGAAGAATATGAGTGAGTAATGTTTCTATTTGACCATTAAAGCATTACATTTAAAGGGTACTGTAATGTTTACTCATTCCTTTCTCTTCCCTAAATGGCCCGTTAGAGAACAAGCAGCGGGTAAGTCTTTTTTTTTTTTTTGCCCATATTAAACTGTAGCTTTAGTGATTATCAATAAAGCCTTGGTATAATGTGTACCCAGAGGCCCAGCTGAGCTACACTTGTTTTTAGAGAGCTACGTACAAGTCTGATTGGGGGCTTAGACTTGTTACCCTGCCTTTTCCTGGAAGGGTTATTATTACTACACAGTGATCTCATGTTTCTGCTAGCATACATCCCTAACAAATGGTGTGCACTTACATAATCCTTTGCACACACTTATTTATATACACACTTATCTTCTTTCCTGAATTCCTTCACGTGCTCTCTCTGGCACAGAATTGATATTCACTTATGTTTTCCTTTCATTTATCACCCTGTCATTGAGGAGCAGAGGAGGAGGAGGAGGAGGAGGATGCAGGATCAGGTAAATTTGACCTCAGTGAGGGTTTAAAGTATCAAACTCTCAAAGTTGATGAGAAAATAAAAGAACGTACAAAAAAGGAATATTCCGAAATATGAGATAGCATGTTATGCACTCATTTTACTCAAGCAACGCTGACCGTCACTAGTGGAAATAGTGTGAATGTGAGGGAGTAGCTGTGAAATCCAGCAAAAAAAAAAAAAAAAAAAAAAAACCATAGAAAATGAGTAAGAGGAGCCAGCCTCAAACTAACTTGGGATATAGAAACACCACTTGTAGTCATATGGATAATCAGTTGACATAATTTCTACAGGTTCTGTTTGGTTAACAGTACAGATAATTCTAGCAGCATCCGAACATGGTATTCTGTTCTTTACGTAAATGAGACATTATCTTTGACACACTTTGTTCTAAGGATCACAGGTCATTAATTCAGGGAGATTTCTTCTCATGCTGTTGAATTCTACTATTCCTTTGGCATGTCATGTGCCTCTCATAATAATAATAAACAACACCTGCAAGCACGATTAGATAAAACATAGGCAATATATTTTTCCTTCAAGGCTGATTTTTTTGTCAGGACTCACTGGAATATAGTCACTAAGTTAAAATATATATAATATATATCTTGTATAAATATAACTCTTGATTTTCATTATGAATTTCATATGATTTTTATGATTTATTTAATTCAAGAAGAGGGATTGTAAATCCACCACCTTCAGTTCGACCGGCGCAAATGGACAAATTAATAGACTGCAACAATTGGTATCCGGCAGTAAAAATCCGATACATTGTTTTCATAGGAGAGCTGTTTTTAAATGATAAAATACCAAGGCTATTGTAAGCTAAGAGGTTGTTAATCAATGGTATGTCTTTGTTGAAGCCATCAGCCAGCATTATTTCTAAATATTTTTAATCATGTTTGACTGATGGATTCCTTTAAAAAAAAAAAGATGTTAATAAAATAAATGAATCTTTGATTTGTTTTTAATATTAGTATATAAACATAGAAAAATAGTATATTGGTGTCTTATTGAAAGTGGTAAATGCTGGTAAATTTTTACATGTGTCTGTAACCTAGAAATCATTTAATCAGCCAATATCGAAAAATACATTCAAAGACCGAAGAGAGGACATTTAACTTTATCTTGTATATCAAAAGGACAGAACATAATGGTCATGATGAGCAGCCTCATGATATATGCATCTCTGAACATTAACAAAAAGTTCTGCATAAAGAGAGAACTATTTCTTCAAAACTGATTATTGAGGAGAACTAAATACCATTTTGTTTTCTATATCTGTTAAAGAGATTGATTTGTTTGATTTATTTTGATTCCATGTTTCTTTGCTGGATCTGTATTACAGAAAAGCAGGAGTATACAGATTATCAAGGTACTTTGTTTATCTTCACCAAAAAAAGACATGCACAATCAGGATAGCATGTCAAAAAATACCTTATATGGAAGGTTGAATGTGTTTGTTTTTGTGTTGAAGGGTGATGTCTACACTTTTTTTTAACCATTTTGCACATGCATGTTTGTGAATATAGTGTTTTTGTAAATGCTTGGTTCTACTGTATAGCTTTAAGAACTCACTGGTTTAAATATTGTAAGTACGAGCTCACAGTTTAAAGGGGTGGTATAATGCCCTTTTCACAAGATGTAAAATAAATCTCTGATGTCCCCAGAGTGTGTACGTGAAGGTTTAGCTCAAAATACCCCACAGATATTTTTATATAGAATGTTAAAATTGTCACTTTTTGAGGGTGAGCAAAAACCCACCGTTTTTGTGTTTGTCCCTTTAAATGCAAATGAGCACAGAGGGCGGAGCTTCAACAGCTTGTGTCCTGAAAATTTCAAAAACTTTTAGCCTTTTATGTTCAAACTGGAGTCAGATAAAGATGGAGAGACTCAAGAAGTGACAACATACAGACAACATGTATGAATGGTTAGTTGATGAGTTTATGTAGTTATCTTCTAGTCATTGATTAGCATATTCTGTCATGATTATCTATAAATCGCGTACCCTGGGGAGGGGTATCCAGTTTCCCACTGTGTCACTTTGGCCATAGTATATGACCCACTGCCTCCAGTGAGCTCTTAAAGCTATATAGTAAACCATAACCAAACATTTACAAAAACACTATATTCACAAACATGCACGTGCAACATGGTAAAAAAAAAAAGTGTTATATTTGATATATATATTTATTTTTTTAAGCATCCACACACATCATCATTTGTCTAATGTGTGCTTATCTACTAATTTTATGTCCATCTTATTTCCACATTTCCCATTGTTCTCTTATATGTTTCTGTTATTCTTTCAATGCTGTATTCATCAGAGGAGACTCAGGAAGAAGGTAAGGGCTTTTAGACAAAAGTACTTCTTTTAACTCCTTATCTTGATCCCTGAGTTCTGTGTTGTTAATCGTGTTGTTACATCCTCTGTCTATCACTGTGAAACATTTGTGGATTTTCTTTTTCATTGACCTGCATGACATAGAACTGTTGTTGACTAGTATACTAATTATTAAAATTTGTGCCACAAGCGTAAAACTGAAATGATAATAAATTATTCATATGTTAATAGTCATGTAATTTAAACATTTAATAGCAACATGCTACTATATAGCATATCTGATGTGGCAAGAAGCAGTTTTGAATATATCATGGACTGATATGTCTAGATTATTAGTTGACGGTTTTATACTATTTTGCTGGTTTGTTTATATATTTTTTTATCTTATAACGTTTATCTTTCCAGTTAGTTCACTCTCTTTTTGTATAAAAACAATAAAACAGTCTACACACACACACACACCTACCCATCACAGAAAACTTTGTGCATTGTTACATTTTATTTTATTTTTATTTTTACATAATGTAATGGCACAAAGATGGCAATATGTGAAATGTAGTGTTTACCAGGACATACACACACACTGTACGTATATGCTGTACACACATATATATATATATATATATATATATATATATATATATATATATATACACACACACACACGCACACACACTGTTTGTGTGTGTGTATTGTATATTTATCCACCACATCACACTCTAAATGTGTTTTGAATCCAACTTTTACTTTGTACTACTCACCACTGACATGCTTTTTACACACAGAATGTTATATAAATAATGAACTTAAAGCTACAATATGTAATTTTTTTGCCGCTAGGGGTCGCTAACCTCTTACAATAACAAAGGCGTAGATTATTGATTGATGACGCAGTGAATAAACGGAATTATGGAACTTGTCGTCATGCCAATGGAACTAATAATGTTTATAGGAAATAATGTTTATGGATGAGTGAATACATTCATGTTTTTTAATATGACTGTGGTATGAAGCAGGTTGCGATTGCTAACGTGAGAAAGATATCAGAGCCACATACGAGTCCCGCAGATATAAAGGAATGAGGACATTTAATTGTACCGAACTACCCACAAGTGCTGAATTAATACTCAAACTTGTCAGTTTATGTAACAAATTAAAATTGTGAGGTAACTCAGCACTGTTTCACTTGGTCTACACTATTATACTAAATTGCATTTGAGTGTGTTGAAAGTTATAATGTTATTATATGTGTTAGTTTGTTGGCTTTATAAGACTAGCAGTAAGCTAGATCAACATGATTTCCATTACACGAGAGTAGATGTTAAAACTTCATGCTGATTTGTACTCGGCTTTCGCCAAGATAAGCAAAACTAAGACGTAGCTTTACAGTAAACTATGCTTCTCCATCCATTTACGCTTCTTTCCATATGGTGGTGTGACTCCCCTTCTGTCCGGCGTTAACAGCTGCAGGGTACTTGGCGCGTCAGCACACGCGACGGCTGCAACTACAGGACCAGCACGACAACCGTCTGGATTGAGCAGAGTAGGGGACATCTCTAGGGTCTTCAAGTGGGCACCTTCCGTCCTCAGTGTTTCGTCGACTAGCCCACGACACCTCAAGAGGGCTCGACCCCCCTCCGTCCCCCACTCAACTCAGCCCAGCTTACTGACCTCTACATCCCTCCTGCTGCTGAGACCTAACCACAATCTCACAATCTCTCCGCAACCCGACCATACGCGCCAACCCGTTTGACTAAGGCTGTCGAGCCCCACTGGTGCGTTAATATGCAGTTTCAGTGGACAACGGTTCCGTATGGCATACCACCTACCGCAAAACACAATATCTGCCCAACCACCCGTCATTCACGCAATATCCACAGGAACGTATACAAATAAACCAACAGACTCTTCAAGTTTTCAAGAATTCTACGAAACCGTAGCGTGGCGGCCTGTACACAGCCAGCTAGAATCTTTCCGTCTCAACCACAGCCAGTTGCTGCTCCTTTCTGCTGCTTCAGATAAGTTCTTTACTGTGCGACGCAACTCTTGGCCGCTGAATCCAATGTCTCTGAGGAACCGGGTTGTAGAGTGTGCCACAAATCCTCGACAACCCACTTCCACTGGATAAACCTGGACTCTCCATCCTGGCTGTTCTGCTTCAGTGGCCAGATGAGCATACCCCAGTTTCTTCCTCTCATATGCCTGATCTACAGCATCCTCCCATTGCACTGTTAACTCTATCAGTTGAACAATGCGTGCTGATCCAGACCACAAAACAATATCTGCTCGTAGGTTAGTGGTGGCAATCTCAGGTGGAAAAATAAGCCGTTGATCAAGATCAGCCAGCATCTTCCAGTCCCTAGCAGCTTCCAGTTGTCCTGGGCGAGGATTTTTCTTGGCGGTTGCTCGCCTGGGCGGAGGAATATTGTCTTCTGCGTGTAATGTCTTGCTAGAACAGGTGGCAACTTATTGGTCATGTTACGCTTGCCTTCTAATGCTAAAGCCAAACATCACAGTACTTGGTCATGGCGCCAAGTAAACCGACCTTGGCTAAGAGCCACCTTACATCCTGTCAAAATGTGCCTTAATGTGGCAGGTGATGAACACCAAGGACAAGATGGATCCTCTCCTACCCAGAGGTTTAGGTTCTGCGGTGATGGGAGAACATCATATGTTGACCTAATAAGGAAACTGATCCTACTCTCTTCCATTGACCAAAGGTCTTGCCAGCCCATCGTACGTTGTTCCACACTCTCCCATCTCATCCACTCTCCCTGCTTGGCCTGGGAAATGGCCTTTATACACCTCATCCTCTCCTCCTGCTTACGCACCTCGTTGACTACCAGCTTCCTCCTTTGAGCTGGGCCTTCCTTGTGCCATTTAGGAGGAGCTAAACTGAGCCCAAAACCCCCTCTTCCATGCTGTACCTGTCCCACGATATCCCCAATTTGAAGGGCAGCCTTTGCCTCTACTACAGATTTCTTTGCTGACCACTTTCTACCAGTTTTTAACACAGGTGCTGCCTCCCTTACACATTTGTCGCGTGACTCTACTAAGGTCATTTCCAGTCTGACCTTGGCACACTTGAACTCCTCGGTTAAAGCAGAGACTGGCAGCTGCAATATTCCTTTACTATAAAGTCCCACTCTGCTGAGGCAGCGTGGAACTCCCAACCATTTCCAGATGTATGAACTTATCAACGCTTCCAGCTTATCCACTGTTGTCAAAGAAACGTCGTACACGGTCAGTGGCCACAGCAACCTCGGCAGTAGACCAAACTGAAAGCACCAGAGTTTTAGTTTGCCAGGTAGAGCACAGCTGTTTATGCTCTTCAACCCTTCCACTGCTTGTCGTCTAACTTCTCCCACCCGAACTGTGTCCTTTAGAATAACACAGATCGAATTCGAACATTTCATCATGTTGAACTATAGCCTACCATTGATTCATTCACTTGTCTAATAAAGTGCATGCAAGAGCGGCGTCTCTGTCAAGTCGAACGCGGACATGGAGCTCTCTGCATCTCGAAAACGCCACGCCGATATTAATCCTCGTTTTATTTCTCCTTTTGTCCCAAAGTCTGCTAGGTCCATAATATTTAAACGAAACAACAACAGCATACCGCTAAACATTTCGCAGTTGTCCACGTCTGTTGCCATGGTTACAATGACAGTACAAGTGGAAACCAGGGATAACGCGGATATTACGTCATTGACAGGCGACAAGTGACAAGGGACGGGCACTTTTTAAAATTGTGAATTTCACTGAATTTACAAATTCTTGGAAACTTTTAGGATAATGTAAGTACACAATTGAAAGAAATATATAAAACTGTGCAAGTGGTTTTTGGATATTTTGATACAAAATCCTTACATATTGTACCTTTAATACTTTAATCACAGAGTTTATTAAAAATGTATGTACTAAAGAGTTCATGAGAGAACAGTTACAGTTGTGTCCTTTAGTTTCATATTTCTTCAGAGGAACCAGCTTTATTAAAAAAAAAAATCCAGATCATTTTAAAATGTGAAATGGTCAAAAGACAGAAAAACATGCAACCAGTATAGGGCAGCATATTGTACGGTTATGTGGGCGAACAGGAAACGCTATATAATTACATTTTACAAGAACTCCCTTGTTTCTTTTTTCCCTTTTTGTGTTCTTTTGTTCAGAGGAGGAAAGACCACGGCCCAAGTAAGTGTTTCAACACTCCTTTGTCAAACCACAGGCACGCTCTTTATTTTCCAGATGTCTTCAGGCACATAATCCCCCAAATCTCTTGCTTTTATCATCTCCCACACAGGCCCATGGTTCCACAACTTGCCCCTCCAAAGATTCCAGAGGGTGATCGGGTAGATTTCGATGTAAGTACCTTTTCAGTTCAGTTCATCAATTTAGGATGAATTGTAAAGTGAGAATTACTTATAATATGAAGGGTTCACTTTTTACATCCTAAACTGTGTGAATGTTTATACAGTCATGTGAAAAAGATAGGACACCCCATGAAAACCTTTGTCTTCAACATATGGACATTGGATCTTCATTTTAACAATATAATACTAGTAAAAACTAATAAAACTGAAATTATTTGTAAAATATCCTTAATAGAAATGAAATATTTGGTGAGGAAAAAGATTTGGAAACAGTTTGCCAGAGAACACCTAGACAAAGACCAGGACTTCTAGAACAATGTGCTTATGACAGATGAATCCAAAGTTGAATTGTTTGGGCCCAGTAGCAGAAGACGCGTGGCGCAAACCAAAGACCGCATTTGAGCACAAGAACCTCATACCAACTGTGAAGCATGGGGGTGGTAATGTCATGGTTTGGGGCTGCTTTGCTGCAGCAGGGTCTGGCCAGCTCACTATCATAGAATCCACTATGAATTCTTCATTGTATCAGAGGGTACTTGGAAAAAAATGTAAGACCATCTGTCCGAAAATTAAAGCTGAAGCGGATGTGGACTATGCAACATGACAATGACCCAAAACATTCCAGTAAATCCACCAAGGAATGGCTTCAAAGAAAGAAATGGAGAGTCCTGGAATGGCCAAGTCTAAGCCCGTATCTTAATCCTATTGAGATGCTGTGGGGTGATTTGAAACGGGCAGGGGCATGCAAGAAATTAGGAATTGGCATCTTTATTTATATTTTTTTTGTTAAATAAATGACATCATGGTTAAAATTTCATTGTTTTTTGTTCAATTACATCACCTTTATCTATAGATATTGTTTGAAAGAAGATCAAATATTGATATGTCCATATTTCTTACAAAAGAACAAAATATTTCATGGGGTGTCCTATCTTTTTCACATGACTGTATGGTGGGTCCAATGTGAATGTTTATATGGTGGGTCCAATGAAGACTAAGCAAACTGTTTGTTTTTATTGAGGTTGGATTCAATTCATATCCAATTAATTACCAAATGTGATTAAACAACATTCAGTTTGGACTTCATGGAAGTTATGGCTTTCTATTTCTAATCTATATAATTTCCTATCTCAGGATATTCACCGAAAAAGGATGGAGAAAGACTTTCTGGAGTTACAGACTTTAATTGATGTCCACTTTGAGCAGAGGAAGAAAGAGGAGGAAGAACTGATCGGTCTCAAGGAGAGAATTGTACTTCAGTCTTGATCTTTTCATATTTTTTCTCTTTTATGACTTTTATTTACCACAAAAACCTTCTATACTCACCTTTCTCTTTGCTTTGTACTAATTTTCTCCATGTTGGCCATTCACTCCACCTGTCCTCAGGAGCGGCGACGGGCAGAACGAGCAGAGCAGCAGCGTGTTAGAGCAGAGAAAGAAAGAGACAGACAGACGAGGATTGCGGTAAATTAGAAGTCAAACTTAAAACATAGTAAATAAAATGCTCAATTGCTCTCAAAGTTGTATGTGGAATTTAATACAAAATATCAAAATCGATGTGAAATATAATGTCTGCACTCTCTCATCAGGAAGAGCGCCAGAGGAAAGAGGATGAGGAGGCTAAGAAGAGAGCAGAAGACGAGGCCAAGAAGAAGAAGGTTTTGTCCAATATGGGGGCAAACTTTGGTGGCTTCTTAGCCAAGGTAGGTTACTGAGCCTTACCATAAATACAGTAATGTACCATTAATACATGTTTGTACATATGTGTGTTTGTGTTTTAGGCAGAGCAGAAAAGGGGGAAGCGTTTGACTGGACGAGAGATCAAGAGAAAGACGCTTTCAGAGAGGCGCTCTCCACTTGGCATCGAAAATCTACGAGAGGATGGCTTAAGGTGACCGTTCTGTCTCACATCCATGTTATATATAATATAATATAATTTAAACTTTCATTAAGAAATCATTAAGAAACATTATATATGTCGTGGACTGGTTGAATAGCATACACGATGAAGATGATGAAAGTCAAAGGTCTTTAATTAATTATCCACATAGAGTAACGAAAATGAGGGCAGGCAAAGCAACAACCGTTAAACATAGACAAGACCGGACAACTAAGAACCGAAACACGGGAACAATTACTGTTAAGTTTAGCTAAATTCATGCTAAAAACAACAACACATAATTGTAATTCGGTTGCAAAACATGTTTTTTAATTGCTTCAACACTTAGTATACTATAATATATCCTTAAACAGGATATTCCTTGAATCATAAATAAACAAGAAAAAACAATATATTTTTCAAATAAATTCTAATCAAGTTGACCCCTGTACACTGTTGACCCCTAAACCCACCCTTAAACCTCCAAACCTGTCCCTAACCTTACCTGTCTCACACCTCAATAGCAGCAAAAGTGTTTTGCAGTAGACGACAATAGACAATAAGTACATTGTACCTCACTATTATTATTATTATTATTATTTCGATGTAAGTACATAGGTAAAACACCTAATGTAAAGTAAGACCTGTCATTCTTATATTGTTGAATTTTCTGTTGAACATCCGGATCACTCATAGCTACCAAACACCTTTTTGCATTTGTACATTTGTAAATGTAAAAAAGTGCATTTAGGTTATATGAACTGAAGTTTAATGACATTTGTACATTTTCAAGAAGTGCATAATCATATCAATTTAAAGTTTAATGACATTTGTAAGCATTTTAATGTATATTAAATAATGATCTGCTAATCAATCAACATCTAAGTTTGATCTGTTAAGCATTGTATGTTTGTTAATGATTTATTGATGAAAGTTATTATAAAGTGTTACCATATGTTTTCCGTTATGCAAGATGTGCAAAGGGTCTATAATTTAATATTCAATAATGTTATTGATCTGCCTTACTTAAGGTGGACGCTGACGCAATTTTCTTTTAGAAACAAACTTTGTTATATTGTTTCCATGTTATGTTATCACTGTGAAGCGCTTTGATACAATCTGTATTGTAAAAAGCGCTATATAAATAAAGGTGACTTGACTTGACTTGACTATAATGGTTCATATAAAATTCTTGTTCCCTTTCAAGGGAACTCGAGCTGCGTCGAGACGCGGTGGAAACGCCTCTGCGTGATTGCGTCATGAAGCACGTATGAAATCACTCCAATGGCGTGACGGAACGTCATGTGACGTCATTGACCAGGAGACTATAAAGCATTCCTGGAACAAACAGTCAGTACTAGCTTCTGTGTCTTCAGCAAGCGTTCTGTGTGAAACTTTCTTTGTCTATTTATTGTTGTTTGTCCACAAGCATAATATATTATCTAGACAGGAGCATAATGGCGAGCAAACAGCTTTTTGGATTGTGTGTTCCTCCCTGCCCTCGCTTCCTTACGAGTGGGGACACACGTGATTTATGTGTAGTTTGTTTGGAGTGGAGCATGCACAGTCATCTGATCTTTGAGGAGTTAGATGTCTATATTAATATACTATTCAGCTTTTTCATCCAGACTATGTTTACTTGTCTGGTTGATATTTGGCTCATTTTTGAGAAAATTAAATACATATGTATTCATCTGATCTTTGATGAGTCATTTAATTCTGAGGAAATAAATGGTGAAATCCCGGGGGGAAATGGATAACACTTCATTATATGGTGCCCATCTCCCTTCGGTGCCCTCCAGCGAGTTCTAGTCTCAGTGTCTGACTCGCAGAAGGAGGGTTTAAAAGGGATAAGTTCGGTTGTTTCCTGCTGGTCATCCGTTTCAGGATGCTGGATTGGCTTCTCGAGCTATACTAGAGACCAGTCTCGAGAGGCTGGTTCCTTTAGTAGTCTCAGCCGAAGTCGTTTTGGGATAAGACAGATCTGAGGACAGTCGTTATCTCGAAGAAGGCTTCGACCAAAAAGTCCTGACACCGAGGCCGTCAGACTTCTGAGGGCAGTCCCCTCCGGGGAGAAACGGTTTCCACCTCATCAAAACACGGTGCCCGTTTCTCCTCGGAGCCCTCTGGGAGGCGACTCTCTGAGGAGGGTCGCAGCGCTGCCAGTTCGGTTGTTCCCTGCTGCTTTAGGGCACCGAGGTGTCACCGTCCCCAAACGATCCTTTGAGGAGGGTCGTAAAGCAGTCAGTTCGGTTGTTCCCTGCCGGTTCGCCGCTTCAGGGCACCGAGGTGTCAGCGTCCCCAAACGATCCTCTGAGGAGGGTCGTAAAGCAGTCAGTTCAGTTGTTCCCTGCTGGTTCGCCGCTTCAGGACACCGAGGTGCCTGCATTTCCCAATGATCCTCCGAGGAGGGTCATAGTCATAGAACAGTCAGTTGGGTTGTTCCCTGGCTGTTCGACCAATACCAGAGGCTAGTCTCGAGAGACTGGTCCCCTTAGCAGATTTTCTGGCATCGTGGAAACTACTGCCAAATATATCTCGTTGGGTCCTGCTCACAATAGAAAAGGGTTACAGAATTCAGTTCGGTTCTCGTCTGCCCAGATTTGTAGGGGTCCTCCCTATGGTGGCTTTGGTTATGGAGCAAGAAGCAGACTCTTCTGCGAAAGGAGGCTATAGAAAGGGTTCCTCCTCCCAGCAGGGAGTCAGGGTTTTACAGCCGTTACTCCATTGTTCCAAAGAAGGATGGAGGCTGGTTTGTCACGATAGATTTGAAGGACGATACTTCCATGTAGCCATCCATCCTCATCACAGGAAGTTCCTAAGGTTCTCTTTCGGGGGCGAAGTGTACCGTTATCGTGTTCTTCCCTACGGCCTAGGTTTATCACCCCGCACTTTCACAAAATTGATCTCCAGGGCATTCGCGTGTTGAATTACATCAACGACTGGTTGATTTTAGCTCAATCCGAGCAGATGGCGGTTTGGCATCGAGATGTCGTTCTGTCTCACATGAGAAAGTTAGGGCTGAGGCTCAGCACCAAAAAGAGTGTGCTCCTTCCAGCTTAGAGGACCACTTTTCTAGGCGTGGTTTGGGATTATTATTAATGGGGTAAAACTAGGCCAGTCACTCACTGTGAAACAGTTTCAGAGACTGCTAGGTCTCATGCCAGCTGCGTCCAACGTAATAACTCTTGGCCTCCTGTGCATGAGACCCCTACAGTGGTGGCTCAGGACCAAGGGGTTTTCTCAGAGCGGAAATCTATTTCGCATGATCAAAGTCACTCTGCGATGCCTACGTACGTGCCTTAGTCATGTGGAAGAAACCTTGGTTCCTCGCCCAAGGCCCAGTGTTGGGGGCTTCTTGTCGTCGCATAATGCTAATGACAGATGCTTCCTTCACAGTTTGGGGGGCAATCATGAGTGGTTGCTCGGCGCAAGGTCTGTGGCAGGACCATCTACTTTCTTGGCACATAAATCGGCTAGAAATGATGGTGGTGTTTCAAGCTCTCAAACACTTCCCCCCAGACTTGAGGGGCCATCATGTGTTTGTCTGTACAGACAACACATCGGTGGTCTCTTACATCAACCATCAGGGGGGTCTGAGGTCACGTCACTTATGCAAACTCGCTCACCAGATCTTCCCGTGGGCCCAAGGGAATTTGCTCACTCTAAGGCCAATTTACATCCCTGGGTTTTTAAATCGGGGAGCAGACATCCTGTCGAGGCAGGGGCCGAGGCCTGGGGAATGGAGACTCTACCCCGAGGTGGTGGAGCTCCTATGAAAAACTTTGATCGAGCAGAAGTAGACCTGTTCGCATCTTAAGAGACAACACACTGTCCACTGTGGTTCTCACTCAGTCAGCCAGCTGGGGCTGGGCGCTATGACGTATTTCCCCCCAACGCTCTGCTCCCGGGAGTTCTGGAGAAAGTTCGCTGGGATGGGGCCCGTCTTCTGTTAATAGCCCCGTTTTGGCAGGCCGGAGTATGGTTCTCGGACATAGAGTCTCTCCTTGACGGCTCTCTTCTGGAGATTCCGCTCAGGGGGACCTTTTCTCTCAGGCGAGCGGGTTGATCCTTCACCCCCGCCCAGAATTGTTGAAACTTTGGGCTTGGCCTCTGAGGGGGCCCAGCTCATAAGTTCAGGTCTCTGAAGGTTGTTGAGACCATCCTCCACTCCAGAGCTCCCTCCACGAGGAAACTGGAGGCTGCCGTCGCATCATCCAAGTGGATGCTGCACATTGGTGGTGGTTGAGGAGATTCCCCCTTCCATGTGAAGCGCTTTGAGTGCTTAGAAAAGCGCTATATAAATATAATGAATTATTATTATTATTAACTCTACGCCTTAAAGTGGATAGTTTTCACTTCCTGGTGCGGATAGCACCAGCCAGACCCAGTTATCTGCCCTGTGGTTGCAGTGCTGGAGTTCCTGCAGGAGTGTTTCTCCGCACGTCTATCCCCTCCACACCAAAGTTGTACATGGCATCCTCAGCTGCTTACCACGTCCCTTTAAGTGGTCTATCCTTGGGGAGACACCCTCTAGTAACGTTTCCTTCGTGGCACTGTAGGCGTCAGACCAAGATACTAGGAGTATGGGTGCTTCTAAAACGTTATCGTCAGGAGTTTCCCTCCAATATGTTTGTGATGTGGCGGGATGTTGCCTAGCTGCACACATTAGTGAGGTTTTATGACCTTGACCTCGGCTCCACTCCAGGGGTGCAGGTGCTTTCGTCTTTGTGTGCGCAGAGATTTCACACGGACAGGCACTTGTTAATATGGCGTCGCGGGTATAGTGTTCCCACCGCATCTCGACGCAGCTCGAGTTCCCTTAAAAGGGAACGTCTCAGGTTACATATGTAACCCTGGTTCACTGAAGAGGGAACGAGATGCTGCGTCACCCTGCCATACTTCCTACATGCCTGTGAGCAACTTGCTTCAGCCTATCAGAAGCTAGTGACTGTTTGTTCCAGGAATGCTTTATAGTTTCCTGGTCGATGACATCACATGACGTTCCGTCACGCCATTGGACTGATTTCATACGTGCTTCATGACGCAATCACGCAGAGGCGTTTCCACCGCGTCTCGACGCAGCTCGAGTTCCCTTGAAAGGGAACCAGGGTTACATACATAACCTGAGACGTTTTTTGACTGGAATGTTTTTTTTTCATGCTCCATGAATAGTTGTTTTGCATCATCACCTGTTCCTTACTCCCAAAAAACAGGAAGCGAGCTCAGGAGATGTGGAACTGGATTCACCAGCTGGAGTCAGAGAAGTTTGACCTATTGGATCAAATGAAGAGACAGAAGTATGAGGTGTGGTGACTTTGTTTGCTGATCTGAGGTTTGAGAAACTGGTGAAAGATTTCACTGTATGAAACCTGACTGTGTTTGTATTGCAAATACTTATCTGTGCTTAGTTTAGCTAGAGAAAGTCAGATAGAGAGATAGATAAAGAGTGTAGAAAGTGAAAACGCAAAGAAAACACTGTATTTATCTGAAATTTGCGTCCTTCTCAACAGATTGTTGTTCTACTGAACAGGATTTCTCACGCTCAAAAATTGTAAGTCACATTAAGTTAATAAGTTGATTGTTTCAAGTTGTTCTAAACATAATAAATTCATACAGAAACATGAGTCCCTTTGCTAAGAGACACATGACAAATGAAAACAATATGTGTTCTAAAATCAGCTCAAAATATCAAACATGTTTGATATCCACCTCAATGGATTCATTGTCTGAAACTAAAAATATCTTTGCCCATCTCTATGCAATTTTCTGTGAAATGTGTCAACTCAGACTGCCCAAAATCTGCAGACTGACTTTGACTTTCGGCAACTAGCATCGACTTGTCCAGGCTGCAAATCTGGGTAAAAATCCGAACAAAAGTCATATAGTGTATCCTGCCTTAAAGGGAAAGTGCATCCAAAGATGAAAATTCTGTCATCATTTACTCACTCTCATGTCGTTCCAAACATGTATGCATTTCTTTCTTCTACTGCACAAAAGAAGATATTTTGAAAAATATTGATAGCCAAGCAGTTTCGGTTCCCAATGGGAACCGAGACTTGCTTAGTTCCCAACATTCTTCAAAATATCTTATTTTATGTTCCACAGAAGAAAAAAGTCTTGAAGGTGAGTAAAGATGAGTAAATGATGACACTTTTGTTTGTGGACTATCCTTTTAAGCGAAAATTAGGCTTTACTTATTTCTTAAGCATTTTTCTTTGGTGAAAAAGACTATAATAGCCTGTCTTTAAGAAAAATTGTCTCTCAATTGTGCTGATGTTCAACCTCTTTCTTTATCACAGCAAAAAAGTTCATGGTAAAGGAAAGGTCGGGGGTCGCTGGAAATAAGACATTGGAAAAATTCTGAAAAGCCAACACAGAAGCTTTCACTTCTGACCATTTCACAGCATCTCCAAAAGAATAACATTTCTGAATATGTTCAAAACCTCTCTTAGATTCAATGTGCTTGGATTAGATTAATCACTTATGCTTGTTTTATTCTCATTTGTAAGGCACTTTGGATAAATGTGTCTTCTAAATGAATAAATATCAATGTAAAATGCATCTGATTCATCACTCATTCACAGAGAGTCTTTTAGCAAACTAGACTGGTTATGCAACTGAAACCACTTCACTCTGAAAGGGAAGAGGAATGAAAATATACTGGAAATGAAAATAAACTGTCAGAGAGAAGTGTCTTTGGTGTGATTAAAAAACTTTTGCCATACTGTTTAAAACGGCCTAAGCTAGGCTCCATGAAGCACCGGCAGGCCCACAACATCAACACTATACGACATAATGGAAGCCTAAGCAATGATTAACATACATTTAGTAGATTAACTCATTAGAGTGGGCAGCATTTATAGAGATATAATTAAAACAGGCATATATACAAATATAAAATTAAAATTACTGACATTTTTACTTAACCTGAACGCGTTGATCTGCTGTCGCCATCTGGTGGCCGGCGAATGTTCGTTCACAATAAATTAGTACATTGTGTGTCCTACGCCTCATGTGACAAATAATCTAGAAGAAACACTGAATCAAAACCCTGAAAAAGAAGTTTATTCAAGTGTGCTCTTAGTATACTTCTTTTAGACTAAAAATAAGAAAGTATAATTGCACTTACTTGATTTATACTGACAGTGACAGAAAGGTCTAATTTAGCCTATACTTGAACTCAATCTTTTGCCTGAGATATACTTAAAAGTATACTTAAGTTTTCTAAGTATATTTGGCTTGTAGTTTTGTTTACTCTTTTGACTGAGTAGCCTATTAAATATTTCTTCACATAGTCTCGTTATAAACTTCAGTATATTTTTTGGAAAATATTGATTTATAAAGAAAACAGATATGTTCCTAATTCTGAGTATCTGAATTTTTGTGTAGGCTATAGCCTAGTCCACTGATAGCGTACACAGGAATTTACTTCAAATCTACTTCACTCTTTCCCCGCCATTGACTGAATTTCCATCTATATTTTGATCATCGCTCTGAATCCCATCCGGACGAAAGTTTTTGACAAATGCGTTTTTCTCAGCTTTTTAAATGAAACTTTTGAACACATTAAATTCTTGATAAAAAGGATGCATGAAGCTAGAATAAAATGGTTTGAAAATTGTAAAGAGTTAAAGAACAGTTAAAGGTATATTTCAAGTTTAAAAAACAATACCCAAGTAGGAAAATAGTAGTAGGCCTATACTTAAAGTGCAAAAATAATATATAAATAGTAAACTATAAGTATGCTGTTCACTTAAAGAAAACTTACAAGTATACCTGCAGTATAAAACTACTTAACTAGTAGTTTACTGAAAGTGTGCTTTCATTCACTAAAAAATGTGCTACATATTTGACTAGTAAACTCGGTAGCTATAAGTTCACTTGTAGTTGCAGCACAAACGAAAAACTTAGTTGTAAACTAGTTGCGTACTCAAAGTTTATACTGCTACATTTAAAGTATTAATAGAATATTTTATACACAAAAAAGTGGGCCAATTTAGTCCCAATAACGAAACAGTATACTTACAAGTATACTTCTAGGACATTGATATTAGTATACTTAATACATAAAGTATACATAAAAATATACTTGAACTTTACTTAAGTATACTTAATAAAATGAACTATAATTATTTTTTGCTAAGAGACCACAACAACTGCCAAAACTGTTGGCCATTATGGCTGTAAACATTGTTGCTGTGTGAACGTATACACAAGAGCCTTTGGGAAGCCGATTTAAAAATCATTCAGTCTAAACTATAGTCTAAAAACAGCAGTGTTGTAGCGCGACAATTGCAGATTCACTTCCTCACACAGATAAATTAGCACTGTTGATAAGGTGATTTTTCCGATTATTCATATTCTGATTTGGTTGGATAAACTCTCTCAGTCATGTCCACTTGCTATCATTTTGGCTAAGTTTGCAATGTAGGCTACTGCCTTTTCCTTATAGCACATCTCGTGTTTTCATGTTAATCTGTCTGTTTTGTAGTCTTTTACCAAATCATATTTAACCAGTTAACTAACTTTGCATTCAAAATGCAGCCTTTTTATCTGTTCAACCTTCTCCAATCTCTCTCTTTCTCTCTCTATGGCTTTGCATGTGTGTCCTTTCTGGTCTCCTTCATCCTCTCCTCACCCGCCCTTCTCTGGCTCTAATTCCCTGCTCACATGTATGGCTTAGTCCAGTACTGCACTTGGAACACAGCCGAAAACAGCACAAGATTAATCCAGGCTTCCACCTACAACCGGACAACTCTGTAAATACTGCTGAACCCAACCAGACAATTGCTATTGGTAGACATATTAACAGACAATAATTTACAAGAATTTTAAACACATCTTAAAATCTGTTATAATATCCAGTTGCTGTTTTTATTGTCAACTTGGTTCACAGAAAAGACGAGGCAAATCAGGACAGTTCTCATACATTTATAGACATATACAAGACTTTCAAACAAAACACACAGTTATCATCCACATACACACACATTTACATAAGAAACAATCCAGATGAACAGAAAATACATAATGACATTTATAAAAGTTAATCCTCCTTTGTTTCACAGTAAAGAAGGGTACATGTAATAATGACGTTAATAACGCAACAGACAGAAGCTTCTCAGTGACAGGACGTATGAGATTTAAATAATGTTTTGCCAAAACTTTTATTTGAGGGGTGGATGAGTAAGATATTTAGCGGATAGGTGCTTTAAGGGCAGCGTCTACTTCTTCTTCAGGCTGAAGGGTGTGCCACTGGGCCACAGGTCGTCTGGGATTGGCCAACATGTCTGACCAGTGTCGCAGACCCACCCCACTAGCACCAAACCCAATCCAGCACTTCCCAATCGCATCATTGCTTCCCAGTTTATCATAGTCATAGACAGTGATCAGCACCTGGATCTTCTGCAGGGACACAGAGGAGCAGAGAAATATAGGTCAATACACATTTAATCCACTTTGTTCTTTGGCCCCACTTTATATTAAGTGTCTTTAACTACTATTTACTAACATTTAAATTAATAATTTGATACAATTCTCTCATTGTATTTCATTTTTATATAAATACATGCATGTAATTACAGCTGTCATTCATTTCTGTAATGACATCTATAATTACACTGTTAACCCATCCCTTACACCTTAGCCCACCCTTAAATCTACCCATACCACCAAACCTGTCTCTAACCTTACCCATTTCCCATCTCAATAGCAGCAAAAGTGTTTTACAATACAACGAACACAATAAGTACATTGTAGGCTACCTAACAAATATGTTGTTTTGATTTTAGTACATAGTAGTTAAAGACACCTAATATAAAGTGTGACCCATTATATTGTAGACACAGATGAGTTTACTAGTAACATTAGCGATATAATCGTAGTGCATTCATAGTAAAAAGGTTGCATTGTATTGTAAATCTGCAAATGTATCAGAGATGCAAGTATTGTCGTGTTTCAAACAGATATATTTACCTGAACCTGAGCGAAGGGGATTTCAAAGCTGAAACTTTCATTGAAGTAAGGGTTCAGTGTGTTCTGCTTCACTGTCGTCTTCTTCTTCTTGATGCGCTTTCCGTTGTGTTGCAAAACCACTTTCACAAAAGGATCTAAGAGAAAAAATTAGGAAAGAGATAATGCCATTGTACATGGATAAAGACAGAAATGCACCTTAGCACAACATTTCCACAGAAATATTTAAAAGAATAGAAATCTAATCATATTAATATAAAGTCACATTTGATGTGTAGAGAATAATTTCATTTTAACATCAAGTACAACACAGAATGTGATCTAATTTGAACATAATAATGCTACCACAGTCACCTGATAAACCACCCACATCCATCTTCTTCAGGTTCTTGGCTTCCATGATACAGACGGTCAGTTTACCGGAGGTGGGCACATAGCGCAGGGAGATACAGATGTCTCCAAGCTTTTCTTGCTGTTGAGAAGGAAGAGGAGTGTGTTTAGCTAAAAATCATCAAAGAACAGACTATGTGTACAAAAGCCTCAAGGAAAGCCTTACTTCCTCTTTCTCTCCTCCAACTAGGTCTTTCCATTCGTGTATGGGCTGGCCCAGGTCAATACTGTTCATGGGGATTTTGATCTCTCCAATTACGTCATGTTTACCAAAGCGGTCAAAGTCAAACACCTGCAAGACCAGAGTCTGCCCCGCTAGATCATTGAAGGGGATCTGGAAACAGAAATAAAACATACTATTTGAACACTGTGCCATTTATGAAAAGAAATTGCATTTGCTGTGTTTAGAGAAAAAAAAGAGTCAGTTGCTTATTCTACAACAAAATCAAGCATAACAGATAAAGTGTATGACAAATTGCCTTTTGGCAAATCCCTCAAAAATGTATGATTGTAAGGACATAACTGCAATACCTTAAATATGAATGTCTCATTGAAAACAGGACACAGGTTCTTGCGCTGGACCTTTGTTTCAAACTTTTTCTTCTTGTCTGGTAGCATATAAACTTTGACATAGGGGTCAGACGTTCCACCCAGATCCATGGCAGGAAGGTCTTGTGCTTGCAAGATACCGACAATGAGCTGAAGATTGTTGAAGAAAAGGTTGTGGGTCAGGTGTTTAAAATCAAGAAGCTAGTCACACATTCTTTAAAACGACATTTTTGCTGATTTGTATAAAAAAATGAATCATATCATCTCATAAATAGCATGGATATTATGAACATCCACTCTCAACCAACCTGATTTTCAGTGAAGCTATAATCCAGAGTGTATTCCAACTTGCCATAATTTTCTTTCTCTCCCTCGCCCTCTCCATCTTTAGGTTGTTCCTATGGGGGTTGAGTATTAAGTATGGGTAGTATAAATGTAAAATAGCCTACTTACGCAAACCTTTAAGCCAAACTTTACCCATTTCTTTTTAATAAATTAAAATGAATAATTTAACAGAAGCAAGATCTGACAGAGTTCCATTTTCTGCGTTGAGCTTCCAAGCTCTCTCACCTCGCCTGCTTCATCATCTCCCTCCTTTTTCACCCTTCTTCGTCCTCCCTTCCTCTCTCTGACTTTCTTAGTTTTCTTCTTCCCTCCCAAGCACTTTTTATAGATACAGAAAGCAAAGCAGCCAACCAAGGCTAGCACGACCACAACTATGGCACCAATAGCCCACATGGGCACTGTGCAGTAGAGAAATAAACAAAGAAAGTTAAAGTAAAAAAAAAAAAGTTAAAAAAAAAACCCAGAATGATGGAAAGATCATAATTTATTTTCTGTTACATCAATAAATGGATTAATGCAACAACAACAACAACAACAACAAAAAAATATTTCTGCAAAATGAATATGGATGGATGGATGGAGGGCTGACATGAAAAATTGGAACTTACTTCTGATCTTGTGGTCTGTTTATGGAATAGATGAAAACATGTAGAATTTACATGGAAATGAAATTTTTTTTAGGAATTAATTCATCACACACAGTTTAATGGGAATGTATGTTTGTAATGATAATATGATGAAACTGAACCGGACATCAATTTAACATCAGAAAGACATTGGAGAGATGTTAAATTTTGGTTGAATATGATAATCAGGTTGATGTCAAAAGCCAACATTGGACAGATGTTATATTTTGCTTACTTAAAGGGGTCATCGGATGCCCATTTTCCACAAGTTGGTATGATTCTTTAGGGTCTTCGTGTAAAGTTTGTAACATACTTTGGTTAAAATTCCTCAATGGTTGTGTAAAACAACACCCTATTACCTCCTCAAAAACAGCTCTGTTCACAGTGACCCGTTTCGGTGCATTTCTCTTTAAATGATAATGAGAAACTGCTCACCCCACCCCTCTCTTCCATGGGGTGTGTCGACACAAGACATGTAAAGTGCTGCCTTGGCGGACAGTATACAAATATGCTAATACGGGACAGTCCGTCAGTGGTCGTGGGTGGAGCATGAGCAATATGACATCATATTGCTCAGAAAATCCAAACGGCTTGATTATTGAGAGTGTATTGTTTGAGAGTAAAACAAGGAGTGAATGGATTTTTTTCATTGTATGGTGGTTGTGTCCTCACACTGCAAAGACGCATTTATATGCAAACACCATATAAAAGTGAATTTTGCATCCGACGACCCCTTTAATACAATGAAATATGACCATCTGATATTGTTATAATTCAAGATCGTGTTAAAGTTAACATTTTGGTGTTTAGCAGACGTTGGGTTTGGGTTACGTCACAATTAAATGTTGGTGTTTGACGTCAGTACCATGTTGGCATGAGGCGATTCCACTATGTAAAAGCAACAAAATATCAATGTCAGCAATCGTCAGTATTCTACGTCACATTGAAGTTGGCATTAGACGTTGTTCTGACATTGAATTTTGGTCACACAATGTAGATATTCAACCAAATATCTACGTCTTATGACGTTGGTGGCCAGCTCAGATAAGATTATGTGTGGCATATATCTTTGATATAAAATTATTACTTACTAGGTAGATGGCCAAGCTCATTGAAGAACTTGTTCTTCATATTTATGAAGTTGTGGGAGTGGTGCGAGGGAGGGGGCGGAGGGGGTGGAGCAGGATTAGGCTCCTCCTCTGATTCTGCTGCCCTCCGCCCACGATGCTGCATACTGACCAATCGCATGGCTGATCAGCTAGAGGCATAAAACAGACTGTTACTGTCCTGAAATAACATGAACTAAATGCCCCAAATCACATATATCCACTATATCGGTCTTGTGTCCTCTAGTCTAAAGTATTCATTTTTGTCCCTCTTTTTTATTATGTGCTCCTTTCCATCCCATCCACCACCCCTCCTCCTGTCAAGCCCACACTATCTCTCTCTTTCCCTCCCCTCCTCTGTCCTCTTTGTGCCTGGCGTGACTTTTGATGGAGTAAACTCTAATGCTATATGGCTCCGCATGTCCGTTATTAATCCTTCTGTAACTGTGACATGCCAAAACACAACCTTCTGTAACTGTGACATGCCAATGCACTCATAATCCATATGTGTTCAAACACTATAATGTGCTCATAAACATTTTTTACACACATTAACACACAATGGATGTCTCCACCTGCCCTGCTCAGTTGATCTGACCTAGTCACTCTCAGCAGATGTATAACGGGATTAATTGCCAAAGCTAATCCAAAAATCCTTAGATTTAAGTAAATTAGGAACAGGGCCCTCCCCTTGCCTCCTCACTTTCACACTTGAGCCTACACAACCAACATCTTGTCACCAGAACGACATATAAAAGACTACATAAGAATGTGTCGAGCACTAAGGTCACGGTTGGATTAATGAGGGCAGGACTTTGTGATGATTCTCTTCCTGTAGCTTGTTTACCAGTCAGCCACATGGACTGACCACAGTAATGAAAGACGATGGACATAAAGCCTTTATGAGTCATAGTTAAAAGGATGATTTTTTTTTATTTCTCTAGAGATAGCCCCAAAGCCTGGTTCAGTTTAGAGATACATGACTTACATACTTGACCTCGCTGATTCATAATGATTAACAGAGACCCATTTTTTTTTACTTTGCACACACACGATGTATAACAAACCAATAAAATGGTTAAAAAAAGAACAAAAAGAACAAATGAAAAAAAGATATTTCAAGAGTTTTAATACGTGCTGGTTAGATTTTATTTAAATTGATTTTTTGTCCATTCAAAAAATAATTTAAATTGAGTGAATTTATGTGTTACTTACATATATATTATATACTGTAGCAATGATGCTTCTTAGCAACAAACTTATTGAAATTTTGTTTTTTGAAATTTTTTAATTCGGTTGCTAAGAAGCATCATTGCTACAGTTGAATTTTACATATATACCAGTACCTAGCCACTCAAGAGAATATTTATATATAATATTAGAGAATATTAATATTAGAGAATATATATATCAGTGCCTCAGCCATATTTTTTATTTTACTTTTATTAAAATTGGTATTAACATTATTTTTTTATCTACTTAGTGAAATGTTAGCTAGACACAAGTCTATTGATTCATAAAGCAGTTGCACTGTCATATTTAGTAGTGACATTTGCAAAAAGTCGGTCACTTTCGCTACAAGAAAAAAAAAAAAGTATTTCTAAAAGAAACTTCTAAAACATTGTTTTTCAACATTTGTTTTTGAATGAATTTAATATTAATCCATTAATCCATTACATAAGGCGTTAAAACAACGCAGTGATTTCTTCTCTTTTCCGAAGAGAGAAGATAGCTACATTGAAAGTGCTTAATCTGAGAGTCCAGAAGCCATAATTTGTGTCGTTTACAGACAGGACTGCCCTAATCTGGCTAAAGAAGGCCTGTCGCTCTGTGCGTCACAGGCCATCAGACAGCGTCATATGGCTTTGCCCTTCTTCATCTGTAGGCCTACTTTGTCCAGCAGCGGGCAGAACTGCTGTATTCTCGGATTACCTAAATCTCATCCAGACACCCTTTTTCGCTGGAAAATTATGCGGAGTAGGCCTACACAGAGTTGTCTAAAACTGAAAATAATCTACGCACACAGATAGGCTAAGCATTAATTTAGTCGAGAAACAAAATCATCTTGAGACACTCTTATCTCCAGATCTTAGAGGGAACAAATGAAGTGTTCAGATGCAAAAGCCTCTAAGTGCCATTTGAAATTTTCTTCTAATGATCATTTTTATGAAGCTTGTATATTTAAATTCAGTGATTTCACTTAAATGGCAATGAAGATTACCTATTAATTGTCATTTGAGTGAAATTACTGAACTTAAATATACAAGCTTCATAAAAATGATCATTCTAGAAGAAAATTTCAAATGGCACTTAGAGGCTTTTGCATCTGAACTCTTCAAATATGCCTTGGCCTACAAAATATGAAGAAAAAAAGACAAAACGAAAAACAAATTGCGTGTTGTTTGCTAACGTCACTGTGCAGTATTAAATTTTAAATAGTCCTTTTCATTTAGCTTGGCTGGGTTGCAGCCCATAATAATCTCCACGAATTTAACTGGTGATAATATTTTCACAGCACGTGCTGTTAACTGGAGGCATGTTTTTTTTTTTTAAATAGCTACAACTACGTAGCCTACTATTTAATTAATGTTATAAAACTGCGTAGACTTGGCTATATTCGGCCAAACCATAAAATAACTAGGCTGCAAAATACTTTTTAAAAAAACCCAACATTTTAAATGACACTGCTTGACATGTCAATTGAATAGTAATATTTGCACGAATAGCAAGCACGTGAAGAGTTAATAAATAATAATCAAACTTACCTGATGAATAGCTGATCCAACTCTAGCCTATATAAAACCTGCGCGTTGGTTAGAGAGACGCACTAGCCCACTCACACACTGCTCTAACTTACACTTATCATCCACTCTCTCTCTCTCTCTCTCTCTCTCTCTCTCCTCAAAGCGCCAACCCTCTTTCACTTGGATTAATCGTGCTCTCCCTTCTGTTCGCAGTTAGGCTATATACCCTGGGGTTTCTCATGTGACAATCTTATTTCATCCATCTCGTTTGCCATTTATAAGTTTGCTAATTCCATATAATCTCCTGTATGCTGTTTATCCGATTCTAATTTCCAATACAATTTTCGTTCAGTGACCCCTCTGAATCGGATTAGGCCTATGCTCGGTGGCTCACCCCTGCTAATAGACTAGATAGATTGATTTGGGATAGGAAGCTGTGAAATGAATTGGTTTTGAAATGAGAACAAGGCGTCTCCCACAGATGGTGATTATTGAGATATATTGAATACAAATCTGTTGTACCACACAAAGGGCCGGCCTCCGTCCTTCAGGGTTATGGTCAATGTGCGATTATAGGAATATAGGAGGGGAAATATCACCCTCATGTGGTAAAATGAATTGCTACCTATTTTTACGGTGGAAATTTAATTCATGTGAATATTTACGTTTATTCATTTAGCAGACCACGAAAAGTTTCCACGTTAATTGTGTATATTGTGTAGGCTATAATTTTAGATTTTAGTGTACATTTCATTTGATTAAATACTAATACAGTTCTGTCATAATGGCATGCATCATCATCCTTTCAGGATGCAAACTCAAGCTCTAGTGATGTCTGCTTTTTTTCACTTTATCTTCTGTTTTGCGAGGCTTGGTGTCTCTGTTACAAAAATTTTTGTAGGTCTACATTAATCAAATACACTATCAAATAGTTACCACTTTTAGTAGATCTTCATTCACAGCTCTTTTTGCAGGCTGAATAATAGGCCTACAGACTGTCCAAAATACTGTAATATAAATACCACACTAAATGCATCCCACAATTTTAAATAAAAAAGACAAGGTTATTCAGCTCAAAATGTTTATTTAAATTTACTACGTCAGTCAGTGCACATTCAACATAAGCCTTGGTTGATGTCAATCACAAAATTACTATTTAATAATTTTACACTGGATCATTTTATAATAGGCTAGCAAATGGAACCTTTAGTTGATGTTAACCTTTCAACCTCTCACACTTTAAAAATTTGCACAAGAGCTGTTTGATAAGAACATATTTAAGAGAATAGTAATTCAATTCATTTATATCTGATCTGAGAGCTGCATTTAGCTGCTCAGGGTTTGCTTGTCAAACAGGTACTCCGCCATCCTGTTGTTGCCAGCATCCATCTTGGAAAGGTTGGTGATGTGGTCACCAATCTTCTTGATGGCCTCCACCTGCTCATTCAGGTAGTGAGTCTCCAGGAAGTCACACAGCTGTCGGACAAGACATCAGAAAAAAATTCAAGGTGCAAACTTTAGTGAAAAGATGTGAAACTCTTGTAAAAGGCATGCATATCAGGCAGTAGCTTTTCCTGACTGCAGATTCTGGGTCTTGGCGCTAGTTTGTGTTAAACATTTTGTAAGCTTTATATTCCCACCATTGAACACATGGAGACACATTTTTGGAAGAGGCCTAACGGCCTTGCGTTATTCAGCCTGAGGGTGGCGCTCTATGATGATTGACAGACTTTAGTAAACACAGCATATAATACCATTTTAGAATTGCCTTAATGTATTATTTATTGCCTCAGAATGTTGTTTTAGAATATGACAACTTGTCTATTCTCAGAACAAACATAAAACAAACACAATATAATTATATAAAAATTATTTACATGAGCACGTTTAAACTAAAGGATTTATACTCAGTGTTGGGGTAACACATTACATGTAACAAATTACGTAATCAGATTACTTTTTCAAGTAACGAGCTAAGTAACCCATTATTTTTAAATTTACTTTTTTTAAAAGATACTTTTTCAAAAAAGTAACGCAAGTTACTTTGTTTTCCCATTTTTTGACTGACACCTGCCCTGTCCCCATGTTGAGAGAAATCAGGATGGGTTTTGTAATTCTAGAATAAATGTGAGCAGGCATTTACTCATCTCACTTACACAAATCAGATTCAGTATTCCTCAAAATGAATAAAAACAGTGAAATGCAAACTCAGAATATTACACAAACCTGCAATAATTATATGTTAAATAACACAAAAATACTTTATGTATTTAATCTCACTTTATTAACCAATGTCTTTATTGCTGACCGGGAGTAACAAAATATTGTAACGCATTACTTTTAAAAGTAAATTTCCCCAACACCGTTTATACTTTTATTAATTTGATAAGCTACTCCACAAATGAAGAACAGACATGTCAGCTAGTTACTGACCTGGGGCCGTATTCACAAAGAATTTTAAGGCTAAAAGTAGCTCCTAACTGGCGAATTTAGGAGCAACTCCTAAAAATAATGGGCGTGTCACTCCTAACTTTAGGACTCCTAATTTTTTTCACTAAGAGTAATTCACGAAGCATTTTAGCCCTAAAAGTAGCACCTAAGTCTGGGACAGCTTAAAAGAAGTCGAGAGGACTCCTAACTCACTAAGACCTATTCACAATGGATTGTAGCGCATACCACCGCCTCTCGCAGTCGTCCGTGGTCCGCGACACAAGCGGGAATGCTGCATTGATCTGCAAACAAATCCTCTCCCATGTCTCACGCTTAGTTTTGCTTGATATCCCAGTGCCGAATTTCCCTTTTATTATGTTTTTTTTTTTTTTCTGCACCAACTGAGCCAGCAGCAGTAACTGATCCTGCGTCCAGTTGGGCTTTCTTTTCCGTTTTGGCGAGTTCATCATCCACCGTCATTCAACTATTACATTAGGCTACTTCAATAGGAGCAACATTTCCTTTCTTTAAGTAGTCTATTTAGGCTAATATAGGATGTCAATTAACCAAGCAAGTGTTAATGCAAGTGTCGTTCTTTCATTATTAGGCAAGTGGCAGTTTTCATTGGGGTATTAGGCTACCTTGATTTAATTTAATTTAATTCACGACTTTTCTCTCTCTCTCTCTGCCTTTTTAGAATTACACTTCACTGGGGCCTGCACAAACATGTCATTATATGCATTTCGATGACATTACTATTATTATTATGTGTAGGACACAGACATATTTAGATGTCGTAATTCCATGATTTGTTGCGTCTGTGTTATGTTCCGCATGATGGCCCTGTCATCTAACAACCAATCACCGTGATCATTGCGAGGAAGCTCGTGCATGAGAATTGACGGCATCCATAGCAACGATGACTCACTCTTAGTTTAGGAGTTGTCATTTTTCCTTACTAAGAGTAGGTCTGAAAGGCGTTGTGAATAACTTTTAAGAGAAAACTCCTAGCTAAAATATTTTAGTGCGATTTAGGAGTACTCCTAGTGGTAAGATAAAATTCTTTGTGAATACGGCCCCTGATGCAGACTAATATACACATAGCTGAAGCGGATAGGTCTGGAGCGAGGTTTATATAAGCTAAAGTGAAAATAAGCGGGACAGTCTGAAATCTGCCCCAATGGCTCTAAATTAGAGTGTGCTGTAGTTCCATTTTTCACCACAGATTTACATTGGAGAATTGTGGGGAGCTGTAGAGCTGGGCAGGGCTCAGGCACCTGCTGCCCCTCTTAGTATCAATACATGCCTGCCCTGCCGAAGCCATATGCGCTAAAATTTGATATATCGTGGTCACTTTACGACTTAAAATAGTCTAGAAAATTCGATAAATATTTGTTGCAGAATGCAGAACAAATTTACAGTATATTATTGATTCATTTTATATAGAGGTCTATGTTTAGGGTGAATATTTTGGTGGGGCACTGCCGCGGCTGATATGGAGACAAATTTAGAGTCCCAAGGCAAACTTCAACAAATGAGGGTCACTCACATGAGGGTCTGTCTTCTCAGAGGCGGCCTTATGTAGATCAAGCAGAGCCTGATTGACGTTCTTCTCCAGCTGAAGAGCGCACTGCATAGCGATCAGTCCATTGCCCCACATATCACGCTCTGGTTTCTGGAAAGGTAGATACACAGATCAGTGAGCAAGTTACATGGCATAAGGTCATTCCATAACAAGAGCTCTAGAGTCAGCTTTGATACGATGTTCTAAGTCAAAAGGCTTCATTCAAAGCACCTTTACATCCTGAAGGACAATTTTCCCGCCCCTCTTGTTCTGGAACTCCATGAATTTCTCGGCATGCTCACGCTCCTCCTCACTGTTCTCCTTGAAGAACTTGGCAAAACCAGCAAGAGCCACATCATCCCGTTTGAAGTAGAAAGCCTGAACAAAATCGAATAGGAATAGATAGATAACTATATGTTAAGGAACAAGGGAACAAAGAACAACTTAAGGAATGGCCTTTCATCAAGTACTTGATGAAAAAAAAAATCTCTCCAGCGAACGACATCCAATCAAAGTCAAACTAACTAATCATCACAGAATAAGAGTAATAGGCTACTGATGATCAGCAGTCACTCCTAACAAAACAGCCGTGGATGTTCCTATTAGACTATGCCCAATGTCTACTTATGGCATTTAAACTATTTATTCGGTTTATACCTATTAATAAATAGGCTATACAAAACAGTTTTCTTGTAGTTTTAAGATTTCTATAAAGCTGTTTTTTTAACGTTAGACACGTTTAGTCAAGAATGGAAAACAAAAATCAATAGAGACAACGTTCCTTATAACGAGTTAGTAAATTTACAAAACCAATAAGAGATACTTGCCATTGAAGTGTAAGTGTAGGAAGCGTAAAGCTCCAAATTGATCATCTTGTTGATCAAAGCCTCGCAGTCGCGGTCGTAGTTCTGGCGAATCTGAGAAGTCTCCATTTCTGCGGTTTATTATCACAGCGTTGGTGCAAAAATAAATAAGAAATTTAAATAAATTCCGGCGAGATCGAAGTTCCGTTCAATCACTGTTGAAGCAAGACCCTCTTCGTATCTTCCTGAAGCTGTGAGTGAAATGAAGGTGAGCATTTGTCTTATATACGATCACAACATGATGCGTCACTGGAACTGAAACCAGTAACTGGAACTGCAACATAGTGACTTGACAATCCGCTGTCTTACTTGTAGGTTAGATAACAAAGACAAGATCTAATAGCATATAAATCCAACAGATTATTTTTACAATCACAAGCATGATTTAGCCTACATTCTGAAATGTAACTATAGAAACGTATATAAATTATTTATACATTTAAAATACAACTTTTAGTTCCCCAATTTTTTTATTTCACATTAAATGCCTCCCATTTACTTTTGTACCTTTACCATCCATTTCTGTAGTCACATAGGCTATTGCATTTTGCATAGACTATAAACTTATTACTTATTATTCAATTATTGTTTATGCTGTAATGTTCTAATTAAACTGATTAACACTCTCCTAGCTTTAGCTACTAAAATAAATTGTTGAAAATGTGAGGTAGCTACACAACATTCACAGCATTAAGCTATCATAGTGGTGATTTTTTATCACTGTTCTCATTCATATGCCACTATGTTTTATTACAACATTTTAGTGATAAACATTGTTTTATTATAATATAATTGTTTTATTTCAATGTTACATAACCATTTTTTCTATAGACAACTAGACCAATTTGTTAATTGTTCTAATTTTCCATCAATAGAAAACAAAGTTCTAGGTTATATCTATGCTGTGAGTGAAGCCTGATAACACTACATTATAGGAGCCTGTATATAATATGGCAAATATCATGGGACAATCCTGAAATAGCTTATTACTCCACTTGGGAGTAAATGCCATTTTTCACTTGGTAACGGCCTTTAGATAGCCCACCTGACTAATTAAAAGAGTAGATAGCCTACCTGACACCTGACTAATTAAAAGAGTAGGCTACAATGAAGACAGGTGACAATTACAAAGCAATTTTGTACCAGAAATTGTCCATGAAAGCTCATTCTGTGTCAGCGACAAGTCCAAACACCCAAGAGATGACATGGAGCTGCGTCTGTGACTCAGCATTTTCTCTCTCATGAAAGATGCGTATTTGTAACCTGACCAACTCCCTAGGATACATGTGTGAAACCATCAAGTTCCTTTGTGGATTATTTTTATAGTTTAGTTTTAATCAGTATATTCTTGAATCTGTCAGATTTTGAGTTTGTTTTTGATCTGGTTTTATGTTTGGAGTTCCATGGTTAGTTTTCTAGTTGTTAATTTTATCCATCTTCCCTTTCCATCATGATCTGGTCTAATTTATTCAGTTCAGGTGCTCCTCGTTAAGTGATCCTTGTTTGCTCACCATATACTCACTGTCTAGTTTGACTCTTTGTTTCCCCCTTTTCTTAGTATTTTGGTTTAGTCCTGTTCAGTTTTCCTGCTCCTCATCCCTCAGTTAATTCACCTGTGTCTTGTTAATTACCTTCATCTGTGTCACCTGGTTTATGTTCATCAGTGTCTGTATTTAGTTCCCTCTGTTCAGTCAGTCTTTGTCCGTTCTCATCTGTGTAATGTTGTTGTGCTACCTGCCAGCTCATGTCTCTGTGAGTAATTATGATTAAAATGGTTTGTAATTGAACCTTCAGCCTTCTCGTCATCTTCTGCCTGCACAAACCCCGACACTGTCTTGGTTCTCCCTTTGTTCTGGTATTGGTCTAGTTTAAGCTGTTGAGTTGTGTTATTTCTCCTGCAAGGTTCAGAGTGCGCAGAGAGGGCGAGTTGAAAGGGGAGAGATGGCTGCTGGACGAGACCTACTGATAGATTCAGGAGGACTGAGGTCGGTGTGATCCGGGATTAACAGGAAGTGATGACATGTTATGGAAGGAAGGGCTTTTAATTAAATTAAATAAGATGAGAATGTGGTAAGGTGTTCAATTGGATCAGAGATTTCTTAAGAGAAAGGACTATTGAGGAGTGGAATCCTCTAACATCTATTCAATAGAAAATGGTACTCCAACAATAGATGTTAGAGGATTCCACTCCTATCTTAACCTCAATAGTCCTTTCTCAACCTAGCCCAGTACTTTTTAATATTATGATTGATGTTTTTTCTGGAGTTGAACAGAGAATGAGTAAAGCTTTATATGCAGATGATGTATGGGTGAGGGGTTGTAACATTGGTGCACTGGAGTAAAAAATGCAGAAAGCAATTTAGATCAGGTCGGAAAGTCGTCATATGAATGGGGCTTTCGCTTATCTGTGGAAAAAAACTCAATATTTGTGTTTCACTAAAAAACAGGTAACTCCTAGATTAGCTATCAAATTGTATGGACATATCAAAATGTAAGAGAGGTATAAATATATTAAAGTGTTTATCAGGATACAGTTGGGGTGCATCAGGTTCATCTATGAAAAGAATATTATATTGCCTTAATTCGCTCCATTTTTATGGATCCATAGTATATAATTCTGCAGCCAAAACCAGACTGACAAGTTTGGATAGGATGCAGGCAAAGGCCCTGCGTTTGTGTTGTGGAGCCTTCAGAACATCACCTGTAGCATCATTGCAAGTAGAAACAGGAGAGATGCCATTAAAAATCAGAAGGCTCAAACTAATCATGTCATACTGGACAAATCTCATGGGGCATGAAATAACACACCCTACAGGTACTTGAACAGTGTTGGGAGTATGGCCGTACTAATTTCAGTAGCTTTTGGGTGGAATGGGAAAAGAGATGGGAATTGACACTATTGCATGCTGCAGAACAATAAGTAAGACGACCATCCCACCATGGTTATTTTGTTTTCCTGTAGCAAACATTGAAACAAAAGACATTGCACAATCTAGAGGCATAGAACAAAATATACAACAATATAGAACCCAGATATACACAGATGCATCCAAAGATCCAATAACTGGCAAAACAGGTGCAGCTGTATTCATCCCAAAATACAATATTAAGATCCAAAAAACAACATCAGATCACCTCTCAGTCATCTCCATTGAAATAATGGCCATTATTTTAGCACTGCAATAGAGGAAGTTAAGCCGAATAAGATATAGTCATCTGTTCAGATTCCATGTCCTCCTTGTCAAGTATTCAGAGTGGAAAATCAATATGTAGGCAAGATCTTTTAGATGAAATAAATCAATTAATTTTTAGATTAACGCATCAAAAAATATACAGTTTTTTTTTTTGGTTCCAGCGCATATGGGTATTGAGGGAAATGAAAAGGTGGATAAGTTATCAAAAGAAGCCCTGAAGGGAGAGCACATAGATATACAAGTTCCACTTAGTAAATCAGAAATTAAAGTTATCATTAAATATACCATTAACAAAATGTGGCAGGATACATGGGATCAGGAGGAGAAAGGAAGACATTTATATAGCATTCAGAAAGAAGTGTTAGTTAAAAATTACAGTAATCTGAGACGGCAGGAGGAAAATATGCTTACAAGGGTGAGAATAGGGCACACAAGATTAAATGGCTCAGTTCTAGGACCGTTGCTTTTCATCCTGTACATGGTACCCTTGAAAGATATCATAAGGAATATTGGTATCAAAGAGCACACACAGTTTCCTAACTGACGACGAAGACTTGACAGAGCAGCCTTCAAGTGTTAGACAGTATTCTAGGTTATTACGTGCGGAGGTTTTCGGTCCGATAATTAGAATCTCTGTTTTTTTCAGAATTAAATAGTAGGAAATTACTAGTCATCCATTTTTTTATATCAACTATGCATTCTGTTAATTTTGTGAATATGTATATTTCGTCAAGATGCAAAGGAATATAGAGCTGAGTATCATCAGCGTAACAGGGAAAACTAACTGCATGCCTCCTTATGATATCTTTCAAGGGTACCATGTACAGGATGAAAAGCAACGGTCCTAGAACTGAGCCTTGCGGTACTCCATGCTGAACTTGTGATCGATATGACACCTCTTCATTTACTGGTACAAATTGGTAATAGTCAGATAAGTATGATTTGAACCATGCCAATGCAATTACACTAATCCCAATTTCACAAGTTCCTTTGCCCATATAATCTTTAGGCTAATAAGGTTAAGCGTATTTGGCTTGCTGTCCGCAGTGGAGGGGCTCGAGGAAGCAGCTTTAACTCGAGCTAAGATATACCCTAATGCTTGGATGATGAGTATGATAGCAAGATGCCTAAATTATGTTGGTGGAGTTGGGGAGGTGGAGGGATGCCAAAACAGCTGATGCCAGAGCAAGGTGAGCGGCTGCTTATATGCTCTGGCGGTTAATTGAAAGATTAGATGGGTTCACTCCTCCCAAAATTACGTTGTGAACTTCACATATTCAAAAGAATGTTGTGGTTGATAGTATCAAATGCAAAACTTAGATCCAGTAACACTAATAGAGAGATACAACCACGATCGGATAAGAGCAAATAATTTGTAATTCTAATGAGAGCAGTCTCAGTACAATTATATGGTCTACATCCTGACATATACCATTTCTTTCTAAAAAGGAACACAGTTGTGACGATACTGCCTTTTCTAGTATTTTTGACAGAAAAGGTAGATTCAAGATCGGTCTGTAATTCCCTACCATTGACGGAAATTTCTGTCATTTATGAGACAACGCTTCCCCCACCATTGACAGAATTTTCGAGTAGCCTGCAACTACAGTCCCCCACCCAAACAGCGCCTCCTATCAAATTGGATCGGATAAACATGTGAAGAACTTAAGCCGAAACGTGAGTATCGTCAATTTTATTTAGCGAATCATACTCATTTGATTTCTTTTTTAATCAAACTACTTTATAGCTCATCGATACACCAACATATGAATAGTCCATTTCATATTTGTAAAGATAGTTTGTAACTAAATTTGAGCCGTTAATGTATGTTTTTTTCACCTTTTTTCCCCGAAAATATTTTGATAGCTAACATTAGCCTTTAACCTTGGACTTTTTGTAGACAAGCCATTGTAAACATTTTATTAAAATGAAATACATTATTATAAACCAATTAAATACATTAAGTGTGTTAATATCAAAGAATGTCATCATTAATTATTTAATC